CATTTCCGATCCCGGTCCGCCTGTGTTCGCTGGTTTTGTTCAGTTTTCTATTTTTCACCATCTTTCTTTACTTTTTGTTACATTTAAGAGAAAATCAATTCAAAATAAACATAAGCGATTATCTGTTTTGCAAGGTACAGGTCATCATCACTCGGTGGACCCCAAGAAGAAATCTTGAATAACAACTGTAAGAGGTTTCCTAAATCCAAAATATTTACTTATTTGATAACAAATAGGTTACCTTTATTCTAAGGTGTACAACTAAAAAAAGGACTAATATTATTTGGAACATCTTTCAATTGAATGTTTTGTCTCATTTCAACTTTTTTTAATGATTCTACTTTCGAAGTTTTACACTAAAGTTGAAAATTGGCTGACATTCTGACAGAATAATTACTACTACTAGTACTAAGTACTAATCAAAACACCATTATCTCGCTAGAAAGCCATGTGGAAGTGAGGACAGAAATCGTCAAGGTATAATCAAAAGTTTAAATATAGTTATTTTATTTAGTAGGTAAATCAAGTCCACTACACAAAAGAGAATGTAGAGGTATCAATTATAAACTGTATAAAAGAATAAATATTTAAAAAAATGATTGAAATAAATAAAAACTAAACACTTTTCTAGGCTCGTCTTTTTTCGCTGGTTGTCATGATAGCTGAATCGAAGCCTTCTTTCGTGATGATGTCACTGCTTGTAAGTTTTTACTAGCTTTTTTCTGTTTTGTATATACTGGCGGTAATTGTTTTGTCATCTTGTACAAATGTATTTTGGTTGCATTCACTAAATCAACGGGAGTTCATCCTCTTGCAGACAACCAGTAACAACAAATTTGATCTAATTTATCTTGATTACAGATTTCAGCAACCGTCAGAAGGAACAACGATGATATTTAAAAACCTTGCGTTTAGCTGCTTAATTGGTTTCATTCAAATAACTTCACAATTATTTCTCTACTCCTTTTGCCCTTTATATTTTTTCTAATCTTAATTTCTAAATAATAGAAAGTTCTATAACTTTTAGCCTGCCTTTGATTGTAGCTTCTTCTATTTTGAAATGTTTTAAACTTTTGTTTAATCCTTGAATGTTTTGCAGATCAAAACTAGAAACCTACATTTATTTTCTCAAATTACATAGTACTTTCTTTACAAGTATAAAAAATTTTAAACAACATATTTCTAATAACACACTAACCATCATTATTTTTATTAATTACATTATTACCGCTTAACGAATTACATTCTAAATACCCCAACAACTCCCTCAAAAAGCCCCCCCCCACATATCTCTACAATTTATTGTATCATTACACATTTTCCCTTACTCTGGAAATAATCGAACATCATCCTCTTTCCGAAACCAGGCATACCAGTACACAAAGCCTTACCATATCGTCCTGTTGGTTTACTTCCCATCATGACTAAAGTATTTGAAAAAAAATTCTTCTTAAAATACTATTGTGAAAATTTGTTTTGTGTTTTTAATTTTTGTACCCTGTAGCGGTTGACTGCGTGTGGCACAAGGGTCTCCAGAACAAATTACATCGAGCCCTTCCACATGCCCACTATTGAATCGTCCGCTTTTATCTAACAGAGCGGTTCTTTCGGGTCTCACAAGGATCAGATTACACCGAATTATTCTCTGGCCACGGGAATACCGCAGGGCAGTGTGCTCGGACCAATCCTCTATATATATTACGCAGGGCGGGCTACCAGGATCCGAGGGGTTAAAAGCCTGGGTAGGCCCGTACCCCATCCCTAAAAGGTCCGGGACCTGGTCGGCTCACGAGTCCTACATAAACCTTTTGGACCTATTCACAAACCCCAAGATTGTGGACCATTTTATCCTGGGGAGTGTTTTGGTTATGTCCTCTCCTTCGAAAGTATCAAATCTTTCCCTAGCATACCTATAGCATTCTGCAAGGTAGTGTCGAGCCGTTTCTTCTTTTGTTTCGCAGAAGCGGCAGAAGGGGTCTGGTAGAGTACCCATTATGAAGAGGTGTCTTCTCAAGGGGCAATGGCCCGTTAGGATACCTATCGGCCTCCTTATTCCCCTCCTAGAGTTAGAGAGTAACCATTTCGCTTCTTTAGGTTTGATTTCCTTCAGAAACTTCTTCGATTGCCTGCATCCGGGTGACATATTCTATTCTTTAAGGAATTGTTTCAAGCCCCAGCAACTTATACTCTCTTTCGCTGTGCTTAAAGAGTGGGGTAATACCGGTTGTGGCCCGACAAACGCAGTATTTGATCCTTCTTTGGCCAGGCTGTCCGCCTCCTCATTGCCATAGTGCCCCTTATGAGCAGGTATCCATATGAGGGTTACCCTATTCTCGTACCTGGTAGTAATCCTATTAATGAGTTCAACGGTTTTCTCTACCAGCCTAGATGTTGATAACTCTTTTTGTAAAGATTTAAGACTGGCCTGACTGTCGGAAAAAATTTTAATATCTTTTCCCTTAATCTTGTTATCCATGAGTGTTCTGCAGCAAACATTGATGGCCCAGACCTCTGCTTGAAAGACCGAGGTGTTATTACCAAGAGGAGAGGAGATGCTGATACCTAACTTAGATATAATTATTCCAGCACCACTTCCCTTGTCCTTGAGGAGGGAGGCATCGGTGAAGCAGTCTAGGTTACGATGGTCATCATCTGCCCTATAGGACCAATCCTCTATAACCATTCAACTGCAGATGTTCCCATGACACAGTAACTGTTGTGTCCTCCACATCATCTGACCTCGATCCGGCCGTTCTTCTGAGCATCTGGAGAGACTTGTAATATGTATAGTAGATTGTTGTAGACAATGAAAAATTAAATGAAATTAAAGCAAGTGCGTCCATGTCAGTTTTACATTCCAAAGCAAATCTCCATTCACAGTATACTACAATTCGATAGTGACTCTCAACACGACACATAAGAATGACACATCTACAAGGAAAAAAACACTGTGAGCCCTGAAGATGATCTCAATAAAGATCGAAACGTTGACACGATAAAGAAAATGTTTTTCTAAAACCTACGTCACATCAGACCGCATCTCACGATATCCAAATAATCATTGGCTAACGGTCACTAAACACCAAACACTAATGCTAGCGTTGCACCTGGAGGACACAAGCCATGACAAGTCAGCCGATTCTGGCACTCAGTATGAGAGATTAAGGGGCAAGGAGGTCTCGAGGCCATCGTCGATTGGCAACGTGGCGAGTTCTTGGGGTGGGAATGTGTAGGGAGGTCTCGAGCGGTAGGGTTAGGGATGGATCGAGATTCCAAAACACCAACGGATCAGTTCGTTTGCAAAAGAAATGTTGAGGTCGTTGTGAATAGTGAGGTTGATGTCGTAATAAGGAGCTTTGATGATTTGTCTGAGGACGTTTGGTTGGAAGGATGCGCAGGATGTTGGATGGTTTGGCAGAACCCCACAGTTTCACTCCTTATGTCCAAAGTGATCGCAGTAAAGTCTGGTATGAGGTTAGTCGACTCCTGACGATTTTGGTCCTACGAGTCTTCCTATCTATCCAAGTCTTCTGTTAAGTTGTTGTCTTTTTTTTGTGAAGATTCCACGTCAGTCTAGGTATAGTCCTAGTTACTTGACTTGAGTGGATGTCGGCACCTCTTTGTTTATGTACAGACTTTTGTCCCATTTGAACGTACATTGAATACATTTTTATTAATTCAGACTTGTCCGCCACTTTTTACACCATTCTTTAATAATCTAAAAGTGTTCTTGGATATCGGAGGTAACTTGGGTAGGATCTGAGTAAGAAGACAGAAGTACGGTATCGTCCGCATAGGGATTGGGGTGAAAAGAACTATCAAACAAACATTGATTGTAAATTATTGCTTTCTAATAAACAGATCGAACAAATACCTAAGCAAATTAATTAAAATTGGCTTAACTTGGGGTCATTTATTGTAAAACCACATTTTTTTGAAGTTCAAGTGAATAAATATTATCCTATAATTTATAAGATAACGTAGTGTTATCTTAAAAGCTCAAATAAACGTTTACTTTGGTAAAAGTTCATTCTTTCAGTTCACAATGGTCAAGATCCTTTGTATTGTAATAGCTTCTAAGGGATTTTTAAACGTTGAGTCTTTTGTGTAAAATAATTATTATACAATTTATTAAATCACTTAATAAGTAACAACGTTTTAATACATCAGACTGTGACTATTATGCATTGCTGAGTTTGGTCAGACAATTGTGCATCTGTCTGTTTGCAATTTTGTAAACAAAGCGACTTGCCAGAGTTTCAGACTAATGATATCATTTTAAATTAACAATTTTTCCAGTTTGTTTTTCAACCGTAGGTAGTCGGAAAATTTATCAATAACTACTTAGAAAACATTTTGAATTTACATACACGGAATTGGGTGGAAATAATAATTTAGGTATTCAGCATGCCAAATATTATTATTGTTATGGCCGAGATAAAAAAGTCAGTGTCACGAGCTGGATTCGAACCCACGACCTTCGGCTAAATACGCCCCTGCTTGAGCTCTCGTGTCTTCGATCCACTCGGACACTAACTTCCCACCTCAACCCACCTTTCGAATTTTCCCTCCTTTTTGCCATTTTTATCTCAACCAATACCTTACAAAAAGTTTAATTAATTGAAAAAAGTTAATTGGTCAATCGGTCTACGAATTCTAATGGATTATTATTATTATTTGTAGGTATATTTTTCCTAAATATAAAATTCACTTTTGGAAATAAAATAAAAATAAATTTTTTTTATTTAAAATCAAGTTTTTATCTGCATGAAAATTAACATTTCCGCCACAAGCAAGTGTTTAATTTAAAACCAATAATAGTTCAAAAAAACAATTTTAACAAAAATCTTATTGTACAAATTACATATCGATGTGGTACAGCATTTTTATTTGAATATTCTTTAATATTTAAAAAAAATATTCTAAAACATAAATATTATAATTTTAAATATTTTTTTTAATGTAAACTAAAGTTGTTCCCGTTTACAAATGACGTAAAATAAAAAACTAATACCAAAAACTTTATTTTGTTATGTATAGAAAATGATTTCTTGCACCAGTCTTTATAGTGACGCCATCTGAGGCAATCACGCGCTTCTTCTTGACCTCTTCTTTCCCACAGGGGCTGCCTTGGGATCGTCTTTGAACCAATCCTCGCTATGAAAAAAAAAATACTATAAATAAAAAAAGAACATAATAAAAAAGCGTCGAATAGGAGCAGAAAGATGCTCACCATCCAGGTACGTTCTCAGGAGTGTCGCACTTTTGAGACTCCTCGTTGTAGACCTCGCCCGTCGAACATCCCTGTTCACGAGGTGTGACTCCATTGAGGCAGACGTAGAACTTCTGACAGTCCTCAGGGTGGGCGTAGACCGGGTGAGCCACAGTTTGCCCATGTGCGTTGCTCGTCTGCTCTTTTGGACACGAAAATCCGTCCTTCAGCTTGACTGAAAAGCATTATTAATTTTTATTCGAAATTTGCAGCTCAAAAAAATGATTGAGCTAAATTAGCTAAAGAGTCAACAACAGACAAGGAACAAAGAATGCTGGGTAATATGAGTGTAAATATGGAACTCTTTCTTAAGAAATTCATTATGATTGTTTCAATTTCATACAAAAACAGAATAAAAGCTAAAGCTGTTGATCCAGAGATCTAGAGTTCCATTTAATCTTTATAGAGATAGGGATGGAAAAATCTTACGATAACGTTCCTATGCAGGAGACGAAGGATCGTCCTCACCCGACTGAGGATTGGCCATACGCGGTTGACACACGGGCACCTGCTTTTGAGCCACAGCCCTCGCAGTTGCCCCTTATGCAGAGAAAGTTTGCTCGATGTGTCCCACATAATAGAGGCGTATCATGCCTTGGCTCCATACAGAGAGCGTGTAGGCATGCCGCCGGATTTAAGAATAGTTCTCGAACACGGCAGCGAGTTTCAGGGTCCCCTGTTCCTCTTTTTAGGGGAATTGGGAATTTTTTATTGTATATAGCCTTCAAAATATGTGTTTTGTGTTTCTGTGTCTTGTATGAGTAAATGTATTTATTGGTGTGAATGGGGAGGGGCTGATGGCGAATTAGCCTCTCCATTGTCTCTCAGGTTGTGTGTAAGACTTGGGCCGATGACGGAAATTTTATAAACATCCCCATCGACCCCAATTTAGATTAGTTTATTATAGGAAACAGGTCGATGAAGGACTATCGAGTACTCCATCTACCAAACAGAATGAGTGTAATCAATGGTATGAATGGGGAGGGGCCGATAGTGACGTAGCACCTCCATCGCCCCTCATGCAGCGTGCGTGACTTGGGTCTACGGCGGAAAACTTAAAAAAAATTTTTTACAAAACAAAAAAACATTGGATTTTTGACAAAACAAAGAATAGCTGTTGCTGGAGAATGAAAGTTATCGATGGCCAAGGATACAAAGTTTGAATAAGGACGAAGGTGGCTGTCAGCCTGAAGTGCAAATCAGAAGCAAACAAGCTAGAAAAGCAACTAATGCTTCATTCTGTTAGAAATTCTGAAATAAATAATAGCCCCTCAGAGGAATCCAAAAAAGAGAAACTTTGATTTAGTATAAAAATCTCCTTTGGTATGCTCTTTTGGACTTCTGACAAAATACTTGCGTGAATCAGGGCTGCTGAAAATGACCTTTAAAATGTGTTTAAAAGGCAAAAGGACCAAATTAGGAAAGGAGAAGTGAGGAAAGAAATGAATACAGAACCGTCGGACATTAGTTGTAAATTAAGGTATGGCCATTTAAGTTTCACGTCCAAAATTAAATGAAAGAAAGTTTCTTTCAAAGAAAACGAAAAAAAATGTCAACCAAAGACAAAACGAACGAGAGAACTCAAAAGAGATCATTGGAACAACTAACCAGAAATGATGCATTGACGATGGCAACCCTACCAAAGGAAACACGGGATAATTAATGTAAATGTATGACAAGATGAATTAATTATGGATTCAATTGAAGTAGTATAATAATGAACTTCGAATAAAAAAGTCTATAAGAGAAATTTGTGATGTAATAGTTGAAAATTTCGTCATTTTATAATCCAATTTAATTTAAAAAAATTAACTTCTTAAGTTCCGAAAATAAAAGTAATTATGATAAAGACAATTTAAAAAGTCGATTGATTGATCAAAATATTTTAAAAATTTAGATCATACAATTAGATAAAATGGCGTTCATTATGGACGGGCAATTTAATCCAAGGTGGGACAGATTATGAGATATCCTTGGTAAATGACAGATTATGCACATCGTGTGTAACAGAAACATACGACTAAACATAATAAATAGTGAAAATTTAAAAAAAATCCAGAAACTCCTCCGAATTAACTATACAGGGTGAATTGCTACTCGTGCTACAAACTTCTCCAGTAGATTCTTCACCCTAAAATGAACAAAAAAGTTCATATTGTCCATGGTCCGATTCTCAACNGGACCATGGACAATATGAACTTTTTTGTTCATTTTAGGGTGAAGAATCTACTGGAGAAGTTTGTAGCACGAGTAGCAATTCACCCTGTATACATATATTACTTTTTATATTTATATTGTATTATTGTATTATTGTAAAGTTTCCTCTTTTCGACTGGTGATTTCTGATCATTTGGCCTGTTAACCATTATGGTAACGTGCATATCCTAGTTTGCAGGATAAAAATGAAGAAAACGACCAAGCTACGGTTGCCAATTAACGTTACAGTATCTATTTTAAACTCAAATTTCTCAAAGGATACAATTTCTTAAGTAAAATAAGGAGCGTTTTCTGTTGATTATTTTACACCTGTTTTTGACTAAATTACTCAATATATTATAGACTGTTCCATAAATTGGCCAGGTTTCATAAACCTATGTTGACCAGTTTGGGTCATATTGAAAGATGTTTTCTGTGGGCTCACAATTATCGAAGAACGACGTGACGCCTCTCCTATTGACGTAACGTCTTAACAGATACATAAATTTCTGCTTTCTACATAAATTTCTCCACACGATCACTACCGAATTCTTTAAGGAAAAGGACATATGAAATAAATATTGTATCATGGTTAGATTTTTTAACGTACTTGTTTCGGTCTGACCACAACCAGTCCTTCCTGCAGAATCCGGCCAGACGCAGGTGCCGGAATATTCGTCAAAGTGCAGCCCAGTGGGGCATACTATCTCAGTCGCATCTCCCTCGATGCAGTTGTAGAAAATGTGACAGACGCTTGGTTCTGGGTGGGCGAAGTAGCCGTTTCTCCTGGGGCAAAGATGGTTCGACTTGGGAGCCTCTGAAATCCCACGAAAACATAAAGCGCTATGTCAAATTTAAAAAAAAAGTTGTTCGTCAATGTATTATTCACTCAACATCACTCTCATTTCTCTTACTAACTCCGTGTTGACCTCTTTCACCCTTTATTCCATTTGTACGAATTTCATATCTTGTCAGGCAGCAACATGCAACATACTGCGAAAGGGGTATGCATCGTTTAAAACAAAGCCGTCAATATGCTGAACCTCACAACATATCAATGACACAAATTACAAAGCGCGACTTTTGAAGTTGTTAGATTGGTTTATATAAAAAGTCGAAGCAAATTTCTTGTACGAAAGATTGCCCAATGTGAATGAATAAGCGGACCAAGCAGTAAAAAGTCATTTGTTCTCAAGATCCACTAGTACATTGAACAATAAAACATGGTTACTACTGTATGGCATCATACTTATTAAACCTCCCTTTAACTCTCATCACACTCATCCTCTCACCCTACCGTGTGTCCTCTTAACTTAGATATTTTTGTTCTCTTTGTTATCATGTTTTGTCAAGCATCGACATGCATATATTGTGTATAAGTAAACTTCCGTATAAGACACACTTTATCGTTCATGTTGCCATTTTGTCTGTACGCGTCAGTGGCTGTACCAACAGTTCGTCAAACGGAAAGTTCGTACCGATTGAATAAAAAGAATGTTACGTCAGGGTAATTTTTTAAGCTGTTGACCCAGGATTTGTATCCTTATACAGCGGAGCCCACTTTCACCATCATCATCAACACTTTTGTTGTAAAACAATAATGACCCTTTGTCGGCCTCGGTTCTCAGTGATTCGACTTACGTAGCTCAATCCTGTCGCCACAGTCGACGTTGAAAGGTTGGTCGCATTTGTTGACCTTTCTGTTCAGAGGATCGAAGACTAGTCCATCCGGGCAGAGTTTCTCCGTCGCGACGCCCTCCTCGCACTCATAGTACTTGTCGCACTGGTTCGAGTCTTCGAACTGCCCATGCTTACTCGGGCATTTAAATTGGCCGTCTGTAAAAACAAAAAGCATATTTTATTAAATAAAAGCACCGACCTGGGATAGATTTCCCCATTAATAACAATTTAATTGCATATCGAACATATCGAGCTATTTATAAATTAGATAATTATTCCATAACTTACAACCGCATTCCAGAATAAGTTTCCTGGCAAGAAACGAGTTTTGCTAATACCTGGAACTAGAAGCCTTCATGACTTTTACATAAATTAAATTGCCAGCGGATAATTCACAAATCCATCACATCAAAACCTTTTGGATTTTAACTTTAAAATCAGCATAAGTCAAGGCAACATTTTCAAAATGTAATACATGCTAACAAACTCTACGTACCAAGTTGTACTTAAAACAAGGCTCTGAAACCTGTTTTTAAAAACGTTTTATCGATATCTTAAACTTTCTTTCATTTATAATGACTTGTGACACGATGCAAGAATATAAATTCGCAACTGTTTTTAAATTTATTTATTTATTTGAAACCCAATCCGATTAATTTCTAATAAATAACAGAATTGTAAAAAGTTCAAAAAATTCAGGCACACTCAAAATTTTTGTTGTCTGCCTTTAAGGCAACATACAGCTGACGAATATGGGTTTTACAAAAAAACGTTAAATTACCAAATCAGTAAGAGTATCACAATTGGCATTTGGAATTCCAGTGGACTTAATAACAAATGCTCGATTATATACGTCTTATCACAGAAACGAAAATGGTATCTCAGAAGTAAAGGCCATCCACTAGATATAATATACTATATTTTATAGGCTTAAGTAGACAATCATCAAACCATTGGATTTTTAACAGCGTATATCTACTGCGGAATCCTAATTATGCCAACCCCAGCGGGAGTGGTCTTTTCAAATTGCACATCCCATTTAAAAATGTAAAAAAAAAAAAATTAAAAGGTTAATATGCCCATTTTCATTGGAATCAGACTTCGTTGAGTCCTGTAGGAGAACAGTCACTTGACAGATTTCTCAGGGTACACAGGACAGAAAGAGGAAGATAAACCAGCCTCGACCAGTAGAACCGAACTCTTCTGTAAAATTATTAATTACCAAATGGATTAAGTTAAAAACTCAAACCCGGTTGGACACTTCAGGTCAGAGTTAGGCAAAAGATTCGTCCAAAAAATTCTCGCCTCAAATTACGGCAGACATACGGTACAAAGCCGGACAAAACCCAAGATTGGTTGCACGCCTGTTAACTAGACATTTCCAACCTAATAGGCACTTGAAAATAATATCAGAAGAATAGACTAGGTCCTGCAAAAGAGGAAACCGTAGCACATATTATACGTTACTGTGAAGGCCTAAAAGGAAAAAAGGCTCAGTCTGCAAATTAAATCGAGAAGCCACTGTGGTGGCTGAAAAAAAGCCTGAAGGTAGTCATAACACATAAGACAAGGAACCCAATATTTGATGGACTATTACATAAGAATAATCAATCTATTTTTTATAAAGGAAATGAAACCTGGATTTGTCAAACCGTGGTTTGGTTTAACGCCAGAACATCCCTTCAACTGGAAATCATGCCCTTGACCAAAATGCAGACAAAAGAGCAAAACTCAGGGTGACATCTATTGCCTAATACCAGCGTAATATTTATTTATTTTAAAAGTATAAGTAGGGCCCAAGTATATGTATTAGAAATTAATTTAGTTGTATAAACATAATAACATAATAGCAATAATAAAATATACAAAACAATAATGACATTAATATATTCTTTAAAATATTAATTAGGTATAATCGAATGACGAAACCACACTTCGAAAGAAAAGCAGAAAAAGAAAAAAGGCAAAACGAAATTGGACCAAGAAAAGGAAAATGAGATGTATTTTTAAAAGCTCAGATGCCATGAATCTGATACAAGGCAGCGAGGAAGCAGAACGTACTTCGCGGGGAAGCAAATTCCATAAGTCTTAGGGTGTGTATGTGTTTAGGATGTGATTGGTGCGTTTAGATAAAAAATGTGGAAAAAGAATATAGATACCGAGGATATTTATTTGATTTAATTTTAAATATGTACGTATATTGAAACTCTAAGTTTTTAAGTTTTTAGAATGCTAAGGTTGCTGGAGCATTTATATAGGATCTCTTGGTTTAAGATCATAGCAGTGCCTAATGGAGGAAGGATAAGCAATTTGAAGTCGATGAGCAGATTGAGAAGCTGAGGAAATTGAAAAATAGCGCTACAATAGAGAATAAAGGGATTTTTAGAGATTTAATAATAACTATAGTTTTCTTTGGAATGAAAAAGTTAAGTCGTCCAATAAAATGGAGGCTTGACTTGACCTTTTACCTTAATGGAGCTCACGTGGTCATGCCCCGTTAAAAATAACACCGAGATTTTTGACATAGGACAAAATTAATAGGGGAACCATTGATATGATGAGAGGAATAGACAGTCTGTATTAATCGGTTTATTGATACTTAATAAAGACTGAAATTTTTAAGAGTTTAAAATAATACTGTTATTTGCTGACCATTGGTTAAGAGAATGAAGGTCACGGCAGAGAAATAGCTTCAGAGATTGAATGTAAAGCTGAGTTTCATCAGCATTGGAAGATATTAAGAACTAATGGAAAATCATTTAGAAACATGGAAAAGAGTAAAGGTCCAAGAATAGAGCCATGGGGTACACCAGCTGAAATTGAGAGAGAGAGAAGAGGAGATAGAATTTGAAGCTTAAACTCTCTCAGTTCTCTACAGACAATAAAAATCAAAAAGGCTTCAGTTGCAAAATAAGCAAATTATGATTTACAGAGCCGAAATATTGTAAAAATCAAATAAAACGATAAGAGTACACTTATTGCCTAGGCGATTATCAGCTGAGATTTTGAGAGGCATGTTATAGTAACAGACCAAACCAAATCTACAGTACATGCAATAGTGTTACATCCCTGGCGATGTAGGACTGAGACGGTTTTCAAAGAAATTTGAAATCGTCTGTGAAAAACTTGATTATGTCAATTATTAAAATAGGTCGAGAGCTTGGCAGTAACATCTGAATTTTCTTTTTAACTCAGACCATAACGTGATACGGAGTATTCGTGAATAGAAAAGTGGTCGATAGATATAATACATGTCAGGGCTCATGCCTACTTACTCCTTAACGAGCCAAGGCATGGCACTCTTTTAACAGTTGTGACACACTGACCAACCAAGACAAACAGGGCACCTGCGGGGGTTTTTCCCAAAAGCAGGTGTTCTTGGGTCACTCGGGTATGGCACATCCTTAACACGATCCTTTCCTTTCGTTTCTGACTCTCAGGTCGTATAGACATTGTTCATTTGTGCTTTTAAATCACAAAAGCTTACATTGTTATTCAAACTATTGTGAATACATTCTGTATATGATTTTAGTATTGTAAATAAATCCTATCCGAAACTAGAATTGACTGTTTACATACATTTCTTCTTTCGAACATTGTCGAATGTCGTAAAAGTACGCAAAGTACAATTGTTTTCTGAGAATCATATCGCTGCATTGCTTTACTAAGTTGGAAGGAAGCCGGCGACGTAACAAGTGAGACGTTACGAAATCGAAGGTGGTCTTTATGACTTAGTTGAGCCGCCTACCCCTGAAAAGAATCACGTAACATTCGGGAAGTGGTTCGCCTCGTCGAGATTTTTCCTTTTCCCCTTTCTGCGTACATCCCATCGGTGCAAAGCAGTTCCTAACTCCGCTAACGGTGAAAGGTTGCGAGACGTCCTTGGCGACCCACGACCGGTACATGTGCCACATATTGCATAACCCGAAGAAATTAACCGGCAATTTTGATTTTTTTTTCTTTTTTATCCGGAGAAGGAGAAGAACGCTTCCTAATTCTTTTCGCAAATGACGCATTTGGAATTTAATTCGACCCTAGAGGGATTAAAGCAAGGGCGTTCGTTCCTTGTTCATTATATAATAAAGAAAGTGGTATCCGGCTCAGAGAGCGTTGACTCAAAAACCCAAGGGAAAAGTCTTTTTTTTTAAATTAATTTATTAATATTTATTGTTCATTTCTACAGCCCGGAATGTCATTGTTCTCCCTTCGACTAGCTATTGTGATAACTGATTGTCATCTGAGGTACTAAACACTTCAATCAGAGTACAATGGCAAATCTGCAAAGAAGCAAAAGTCGATATTGCCAAATATCTGTTTATTACAAATCTTTTTTTTATTATATGACTTAAAATTATTGTGTCTAATTCGTTACAATAACTTCTCTAATGTCGGTGAAGTTCGATGTAGTTCATAACCGTAAAATTGTGGTCGAGGCCTCGTTTGCGGGCAAACTGTGGAAAATTCCTCTGCCCTCCAAGTTAAACGAAATGAAAATAATTTTCACCCGAATCGGAAAGCGTGCAATTCACCCGACTGAGGATGAGGCGGTAAAAGCGGAAAAAGGATCATTTAATTGGTTCAACCGTTTGTCATCCTAGAGAATGATGCCATCATGTTAGAAAGACTCCATTGGCTTACTACATATTAAAAATTAAGAATTAAGGACAATAAACTGGCATGAAAAGAGCAATTAAACTGGGAAAAGCATTGAAGGAAAGTCTTTAAGTAGGAAGAATTCAAATAGCAACTCGCTCGGTTTGTTAATTTGATGGAGAGACGTATATCATTAGTTGAACGATTATTCATCAAAGGGTCCACATAGTCTCGCTTTTATATATTTGTCGCTGTTAAAATTCAAACGATGACAGTCAACTTTTATCTTTTATTAAGGAAAAATCCTTTGGCACCGCGTTTTATTTTTAAACGATGACAAAATGAGAAAGTCGATCCCAAATAGGAAACCGGCGTGTTCGGCACCGACGAGAATAACAAAAGTTACAAAATCTCGACCCACTTCTGTAGCTCATACATGTACGATCTTCCGGGTGAAGCTGAAACGCGGAAAAACACCGTCCAGCCCGAATTCGATCCGAGAAAAATCAACCAAAACGTAAACAAAAAAACTGTTTAAAATGCGCTTTTTCTTGTAAAATATAAGTACGAGTAATGCACGTAAGTTAAGGACGAAGAAAATTCCTTCGTGTCCTTCCTGTGCCCCTCGCTCTTGTGCGAACACGGTCAATAGTACCGACTCACTTTATTTGGTATTTATTATATGAAAATATCCAAGGCGATATTGACGAGTGTTGATCTTGTGTGATGTCAATACTCGATCAATCCTCGGCGTGATTGCAGAACAAGACTTCCTGTAGTACCTCAGGGCAACTTTGCTTCTTTCTCCTACAGATAAAACTGCTTTGAAGTTTTTATCCTGCATGTACAGAAAACGCTTAACCATCCCGTACCTTAAACATAATTTGTATAATATTTTAAACTTATTTTTCGCTTTGGAAATAATATAAATAGGTTTTCAACCGATCCTTCACCCTTCTATGTCTAATGTCCAGAAAATTATTGCAATTGACGCTTTTTGCCGTTGTTCGTTCTAAAGAAGCAGGCAAAGTTTTAGGTTCTTTTAAAAGATACCGAAAATATAATAGTAGTGTACCGATGAAATATTCGGTTTGAAGTCAATATTGTGTAAGGTCGAAATTAGATCCCATCAGAAGAGCATTCGTGCAATATTAGGTAGTTTTGAGTTTTAGTTGATGCAAATTGTAAAGAGAAAAAAACCGGTTCTGCTTGATCAGCATGAAGTATCGTCCAAGTGTCTTCTGTATTGAACTGGTTGACTTACATGTTATTGAAAAAGAAATCAAAAGGATGAGGAGAGGCGAGACGACTCTGAACGAAGACATGTTGCGAGACTGGCTCCGGACTCGGCGATTAGTCCTGACTTTATTTCCCGTTCTCTTTCCTTCTCCCACCGACCCTGCACCGCCGACAGCCATCCCTCCTACGAAATGTGCCAAAATGCACAGAATCCTATGAAAAAAATATTAATAAACATGACAAAAGATGTAGTGCTGCGATGGTCGAACCCAAATGCCATCACCCTCAGAGCGAAGAATGCAGAAAATGTTAAACTGCCAGTAAATCCCTTCTGGTTCTGTTATTTCCTTGGAGGACTGTTCTTGGCGATTTTTAGGGTTTTTATCTTGTTCCAGCTTTTAAAAATAAAGATAACCCTTGAAGACTTCTTCGATTAGACTTCGAATCCGTGAAATCATGTTAAATTTGAAAAGGGACGCGAGTAATAAGTAGAAATAAAACGAAAACATGCCAACGCGTAAAAACTAATAGGAAACTCATCAGAACCTGAAGAAATAAAATGTCACAGAGACAAAACAGTTATTTTCTGTGGCGCGCTTGATGCCGGACAACGACGAGGGCGTATGACCTGAAATTTTGCTTAATCAAGCAGCCGAAATATTAAAGATACCCCAGGAATAAAACATTTTTTTCGAAAATTTACGGTTTTCGCCCTTTCCGTGAACAATTATTTTTCCTTTATTTTTATTTTATTTTATTTTTTTTTTTTTATAATTAAAATCGTGTCTTAAACGACCTTCGGTAACGGTTGAATTCTGAAGGATTCTCGTGACGAGATGCAGAGAAAGTTATCTCTTAAATTCGCATAAGGAATAAATATATCTACATTTTGTATATCGATTGCTTTATAACCTCAACAATTTTAAACAAAACGAAATTATTATTAATTGGCAAATTAATTTTACAAAAAAAACTGCTCCAGAAACATAAGTGGTTTATTAAAATTGGTGTTTTGACATTGTACCTACGTCTGTTTATAAAGTTTTTTATTAAATTTTTTCTGCAATTCAAGCCCAATTTAAAACATTGCCTTCATGCAGTTTAGACATTTCCCATCTGCCTTGTAGTTAGTTTAGCTATCTATGCTGGTTCGGTCTGTCATAACTCAGATGCGTTTCAGCTATATAATAAACAGAAACGACCAAACTACAGGTTTTCATCACCTCGCAGTACATGTAGGAAATGTCACAATTTAATTTATTATTGTTTCTAATAGTACATAAATTCATAATAAACATAAAATAGTAAACCCTCCATTAACTTCATTGAACTGCTTGAGCACAGCAGCATCTGGGTCCCCAGTTTCGATTCTGAGGAAGCAGGTTGTTTATTGTACATAGATAGCACTGATAATTTTGAGTCCCTAGCGTGTGTTTAAAATGAATGTATTTATTAGCGCGTTATGTATTGTGAGAGGTACAATAGCGGAATATTGAGTGTCCCGTCGACCCTCAATATCATTAGTTATAATAATAACATTTCATTAACAACATTTAAAACATTATACAAATTAAACATAAAAATAACAGATGGTCAAAAAGAACAACTAGAACAATAAAAAAAGATGTGTAGTATTTAGTGACTGTTAATTAATGATTATTTGGCACTCTCAACACGACGTACGGAAATGACATATCTATACAGAAAACAAACACTTTGAGCCATGAAGATGATCTCAATAAAGATTGAAAAGTTGGCACGATAAAAAAATATTTTTCTAAATCTACGTCACATTAGACCGCATCTCACGATCTCCAAATAGTAATTTATTAGCGTGAAAGGAAATACGTGTGTGTGTGAATATATTGAGTACTCTCTATTCCTCCATCACTCTTTTGTGAGATTTTCTCCTGTGGTCTGGATGTTAAACCTATTGTTTGATAGCTACCTATCACGTTGGTCTGCCTATCCTCGCAGATTTTTGATATTTCACACTAATAAATTACATACATTCCAATAAATTAACATAATTGCAACTCCCGATACAAACTAAAAGTCTGGTCTCATTCATTCCCCCAGAAAATTCGATATTCTTCAGGGTTAAACAACACCTTCCTTTCACACTAATAAATTAAATTCATTCCAATAAATTAACATAACTACAATACATACACAACCCATAAATAAACACTATATAGATTTAAAAATCCCTACGCCCTGAAGTACCAGAACAGCGATCTGTGCCTGCTGGCTACGCAGAATGATGTGCCAAATATTGTCTATATACATCAAGCCTTCTACAATTGAAAAGGTGCTCAACTGATATTCTATCCTTACATAACGAGCACCTACCTACATGGTCGCTTTTCGGCCAGAAGATGCCCGTGCGTTATTCTTGTATGACCTATGTATAGTCTTGTCCGTATGGCATTTTCCCTTTTCGAACTCTGTGGACCAAGGACCGACGACTTTCTTAATCTGGTAGAGTTTGGCAGGGTTATATCTATTTCACGACCCTAGAGGTTTTTCCATTTTCCTTTTATTGTATTTGAAATTATTAGCCGAACCTCAACATGTTACAATTGATCCAAAATAAGTTTTTGAGAAGCCTATGACCTTAATAAGTGCTGAAAGCACTTGCAAGTAAAGAACATTCAGCTTCGAGATTGAGCTGTGATTTTTTATGACATTTGCGATACTCCATTAAGTGTTGTGATATTCCTATTATTATTCAGAAATCGTGAGATGCGGTCTGTATGTATCTGTTCTGTAATACATGTAAACTCAATTGCAGCTACGCCAATATCATTAATCAAATTCAATAGATAACACACATATATCATCACATAACATTCCACACATCAAACATTTTCACATAGTCTAATTTTTCAACAATTTAGCTTTCCTTTTTCGATTTATCCCCGTCTATATAATCCTGAAAGGATAATCTGGCCAAACCATTACCAACGTTTTTTCCCTTCGTCGGCTCTTTTCACCTCAAAGAAGCCGACACCTTATACAAAATTAAACATAAAACAGCAATATCTCACTGGCACTCTCAACACAATTACGCAGAAAACAAACACTTTGAGTGAGTAGAAATACTTAGATTGAATATAAAAAAATATATTTTGCATTGTATAAATTCACTTTTTTCACATCCTACATGTATTTGTTAAATTTAAACAATGTTTGTAAATCCCTGGCCCTGAAGATGATCTCAATTAAGATCGAAACGTTGGCACAATAAAGAAAATGTTTTTCTGAAACCTACTTCACACCACACATTCCTATTATTTCTATTCTGTAAATGTACATAACCTTTTTTATTTAACTTTCTTGGGCCCTCAAAATCTATTTTGTGAATTCTCCTGGCTAAATGAGTGGTTTTTTTAAAAACTTTTTTCCACTTCTCAAAAACCTTGCTTTTTTTTTGGACTTTCTGATTGTAGTTAAAGTGGCCCTGCCACTGGCACTCAAATTTTTAATTAAAAATAAATTAAAAAATAATAAAAAATAAATCTCCTTTCATCATGAAATTAATATTTTTTTACTCTTCTTTTTCGGTTGTAGACTTTTTATATTTCCCAGGTTTCTTTTCAGGAACTAGACAACCATCAAATTTGATGTTTGTCTAGTTCATGAAAAAAAAAAATCCCTAAGAAATATGACGTTAATAGTTTTAAATACGCTGTACATGTTGGGAAGCATCATAGGGTCTTCCAGTGGCTTCTTTGGCCTTCTTCAAATTAAATTGATATTGTACATTGGTCCAAGAAGGCCACAAAATCAGCAATCAATCAATATTTTCTTTTGTTTGGTCAATTTTTAACAGTTGAATTTGTAACAAACAAATGGAAAGGAACGAGAAGGAGGCAATGGACTTTGGAACCTGTCGGAGGCAAAAGTGCAGGAAGGCTAAAAGGCGGAGTACAGAGGACATTCCATTGGAAGACATCGAAGAATCCACATCGTACGTAGCTGCTTCAACTGGGCTTGTAAAAAAACATCTGATGACAAGATTTCAAGAAAACGGCATTCATCTTGTGAGTTCTTTCCTATTCCTCATTTCCTTAATTTTATTTCCTTGGGGATTGCGCATAGAGTAACAGGAATTCATTTATTTTAGTTTAAATACGTCTCAATTATATTTTAAGTTTTTTTTATATTATTTCAAGGTGAATTGATTTTATTTTTTTGTATTAATTTAAGTTTAAAAGATTTTTAAAAAAGTGTGAATTTAATTTTGAAAAAATAGAAACAATTAAGTTGAATTAAATTGGTTTTCCCTTACAGTGCCTTTTATTTTTAAATTCTTCCCATTATTGAAATAATTGTAGAAATAAAAATTTTACAATTATTTTTGATTAATCAAAATTGTATATTAATCTCTATGTAAAAAATACCCTTAAAGTCTAACAAATTTTTCAAGAAACATGATTTTTAGTTGAGATAAAAACCTGAATTAATTGAAAGATATTAATTGGTCAAGCAGACCACAAAAACTAGTTAATTTAACAAGTTAAATGAAGTACATCTTCACTAAAGCTCTCCGTGGCCATTTCATTTGTTGCTGAGAATCAAATAGATTATACATTTGAAAAATGGCAAAAAGGAGGGAAAATTCAAAAGGTGGGGTTGAGATGTGAAGTTAGTGGCCGAGTGGATCAAAGTCACGATAGCTCAAGTGGTAGACAGCGGCGTATCTAGCCAAAGATCGTGGGTTCGAATCCCGCTCGTGACACTGACTTTTTTATCTCAACTAAAAACCTTAATGAATTGAAAGATATTAATTGGTCAAGCAGACCACGAAAACTAGTGAAGAAAAATAATAACGAAAAAAGTTAGGCAAAATTAAATACTTTAATCAATGGAGATTATTTTAAAAAGGTTGGATTTCATTGAGGGAACACTGAACGACAAATATAAATGTCAATTCTTTTAATGATATCAGCATTAAGAGGTATAAAAAAAAATGAGGCAACTTTAGTCTTCATCGCTGCCTGATCTACTACTCTGAGCAGAAGAGCTTGATGAGCTTCGGCTTCGGCTTGGGCTTTTACTTCTGCTCTTGCTACGACTTGGGCTTCTGCTCTTACTATGGCTAGGACTCCTGCTTGCACTTCGGCTCCTACTTTTGCTCCTACTTTTACTCCTGCTTTTACTTCTACTCCTGCTTCTACTCACGCTGCGGCTCTTGCTCCTACTTTTGCTTCGGCTTTGACTTCTACTTTTACTCCTATCACTTTGTTCTCCTGAAAAATTGTCATTTTATTATTTTGAAAATATATTAATTATATTGTGTTTTACCTCCATCAGAAACACTATTAGCTCGACTCCTTTTATCATTGTCTTTATCACTTTCTTCTTTATCGCTTACCTCACTTCCACTCTCACTACCACTTTTATCTTTTTCGCTGTCACTACCTTTGCCACTTCTACTGGCCTTCTCACTCCCACTGTCATCCTCTTTTCCTCCGTTTTCTTTTTTATCTTCTTGGGCTAAAATAGGGATGTTTAATTTATTTAGTAAGTAAATATAAATACATTTGTTTTGTCTCTGTGTACCCTGATCTTCTTCCTCCTCCTCTTCTTCTTCGTCCTCTTCGTCAATATGTGGCTCGAGTTGTTTCTCTCTCTGTCTGTGAATATTGAATTCTGCGGCTGTGAGCGGTATGTGTTTCACAATAAGCCTCGTGTTATTAGGCTGTGAATTAGCCTTTTGTCTTCTTTTGCTCAACCTCACTCTAAAAAGAGATATAGAATTATTTTAACTAACGTTAGACTATGTTAAATGTGTAATTATCGATTATAATTTTTAGCCAAATTTAAAAAGTTAACCTTGTCTCCAGTTCATTAAAATAAACTCCGTCTTGCCGGAAAATTAAAAAGTAATTTTCTTCGTAACCTTTTGAGGCTTTTGTCTTCACATTCCAATTGTATTCTCTTGCAATTTTGTATTCATACTCCTCATCGTCCTCATAATCGATCCCACTGGCAAAATCTCGTCTTCGTTTTTCAAGGGTCTCGGCCGTCGGAAGGAAATAAGCGACGAACTGTTCCCCGCTCTCATCCATTACACCCCTGAAATTGTGTCATTTAACCAACATCTTTCATTTAAAAATTTTTAAAACCTAAGGACATCAATTCATCACCTTATAACAGCTTGTGACATTTCTTCGAGTTGTGCAGGAACAGACATTCCGACCGGTGCGGGATCAGAGTCGAACATCACCTGAGCACAAGGATACTTCCACAACTTGAAATCAGGGAACAGGGGAAGAACTTCGACCGCTGTTACATTCGGTTTACTATAATGTTTCTCAATAGGCGTCTTCGCATCAGTAAAGGTTTTCTCAATTGCTTTTATTTGGCTATCTCTGTCCATAGATAATGTATCCTCCTTAAATATGATAAAAGAGTTTAAATAATCATTTCAGAAAATAATATAAATCTGTTTTATATGAATTAAAATTAATTTGTGTTTGTAAAGAGATTCCAACAGAAGAGTTAATTCACAGCATTGAAGAATAAAATACAGAAAAATCTGGTTAAATTGAATTTCATAGAAAAGCAAGATGATAAACCATAAAGCTGGTTGTTTTCCATGATTTTGATCTGCCTTCGATCTGGTACACCTCACATTTTCAATGTACTACACATGTTTCTGCCTTTTGCTGTCATCAGTAGTGGATTGTATAGTTTTCTGTTTAGTCTATTTTAAGTTTGTAGAACTCCTTTCACATTTTACACTGACATGCCAATATCAGCAATGATCAGGCCAACCTCAGGTTAACAAAAATAAGATAATATTTGTGAATAATTATACAAAAGTCCAATTGGCAGTCATTAGCAATGAAGCTTTTGCTTTGATTTTGATTTTTTTGGTATTAACTTCAGCTTTTTGGGAAATGCAGTGATTTTGTTTTGTTTTATTGTTTTAAAAACCTACAATGATATGGCGAATGAAATCTCCAAACCTACTTTTTTCTTAATCCAAGAAACATAAAAATATCCCAAAAGTGAATTGAAAACCAAAATTTCAAGTTCTACTAAAAACAAATTCGGTATATACTGTCCTGATGGATTTTAGAAATTGACCTTTGAAGTTTTTCATGCTGAATGGCCTCCATTAAGCTACCATGTTTTTTTTGTTTTTTTTTAGTTTTTGGCCAAGCACTTATATTTTTTATAATCCTGAAGACTTTTTTTATTATTAACATTTATAACGTATTTATAGATTCCCTCTCCTGTGTTCTTTTAATCAAAAAATCTTATTATATTAAGTTCAAGTTCCAAAAATTTATGATAATTACTAAAGAAAAAGAACAGATCTGAAAGAAAGAAAGTGTTTGTTTTTTTACAAATATATGTTTTTTTATTATAATTTATTTTAGAATGCAATAGTAAATTAACGCAAAACATATTTAAATTAATGTTATTGAATTTCCATTTCCTACATTCAATACCATGCATATTCTCACTAATTGATGCGTTTTATGCTGGAAATGAATTTTCATGACTTAAAAAAAAGTGGAAAATAACAAGTGTTTTAATTTTACCTAAGTAATACAAGCAGTTTTTATTAAGATACAGTAAAATTTCAGTAATATGGTTTTTTCACTAGTATTTTCTCCAAACGTTTTAAGCTATAATACAACATATCAATATTTTAAACAGATATTTTTAATATTTGTAGACACATTCGTTTTATGTGTGTTTCAATAAGAAATGTATCTTTGCATAAAATGATAAAAAATGAAAATTTGGATATACAGCATTTCTTCTTAGCAGAATAACAGCTTCTCAACTTAAAATTGAGGTATGGCTAATGCAATATTCGACAATTGGAGAAAATCGTATGAAAAAGTAATTATTCAAAATAAAGACTTACCTTGAGGCTTTTTTTAATACTGTAACCAACTTTTGCCTCGACTTTGTCCATTGTTTGTGGCTGGTATCGAGTCTGTTCAGTTGAAATATATTCAGTTCTACGAAGCCAGGAGACACTCCTTGAATGATGCCTTGACCTGAAAGAATAGACAAACAAGATAGTCATGTATATGTATAAATTAAAAGAAAATACTAATAATATATTAATGGACAAAATTAACACACCACCCTTAAATTTTAATGTATTTAGATTTATTCATATTTTGCACACCAAAAATAGGTGTAGTTGTAAAATAAATAAGACATTTAATTAAAAAGAAAATTTTCATTACCTGATTCTAAAAACCAAAACAATTATTGAGTAAAGAAAAAAAGCCAAAACAAATAAAAATGTTTAAAAAAATTTTGTCCCCTTTAATACTGGGTTTCCACCTCTAGTGCGAATTACACCCGTTAATAAATGCCTTTGCATTCCTTGGAAAATATTTCTGGTAAAATCCTGAGGAATTCTTTCCCACTCATCAAGAACAACCATTTCCAACTCTTCTAGGGTGTTAGGACCTGGGTTTCACCATTGTACTTGTCGCTTACATTGGTCACAAATGTGTTCAATTAGGTTCAATTCTGAACTTCGAGTTGGCCACACTAAGCACTCAATTCCAACCTCATCCAGGTCATTCACAATACGTGCTCTATAGGGCCTGGCATTATCCTTCATAAGCAAGAATCTCTCACTGATGTGAGAGGCAAATGGTGAATATTCTTCGATTATGTCTCATAAGTATCTCTGTGATGTTAAAGATATTCCTGGCACAACAACCAATTCAGTGCAAGCATCCAAGGAAACACCACCCCAATGACAGCATGGGATGTACCTTTCTCCTGAGCGTCTCCATATGAAATTACGCCCATCTGAGGATTTGAGGCCAACTTTCACCTCAACTGTACATAGAACGCACCCCCAATATTCCAATGTCACAAGTTCTCATGTAAACTGAAGCCTGGCTATTTTCTGAGCTGTGGTATGAAGCAGTCCATGAGCTGGGTGCCAAATCCTGAGGATATTTTCATTGAGCCTTCCTAGACAGTCCTAGAATAAATCGAAACATTTCGGACTTGTCTTATCTCAGATTTCTTATATAATTTCCTGTAATGCTGCGGTTTTGTAGAGACTGATGGACAAAGCTATCATCCCTTATTTGTAGACCTAGGCCGACAATGTCCTGGCCTTCTAATGTGTAGCCCTGTTTCTATGAAGCGCCAAAGAACCCATTCTATTGTACATTCAGTCTCCTGGCGACTTCACATTGGCTGTATCCTTCCTCTAATAATATGACAACTCTGATACTGTCGTACTGACCCCAATACCTGACAGGAGCCATTGAAAAAGGTTTAAGGATAAGAATAATATCGAATGAAATCAACAAGGGAAAAAGACCTGAAAGCGATCTTAAGGCAGAATAAATGGAATAATGCTACTTTTAGTGCAAATAGGATTACTGAGTGCAAAAGTAAATAAAGGAAGTTAACAAAGCATTTTTGCTGTTTATTTTGACTATGATATCTCCTAATTACCTGTACAAATGTAGAAGATGTAGAATGGAGAAAGATAATGGTTTTTAATTTTAAACTAAATAAATTGAGAGGGGTTAAATTTGTCCTTCAGGGTGATAATAATAAGGAAAATATTACCTCTTGGAATCATGCAGTGTGAGAACGTCTTCCTCGAGCAAACGTTCATCGGCTGGGTCGAGAACCGCATCCGGGTCGGCCAGATACATATCCTTATTGATGAGATCAATCGTGACTCCAAGGTCATGCTCCGTAAGAACTTCATATTTGTAATTCCTCTCTAAAGATGTCGGGTTGTACTGAATGAATCTGAAAAAGAGGAAAATTACTGGATCGCTATGCTATGCCTTGAATAAAAGGTCAGCGCCTTACCTTGTCGATTCAAATGGATACGTTATGAATTTAGGGTCGAACGGAATATCGGGAAGAGTATTACAATATTTAACCCTGCAGATGAACTCTGACCTGAAACAAAATTTGAAATCAGGGAGAAAGAGCAAATTTCAGAGAAAATTTAACTGGGCTGAATTCATTATCGTTTAAAATAAGCGTAAAAAAAACTATTGTAATGTTGAATCAGAAAACGGATGAAATAAACGAGTCTTGATAGTTTCACGGTCAACAGGTGAATCACAAATTACGCGACAATATCGAAAATCTTTGAAAAAGGGTCGAAAAAACTCCAAATCTTTCTACATCGAAACGAAATAAATAATTCAAAAATAAATTGTAAAAAAATTGTGTAATACCTCCTTTCCGTCCCCGGCTTATGTACGTTGAGCCGTTTGTCAACGTTATTCCCCGTGGGCACGGTCGGCGACATTTTTTTCGAGGCGTCAATTTAAAAAAAAAAATCAATTTGGCCAAAAAACATCGACACACATTTCCGACTCGCACTTTTTCCTCCTTTTTTTGTTTTGGTTTTCTCGATAAAAATATCACACCAAAAGTACACGAATGAAACCTTAAGCGATGGACTAAAAGACGTCGCGATACTTGTGATATCGAATCGTTCCTCTCTATCGATAAAAGTATCATTACTAAAAAGAAATATGTAGGAATCTTCACAGAAATAATAAATATTCATTATTTACATATTTATTAAATTTACGAGCAAGCGCACAATATAAAAATAAATATTCGATTTAAATGATATTATCGGATGCAATAGACGAAAGTTCAAGTATTAAAGAAAGCCCACCGCCATCTTACACAGTGTGTAATACACACCACCAGACACAACGCAGTTACTGTTTGGAATTGACTGTCATTTTACAAAAATCCAAAATAATACCACACCCAAAATAACCAACCGGCGCAAAATGAAAACAGGAACTTTGGGAGGGAAAAATAAAACTAATGAAACCATGTATTTTGGAGTAATTTTAACATTTCAGCTAACTTATATGGATAAAAGAGGTGGCCACAAGGCCTTCTGCACCTCGACCTAAGTAGATCTATTATGCTCCTTCATTTTTATAACTCACTGACCAGCTTCAAGTTGTTAACCAACATCCATGGCACTATGTGGCATTCGGCACAGTTAATCACACAATTCTGTTGGAAAAGTTACACCACTTTGGCATCAGGGGTACATCTTTGAAATTTTGTGAAAAAAAATTTTGAAAAACGAGAAACAATGTAATGATTAATGGAATTTATTCTGGAAGTACTCAAATATGATTTATCTCAGGGATCCATTTTAGGACCTATACTTAATGTGATGATTAAATGACTTAAAAGTTTTGTAAATAGTACAGATAAGAATATTCCTACCTTCCAACTTGCTGACAATATTAATTTTATTACTAAATACAATATAAAAGGGAGATTTACTGTGTCCCCACCCTGTCACAATCATCAAGTGTTTGTCTTCTGTGTAATTGTGCCATTCTTGGGAACTCTCAACACGACACGCAAGAATGGCACAATTACACAGAATACAAACACTTTGAGCCCTGAAGATGATCTCAATAAAGATCGAAACGTTGGCTCGATAAAAAAAATGTTTTTCTGAAACCTACATCACACCAGACCGCATCTCACGATTTCTGAATAAATATAAATTAACATTTCACAACAATTTCACACAACACCAATATGACACCACAAGAATAGCACCACACTTTCTGTGTGGATGAAATATTTGGTTCAAAGTTTATTAAGTTTCTAGGTTTTATACTAGGTAATAAGCTTAAATGGCATAATCATATTAACTATGTATGCAGAAAACATGCCCTGACCTATTTTGTACTAAGCAAATTAAGAAATGTCACTGATATCAGTATACTATGAACTGTTTTTCAAATTATCACAACTTTAAGGAATTGGAAATAATGCCAAAAGATTTTGGGGTGGTGAAATATATGCAGAAATAATACTAAAAATGCAAAAAAAAGGCATTAAGAATAATTAATTATTCTTTTTATCTAAAGTTTTTGGTTGAGATGAAAAATTAGTGTCACAAGTAGGATTTCAACCCACAACCTTCGGCTCAATATGCCACTGCTCTAGCCATTTGAGCTATCATGGCTTCGATCCCCTCAGACACCAACTTCTCATCTCAACCTACAACCATTTGAATTTTCCCTCTTTTTGCTATATTTTCATCTCAACCCAAAACCTTAAATAAAAAGAATAATTAATTGGAATAATTAATATGGTCAAATATGACCACTAAGCAAATATGGATTAAGAATAATCTTTAAGAAAAAACAAAGCTCATAGTAAACCACTAGCCAATGAGCTGAAAGTGACTATACCTGCACTGTAGGACTCCAATCTAAAGTATATTAATATAATATAGTAAGCCATAAAAAGAGTACTATAGAAAGGAAAGCCATATTATTGAGACTTGCTTTGAAACGACCAAGATAAATACTAGAAATTACAATAATTTAGTAATTCCTTTCGGTTCAATGAAAAAAACAGCAAAGAGCCCAGAAAACAGTACAATTAGGAAATACACCATTCTCCCCAATAAGATAAAATTGTTAATGACTGTGTATTCTTAACATTTATTAAAAAAAGAAAAGTCATTAAGAGAAAATCCTATATACCACAAGGATGAATTCAAGGAGGTTGTATAAAGAATAGAGTAATGAATTGTGTATTTATTTTGTGACATTTGTACTATGAAATTGTGAACACAATAAAAATATTCTATTCATAGCCTTGCCAGTGGCTCCTTTGCGTAGGATCTTGCTTGTGGTTTTTCCTCTCCTAGTTACAATATCTGCACCTAAATAGGCCTTCACAAAAACAAAACATGTTTATTGGAATTTGATATTGGTATATATGGTACTACAATAAATCGTGTTAAAACCTATTTAAAAGATCACATCCAAATAACTAACGCAAATGTGAATTAAAAAAAAAACCTTGAGGTTCTGGGATTCCACGATGTACTGTACTTGTGCCTATCTTGTTTTTGGTTTACATTGATAAATTATTAAAACTAGATATCTCCTTAATTCAATATTTGGAGCAGCCAGTATGTAGTCCCAACTTAAACCCTATAGAAGAACTTTGGGATGAGTTGTCAAAGAGGATAAAAAGTCGCCCACTGGTACCAGAGAATTTGCAGGAATTAACAATGCACTGTTGGAAGAGTATAAAAATATATATATATATCGTTTCCAATATTTTAATTATTTTATGTATAATTTTATATTTCATCTATGTAAATTAGGCTATCAGCCTGTATAAAATAAATAAATATTATATAATATTATTACAATTAAAATTATTATATTAAATTGAAATATTATTAAATAAAAAATAAATTAAACTAGTTTTGCTGTTTTCAGGAAACTTTGCATTCAATTGACGGTACTAACGAAGCAATGTCGCAGAACGCACAGTTTTGCTTATTTTAAATTTAGCAGAACACGAAAACAACGTGCATGGTGATGACATCATTGGAATGACGGTTGTGCCATCCGGCGGTTGTTTGAAACCCTGCCGGAACTCGAAACAGCTGAGACGTGAAGCGTGCTGAGTGAATTGTGAAACCTAACACCTTGACTGCTATTCGTCCCTCGTGCGCACGTTAGCTCCACGCTTTTAAAATTAGACGATTTATTTTTACAGCCTGCCTGCTGCCAGTCGTTCAGTTATTATCAAAGGGGAAAAAATCCGCTTTCAGCCGCTACTTGAGGCCCGCCGAGTTCCTCATCTCCTGAAATAATCTCGTATGAGCCTTTTCTGAAGTCCGGCTCTGGCCAGGCGTCTTCCGTAAAAAGTCGGATGCTGGGGAAAAAAGCTGCTTCCGCGATCCGCAGCCATGAAGGGAGTCACGATGAAAAAGGGCTCCTTGATCCACTCGGAAAAGCCCTTCGTCCACGTGCTGTCGACCAACCACAGAAAGGACAGATGCGATAACTGTTATTCTGGGCAAGTTGATTACTCTATAAAATATTTTATCGATGCCACTTCGTTAAAATAACAGTAAAAACGTTTCGAGACTTCGCACATCCACCTGCAGGACGATCGCGTAAAGATGACATGAACTTTCCTGTTTTCGAACCGGATTAAAAAGAATCATTTACAGCTTAATAAAGTTATTATACTCGATAGTATATTGGATGGAGATGTTCTTTATGCCATTTAAGAATATTTTGCGTAAAAATCTGTATATTTTTTCAATACTTATGGTTTTCATTCGTAAAGATCTATATTAACAAACTTTCACATATTTCAAGATTATATATTACTCCATTTATGGTTATTGACCATATTTATTATTTCAATTAATTATTTTTTTATGTAAGGTCCTGGTTGAGATGAAAAAGTAAGTGTCATAAGCAGGAACCCACAACCTTTTCGGCTAAATACGCCGCTGCTCAACCACTTGAGCTATTGTGACTTCCATACACTCGGACACCAACTCCCCATCTCAACCTACCTTTCGAATTTAACCTCCTTTTTGCTATTTTTCAATCAATCAAGTCAATTGGACCACGAATTATAACGGATTCAATAAGTAAAACAAAGTTATATCTTCACTAAAGCTCTCTGTGGCCATTTCATTTGTCGATGAGAACCGAATCCCGATTTCACGACATTTGAAAAATGGCAAAACGAAGGGAAAATTGTAAAGTTGTAAGTTGAGATGGGAAGTTGTCTGAGTGGATTGAAGTCACGATAGCTCAAGTGGTAGAGCAGTGATGTATTTAGCCAAAGGTCGTGGGTTTGAATCCCGCTAATAACACTAACTTTTTCATTTCAACCAAAAACCTTACATAAAAAGATTAATTAATTAAAAGAAGTTATTTGGTCAATTGGACCATGAAATATAAAGGATTAAAAAGTAATGTAATTCCTGTCATACATAAGTGCTTAATGTCTTAACTCATGCTGAACTACCATAGGGACACTAATTTTGTCTGTCTTAACTCGCATATTTGAAAAACTTAACACACAAGTGAAGACAGAAACAAAAAGCGACCCTATGTTCACCGACTCGCAGACCAACACCCATAATTAACTTTAATATCCAACTAACCGTTGGGTGTCGTGGACGAGGTATCAAACTATTCAAAAATCCTTTCATATTATTCTCATTTGAAAAACCATAGGTTGTGCCGGGATTCATACCCAGGATTGCCAGCTTGGCAAATAGTTGGACGCCCTAACCACTCGGCCACCACAGTTCCCCTTACTATTGGTAACAAGGTAAGCAAGAGTGAAATAAAAAAACAACTGGCAATATCTGGATAATATGTTGTCATGTAGGAATGGCATATTACACACTATTATACCACAGAATATTAGTATTGTTTTGTTGGCTACATAAAAAGGAACTGTTGAATATTTCTAATGATTTTGGTTGGGTTCGTTTCTGACCATCCTGGTTCATATATTGGTGTTATTTACTTTTTATGGAAAAAAAAAAATTGAAAGGTGTTTTTCACGTACTCTCAATATTTCACAATTGCCTGTCACATTTGAATTTCATAAAATTCAAATATATTTGTATTTTTGTTGTTTGATCAGACTGATCCAAATATGAAATCTGCTACTGAATATGGCAAAATGCTAAAGAACGCCTGACTGACAAAAGCATACGTATAGGCAAGCCAGAATGTTTATAAATTACCTAAAATGAAAACATGCCTTGCTTACGTCACCATGAAATATCAGTTTTATTTATTTTTGACCACCACAAAGTACAAATATTTGTTATATAAGAAACTAGGTTTTTATATAATAAATAAAAATGTAATATTTTGTTATTTTTAACTTGGATGTGTGGTTTATGGTTCTGTGTCTTCATGTGGTGTGAGAAAGCTAAACATTTACAACTTTTACATGTAAAACTGCCAACAAACTTTGACCAACAATGGCCTTAATGTGGGGATGTGTGGTGAAGTTATAAACATAGGAATTAAAATAATAATGTTTTCTTATATTTTGACCTCAAAAGTTAATCTTATGATTCTTCCTTCTTGAAGGTGGGATAATAGGTCATCTTCTGGTCAGATGACCTATTATCCCACCTTCAAGAAGGAAGAATCATAAAATAATAATAATTGTTTTTTTTTATCTTCTAACTATAAATGTACAAATCTGATAAATTGAGTGTTTTTTCATAAAAATTCATTATTCCTATCAAAAAATTCCCATACCAGATACAATGAACAAAACGAAAATCATGATACCACCCACCCTGTTGAAATGTTGGTTGTTGAATTTTTGTTTATTTATAACATATTAATGCTAATAATTTATAATAAGATTTCTGTTGTTAAATTTTACAGATGTGAATTGCTGAGGTGTTCTGGGTGTGAATATGTAAAATACTGTGATAGCACCTGCCAGAAAAATTCTTGGACTTTTCACAGAAATGAATGTTTAAATTTGAAAAAGTTGCCTCCGAACCGAGAATTGCCCAACGCTGCCAGACTCTTGGCACGAATCATTATGAAGCTCAAGGTAAATTATTTGTCTATTTATCTTCACAATTATTGTTTTTTTTTATTTTGTATGTTTCCACACAGTAGGCTTTAGGAAAAGATTTTGTTTAAAATAAACTTGCTTTATTTAAAACTAAACAGTTATCCACACCATTGATATTATTGATTTTTAATTATTATTGATCATTTCAGAGAGGTGGAGGACATGAGAAAGGTTTCTACTCTAAAAACCGGTTTAGGATGTTCAAGGATTTAATGTCTCGTAAGTTATTTCAATAGTTGTTAATGCCATTGATGAAGTAACAATTTTATCACTGTTTAGATTACTCTGACATCAAGGAAGACAAGAAGAAAATGGAACACTCGAACTGCCTCTATCACGTCCTCTCTGATTTCATGGGACGGGAAAATCTGCCAAATTTCCCCGAGTTTGTCGGCCTGTATGGAAGGGTGCTGTCATAAAACAAACAAAAATTCAATATTAAATAATTAGAAGCAACAGCAAGTTTGTTTTATATTTCTAGCATTTTTCTCTATTAATTTTTCTTTGTAGTTGGCATAATTCATAACTTCTCCCATTTCATTTCTACTTTGCTATATTCATTTGTTCTTAGCCTATTTTTAAAAGTTGCAAACCTTTTTTTCTTAAGTTACAAAAAATAATATTTTCAAACAAAGCTCCAATATTAATCAAACATTGCTATTTTATTTAGAAGTTCTATTACAAAATTTGTTTTATATTGTTTTTAAAATTTAGTTTATTTTTATATTATAATGTTATAGTAAATGTGTGCCCAGTCCAATTGATTGCTTGCAGCAAAAGTGAGGGAAAAGATCTCATAGATATGGTCAAAAATACTCATTTAGAGATTTCATAACTCTTATTGTGTGAAGAATCAGTGTTGATAATAGTGTAAAGTTGAAGTGCATAAATGCATGCAATCATCGCTGAGTTAGGAAAAGTTGCATGATTTGTATAACAGTTTAACAACTTACGCGATAGGTGATCTTAACAAATTAATAATTGCTATGCTTCAGCTTTAATAAGAAAACATGAGATAATTCAAATTAAATTATAATTATTCAGAAATCGTGAGATGCGGTCGGGTGTGATGTAGGTTTCAGAAAAACATTTTCTTTATCGTGCCAACGTTTCGTTCTTTATTGAGATCATCTTCAGGGCCTGGGATTTACAAACATTGTTTACATTTAACAAAAAATGCATGTAGGTTGTGGAAAACAGTGAATTTATACAATGCAAAAAAAAAATATATATATATTTTTTTTTTTTTTTTTTTTTTAAACTTGACTTTGACTTCAACAATCCAAATATATTACACACAGAACAAAACAAACATAAACGTATTTTTTGAGAAATTGTTTACATCAAGAGAGATAAACATAGCATCATTTACAGAACAGATACATGTAAACTCAGTTGCAGCTATGCCAATATCATTAATCAAATTCAATATAGATAACATACATATATCATCTCATCACATTCCACACCTCAAACATTTTTCACATAGTCTAATTTTTCAACAATTTAGCTTTCCTTTTCGTATTTATCCCCTTCTATATAATCCTGAAAGGATAATCTAGCCGAACCATTACCAACGTTTTTTTCCCTTCGTTGGCTCTTTTCACCTCAAAGAAGCCGATGCCTTGTACAAAAATGTCTTTTCTATACGGACTTCCTTCCCCACCCCTTCAAAATCCAACGTATATTAACACAAAACAGCAATATCTCACTTGCACTCTCAACACGACACGCAAGAATGGCAAAATTACACAGAAGACAACACTTTGAGTGAGTAGAAATACTTGATTGAATAAAAATATATATTTTGCATTGTATAAATTCACTTTTTTCCACATCCTAAATGTATTTGTTAAATGTAAACAATGTTTGTAAATCCCAGGCCCTGAAGATGATCTCAATAAAAGATCGAAACGTTGGCACGATAAAGAAAATGTTTTTCTGAAACCTACATCACACCAGACCGCATCTCACGATTTCTGAATAATTATCGGTTAACAGTCACTAACCACCACACATTAAATTATAATTTTGATCAACTTGAAAATGAGTTTTGTAATTTAGAATTAATGTTTCTAGTTCTAATCTTATATATATTTAATTAGAAGTATCTTTTTTTCACGTTTTTTTTTCTTCTTCTTCAATCACGACAGCACTTTTTCAGTTTCCCAATACTTTTGCTAAATTAAAATTTATGCACCCTATTTTTATGTTAGAAGCTATTTTGGACAGCTCTTAATATTCATTAGTATTAGAGTACAATTTATCTTTAAACTTCATAAAATTGCAACGTTTAATTATTTGTTTTAAATGGTGTATTTCCAAAGCAAACAACAAAAAATATTTTAAAAAAGTATATGTTATCATTTTCCCCATATTTGTTTTTATTGGTGTAAAAGAAGTTTCATAAAGTGCTTTGTTGAGGTAAAAAATACATTTTAAGCCATTAATTGTAAAAAATAAATACCATAAAAAGACAGTACAATAAAAAAAATATTAGTAATTAAAGAAAAAGTACAAGTATAGTTCGCAGTCTGCCAATAATGCTTTTTGTAATCTAACCAAAAAATGTAATGAAAAAATGAAAATAATATTTTTTGTTTTAAAATGATAATAAAAAAGAAAGTTTATTTTTAATTATTTTAAGTAAATTCAATAATAAGGCTTATCTTAATAAACTATTAAAAATTTTAGGTGACTGTAAATAGTTTTAACGTCCTTGATCTTGACATGACAACCCTAGGGACAGCTGTTTATCTCGGCGCATCTACAATCGATCACTCTTGTGAACCCAACGCTGTCGCCACATTTGTCGGGACTACCATTCATATAAGAACTGTTGCTGACATCGAAGATTATGATTGGAGCAAGGTATCTTTTTTTTTTTTTTTTTTTTTTTTTTTTTTTTTTTTTTTTTTTTTTTTTTTCCCCTCCCCACTTTATCACACCTCGATTTTTTGTAAAGAGGTTTATATTTATATATATATATATATTTTTTTTTAATTTTAGGTTAGGATATCGTACATTGATACATTGAAAAACAGAGCGGAAAGGCATCTGGCACTGTGGTCGCAATACTATTTCGAGTGCGACTGTACAAAATGCAATTTGAAAAATGACCAAAGAGTTGTTGAGTCTTGCATTCAATGTCAGGACTGTTCGGCACCTGTAAATGTAGATAAGGTGGGTTTATCTCAATAATTACGTTTTTAAAAGGATGAATATTAAATATATCCCAATTTAATTGCAATGTAAAGTAACAGTTTGAAATAAGCAAGAATTCAGACCACATCCCTGATTTCTAAAATCAATTTGTTAATCATCACTGGTGGATAATTCTCTGTGTGATCAACAAGAAATGTTCTGTTTTAGTAACTTTTTGTGTTTTTTGCAAGTTTAAGCAAAAATGATAGCAATTATGGAACATCACTTCCAACTAATTAATCCGACAAAATTGCAAATAAATGTTTTATAAAAGCTTAAGAAAAGAAGAACTACAAAAACGAATAGCATATATATAGCATACTAAAATGACATGACTTTCTGAACAAATTTCTGTCTGTCTGTGATCAATTCCTTGTAACCGCAAAACTCTGAAACCAATATTTATGAAATTTTCAGATAGTGCGGGTTGGTTTCTAGATGATCCCCTATGAATTTCATCCCAGACGGATCAATGGTAATCGCCATCACGTGCACAAATGTAAAATTTACACACTGTATCTCTGAAACCATAATACGGATTTTGATGAAATTTGCTGGAATTATGTGGTTGGTTTCCAGATAGTCCTCTATGAATTTCATCGCAATTGTACAATCACATACACAACTATGAGTCTGAAACCATTTATCAGATACTTATACAATTTTCAAGGATTATGCAGGTTGCTTTGTAAATGATCCCCTATGAATTTTATTCCAAACGAATTAAAATATGCACTTGCCTATCACAAAATGTGAGGAAGCTGACCTGCGACCCACTTGGCAGACTTGTTTCACGTTCCCAGTGAGGCAACTGTGTAAAAAAAAATAACTTCCACCACGGTGCTTGGTGGCACTTGGGCAGGCTGCCTGTTTCCATTCCTCAGTTTCTGGGTCTGTCAGTAGATTAAAGCAACACCTTTTCACCTTTAGGAGCGCATGTGACATGACAAACATCGATGTTCTTCATTTAATTGTTTCAAGTTTCATTCTTTAATGGAACCTATTAAAACTAGTTTATTATGTATTTACATAAACAATAATTTTAATTTTGTCTTCAAGGAAAACGTGAGTTGTACGATGTGCGGCTGTAAGGTACCAGAAGAGACAGTTCTTCTTTACAAAGAAGTAATTAATTTTACAACACATCAATATGAATTAATGGACCAAATTGCTTGTATCCTTCAATGCAATCAGAAAAAAACATGCTTTTTATTAACCACTTTTTCCTTACATTTTAAAACAAAGATTTTGATTCTTGTAAATTATGCCTTGCCAAGATGGAAGGTCTAGTCCACCACAACAATATAATTTATGTACAAACTCTAGATCTCGCTTTTGAGAGTGCGATACAACTCCAGAAATGGGACGAAGCCATCGAACTAGGACAGAAATTAACAAATGGCTACAAGTAAATAAATAAATGTTATTACCACCCATTTCTTTTTAACGTATTTAACTTTCCTATTAATTTCCAGATTATATTGCGGCCGGTATAGTCCGTTGCTAGGTTACCACTATTTAAAGTATGGCAAGATCCTCCTGTACAACAACAATACCACACAGGCGCTGGAAATGTTCGAAGCCGCTAGCGACGTGTTGAAAGTCACCCATGGAACCGAGCACACGTTGTACAAACACAACCTTATGCATCTCATGCTCGAAACGAAAACCCTTCTTTATTCTATGTCTTAAAAAGCCACCTGAATTGTTACACTTTTGTGTATGTAAATCGACTGCATTTTTTTTGTTTGTCGTATTGTATTTGAGATATAAACACAGTGATAAATTCACTATAAATAAACAAAAGCCGGAAATTTGAATGAAAATGGTTTATAAAATAGATCAAATATTATTTACTGCATGTGCTTAGTTTTGAAAAAAGCTTTCTTAAATTTAATTTTGTTTTACCCCAACTACTGAACTACCTATATAAACTCATTGTCAATTATGTATAAAAGAAGATATGTACTTTTCATTAAAAAATTAAGTTTTGCATAATCTTCAGGAACAACTTTTTTGTAAATAACATTTTTAAATTTTTTTTTTAATGATAAAAAGAGCAATTGGATAGCAATTCGTGTTTCATTTCATAAGACCTTTTAATAGTTTGAATGCGATATTCATAGAAAAACATACTTGCATTTTTGTCTATGCAGCAAATTGCCTATTGTCATTTATGTTCAAGACGCAATGTAGTTGTACAGAAAAGTTGTTCATGAAAAATGTACAAGGCTTCTTCCTATTTCTTCATAAGAAGCATATATCAAAATGTTTCCAAGACAAAAGATGTGATATTTAGGATAAGGTAAAAGTTCAGTTTGGCAAAAAGAAATTCAATAATTTTATGACTGTTTTGCATTCATTTTCTAGTTTTGATTAATTATTTATAATAAAATACCTAAAATAAATTATTTTGCGTTTGTGAAACTTGTGGGATAGGTTGGCAAAAAGACCGGTATCTATAAGCGATCAAATTTAAATTAGTGGACAATACTATCCTACAATTGAACATTTCAGTTTATACTTCTTTTTTTTTTCTTTTTATTTTAAACAAATTATTAATTCCAAAATGGAATATAAATTTGAAAAATATTTTTATATTTGATATTTTCATAATTTATGAGAATCTCATTATTTCGTGGCTGACGAATAAGCTGCAATCTAAAACTTTTATTTATGCAAATTAGGTGAAATTTTGTTCTGAACTAACAGGAATTATTAAGAATGATTTATTTTATAAAATATATTGACAAGTAGTGATTTGTGTTATGATTATAATGAAAGTTTATTGTTTTGACTAGTTATCTTCTTCAATCCTACATTCTGACTTCCAATTTTTTGGTGCGACACTGTCGACCATTTTTGAAAAGTCCTTTAAGTTACATGGGTTGTTGCAGTTGGGGGCGTTGAGCACAGTCGGTTCTGCAGTCGCACTGTTGTTAAAGTACAACATCTAGAGACAAACAATTAATCAAGCGATAATTACGACTCGGCGTCATGTGTTACCTGAACGATATGCCCTCTTGAGTTTTCGTGTAGTTCAAAAACTATGTAAGCACTGGTATCGACCAAAAATGGATCTTTGAATCCGAGACCACCTAATATCGCAATAAGTGTAACATCGTGTGCTGCCAGCAAGTACATCCGTCTGTCAGGCACCATTGTGCCATTTACCTTTCTTTGCAACTGGCTGTTCACATTTTCGAGTACAGGTCCTAAACATAAAACCATGAATTTGTTTATATATAAACAAAACATTACAACAAATGAAAAAAAAAGCTACCAGAAGTCAATCTGGTCATTTTTGGACTCCCTATAATTAAAGCAGCTATTGCTTGAACATAATAGGGAGTCAGAATTGTAGGAAAGATTTTTTTAGTCCATTTTGGAAGTTTAAAACCATTTTCTTGCTAAAAAAAAATAAATAATTATTTTATTTTATTTTGTATTTTTGAAAAAATGAAAACCTGTAGATTTAAAGTGTCCCATAATAGCGCTAAATCTATTAGAGTCGTTGTATTACGGCCTGTGTGTTTTGAAACATACAAAGTCAAGTTTTTATTATCTGATTCCAATTTCTTATCAAGCTTCTTAAAAATCCTTGTCTGTTCCTTTTTTACAGTCGGACAAACATTTGCTCTCGATGTCACCTAAGAAAAATTATTTTTATATTCAAAAAGGAAGGATTAGCGTTTTAATTTTTATGTATTGTACAATGTCAACGTCAAACGGCTCTTCCCAGATGGGCACAGGCTGCCAAAGAATTGAAGGATTCCACAGTTGGTAATCGCTAGGAGGATAGAAACCAGCGAGCAGACAGGCGGCGCTCATAAAGTCTCTGTCGTATGGGTTCGACCGTGCGGCCGTGTCATTTGGAAAGTAATTAGTATTTATAAATCCATTGTATCGCTTTCGAAGCTGCTGTCCAGAAGCGAAGAGCTGCTGCTTTCCATACTGTTTACAATAAAAAATTCCTTCTGTGATTGAATTTTTATTACTTATTTATTTTTAAAAATTTTATTTACTCTGGTAAGCTGGCCTGGTCCATCTGGCCAGAATTTAATGTTGTAATATGGATACGGGTCATTGCGATATGTTGACAAAGGTGATCTGCTCCCATGCCGTGTTATCTTTTTTATTATGAAAAAATTGAAATATTACCTTTATAAATGCACATTTTGAATAATCTTGTTTTATGTTTCATAAAATAACATAAGAGCGACTATTTATTATGTTAATAAAGTGTATCATGTTAATATGAGAGTGAATCAAAATGAAAGATAAATTTGAACTTTTGGCTTGATCAACACACAAGTAATGCTCAATGTTATTGTTAATTTGGATGGTGGAAAATTTGTTTATATTTGAAGCACCTTCATATTTGTTTTTATTTTAAAGATTTGCACATATTGAGCAAAAATTAAGTTTAAAATACTTACAACAATTATGTATCTAAGAGTGTTTAAATTTATTGAGTCCTCATAATTGTTTTTGGGTGGATTTTTTCCAATAGCAGTCACGATGAGAGCTGGTATTTCTTTTGGAAGTTGGTTGCCAAATTTGGCCACACTTATAATTTCATCCGCCCTCCCCATCGCAGCAAATAGAAGAAGGGCCCAAAGGAACATCTCACTTCTGTACGCAGCGAGTCTCTGGGCTGAAGCACGGTGTTACGCTTGATTGCAATTGATAAATATTAGATAAAGCTACCTGTAATGGTGATAGTAGTTCATTGCTACCTTTTAACGATGAATAAATTTTAATTAGTGATAGTAAGTAGTTGGTTAAAAATAATGAGGGTAAAATTACTTATTTTTTTAACAAAACCAATATATAATATGAGAAAAATTGAAGATGCGAGTCCTTTAATTACTGCATGTTTTGAGAATTTTCCCTGACACTACAATAGTCATAATCTATTTTATGAGGAAAATCAAATAAAACATTGGATTTTTTTTTTATAAATAGAAAATATAATATAAAAGATAATATTTAACAAAAGATAACAAGTTATTTAATTATTATTAATTAAAACACTTCTAAACAATTAAATATAGACATTAAAAACAAAAATACTTTATGTATTATACAGTCGAGAGGTTTAAAAAACTTCAAATAAAATATTAAAGCTTGGAAGCTGTATTTTCACATTCTTTCGTAAAATCTTGAGGAATGTATTTATCGTAGAGAGAGATAAAATCTTCTAGAGGGCAGTTGATGTCACAGTTTTTGAGCTTCAAATCATGAAGCTCTGTTGAATAACTCGAGTTAAGGTATAAAAACTGCACAGAAAAATAAAAATAAAATACCATATCGAAATTTTTTAATGTTGAGTCGATTTTACCTTTAAGAATTGCTTTTCGTCCAAATCCTTGTCATGGTGGAACTCGACTATAATGGCGGCCCCATACTTTGGGAGGATCAATTCGTCGAAGCCTACAGTCCGAAGTATGTTGACCAGCGTCAGATCATGGCCAGAGTACAAGTACAGTTTTCCATAGCTTGGCGATTTGAAATGAGATATCCATTCTTTCAGCATCGATCCTGATAATTCAAATATAAGTAGAGCCATGTTACTAAGTAATGGCCTGAATATCTAGTGAAATTTCTAACATTTTAAAACAAAATATGAAATTTTACTAAAAAATCTGTCTTTATTGAATTAAAAACATAAATTTTTGTTCTTAATAAGTTTAAAAATGTTTGATATTATTATTGTCAATATTATGTCAATTAAGTTACACAAATATTTAATTTTTCTGTTTTTGGCCTTAAGAAGTGGTTGAAGTAAAATACTTCATTTCTACGGTGATTTAAATTTTTCCTTCATTTTAATCTTGCTATTAAAAAAGAATTTTTTTTTTTCAAACCTCCTTGGAGCATTTTTAATTTTTCTGACCATGTGTAGCTAGCAAGGTTTAAAGATGCTAAAGATTTCATTTCAGGCAAAACCCTTCTTGCCCATTCAGGCATTTCAAGTCCATTTTCTTCCTTTAAAAAAAAAAAAATTTAAAAAAATAATAATAATTGTAAAAACAGTGTATTCATTTACCTGGATGGATAAGATATAAAAAAGTTTCTCAACATCGGCAATAGATTGTATATCATCTCCAGATTTAGTCGATAATAAAGAATATAATTTTTTATGAATCTCGTAAAACTGAGAGTTCAATTCGATGTCGGACCTTTGTTTTTCTATATCAAAAGCTTTACAGGCTGCTTTGGCTGTTATAAGCTAACCGATTTAATTTCAATTATTGAACATTGCTCTAATTTGAACGACAGTTTAAATTGTTACGTGATCAAGTTGTCGTGGAATTTGGTTGACGGGTATCGGCTGCCAATCTAGGTCAGTTTTCCATACTTGGTCTCTTACGGGTGGGAAAAGGCCAGCGAGGAGGGTGAGTGCACTCATCTGTGCCCGTGGCACAGAACTGCTCAGTACTGACACTTGATCTACGACATATTGATCACTGAGGAAAGAACCATACTTCTGTCTTAGAAAACGTCCAACGTCGTACAGCTGAGCTTTGCCTTTCTACTGTCAAAATTCAATCTTTAAACAAATATAATAATAAATCATAGTCATAAATATTTATTTCTTACATTAGTAAGTGCTCCGAAGCCATCAGTCCATATTTTATTCTTGTATGGATCATTTGGATAAGAAGAAGAAGGAGTCCTGTGTCCATGTCTGAAAATCTAAAATTCATAATTTCTTTAAAAATCTCAGTTTAATCAGATTTAAATTCATACTGAAAATAACACTTCTGTGTTAATTTCTAACTATTAAAACAAATTAGTATCATTAGAAACTTTTAAAATTGTACAATTACTATAACTTCAACAAATTAATTTTTGAGTTACAAGCAAAAACAGGTAAATAAATTAAGTTTTCTTTCAAAGAAAGATGAAAAAAACAGGTAGTTTCATTCATATAATACTCAACCAAAGAATATCAATTAATAACCAGGAAGAAGGTCGAGCAGTTGAACAACATATACTGAGATTATCAAAATAGTCAAACAAAAGATAATCTCTCGCTGGATACAAATAATTGATCAGTTCCAAAATAATTAATCACTTTTATAGATATCTAAAAAAAGAAAAAAAAACTGGCAGAAATCGTGATAAAATCGTCAACATTTAAAAAAAAGCAAATGCTTTCCAAACTGCCAAGAAGAAACAGATATCAGAATACTTCTCATATGCCTGTGAAATACACCAAAATAAATTAACAAAGTGGAACAAAGACAACATCAAAGTCCCAAAAGACAATACAACATACAACATACAACCCCTACATGGTATTTTGAGTTAAATTTTTCGCCAGTATTCGGTTGGTTAAAAAATAAGTAAATAAAAAATAAATTGAGTTAAAATGTTTAAAACATAACAATGATCTATAAATTGATAGGCAAAAAAATGGCCACCATTAAAATTTTTAATTATCCCTTAGACAATCCTACTTTATCTTACAATATTTGGTCCATTTTAAAGGATTAGTCAAATAAAACACAGATAAAATCTCCCACTTGTGTTTTCAATTGAATTTTATAAATAAATCTTTAAACCGTCAGTCTCTTTTGTTTTGGTTTTTATGTAAAGGTTCTTTATAACATTCTGGTGGTTTGATTTTTTTAAGTTCTACCATTTTTAATTTTCAAATTTGTTTGAGCTGATTTTAAGTGATGGGCGGTTAGAGTCATAGCATTGTTGGAAGATGGAAGAAGTCAAGCATATGTGGTCAGGGTTCTTAACGTCCCCAGAACAACAGTCCGAAGGGTCTTCCATCGTTACCAAGATACTGGATTTTACTCAAGAAGGCATGGACCAGGCTGCCACTATGAGATCGCCTCAGAGAGACGATCATTTTATTGTTTCGAATGTACTACAAAATCGACATTCTACTGCTGATGAGATCATGCAATGACTTCAACAAGCTAGAAATGTTAATGGCAGTTTATGCACTGAAGGACGAAGACTTTCAGAAGGTGGATTGCTTGCGAAAAGGACTGCTACTGGTCCAGAACTTCTGACAAGGCACAGATCAGCTTGGATAAGTTTCGCAAGAAATCATATCAATTGGTCTAAGCAAGATTGGACTAAAATCTTGTTTTCGGATGAGTCAAGGTTTTAAGAATGGCACTATGGATGTAATTATTCCACAGCACTACATTCAAAACCTCCTAAAAAGAAGATGCCATGTCGCAAGTGGTGATCAACACAAAAGGAGGAAATACTCTGTACTGAATTGAATATTCATAGTTCATTGTTTCCAAAGTAACATTTTTGGTTCAATTGCTTTACCCGGTTTAATTTTTTTTAAATTTAACAATATCTTTTTTTGTATATTTAAATAAATATGTTTCCCTTGTAAGCAACAGAATGCAAATAAAATTCTAATAAATTTATTTTACATCAATCGAGTATATGCTAAACCTGTAACATCATGTATATTTACAGATTAAAAACAAATTTCATTTAGTACAAAAAAATGTTGACTCCAAATCAAAGAAGAAAAGATGTTTTATTTTTAAATTGTCAAAATGTGACAATAAAGGTTTATTTTGGCATTCGATTTTGGTAAGAGTAAAATAATAGGAAGAAGATTGAGCGGGATAGCAGGCCCGAAAACGGCCATGACGATGATGAATACCATGATGAATGAAACCAAAACGAATGCCAAATACTTACGACGTGCAAACTCTTGAGTGTCGGGTGATGCTGAATCTCGCTAAACGCCGAGTACGCTATAAAAAAAGCACACAGGAGGAAACCAAGGCAGAGGACAACTAAAAACGTCGACCTCCTCCTCGGCTGCATTTCCCTGAGAAGAAACGACTTAGAATATGACCACATCTGAAAAAAATTCTATTATTTCTTGGATGGGAAGGCTCAGGGCGGTTGCCTCAACGAGATAAGATTTTAAAATGAGGCCGAAGTTATACATTCCTTGAAAAGTCGTCCCCACCAGTTGTACATATTTGTTCTTCCGGCTCTGTCAACTGTCAATATTTAACTGACAATACGCTACCGGGTGATTTCGAAAATAGTATCATTCTTCTCTTTAAAATTTAAAAATTAAAGAAATTCTTGCCTTATAGGGGGCTTAACGTCCTACGCCATTTGGGTGACCTGGACGAGGGGTAAAACGATTTACAATCGTCTTTATCTTAGGTGACTTAAATGTAAACATGTTGAAAACCAATGATGATTTTCCATCTCAAACGTCAATCATTTTCCTCTGCGTGGAAATAAAGTAAATTAAAGTAAGAAATTTTTTAAACACTACCAATCGGAGGACGGCCGGTTTTTTTATTAATAAAAAAATCATTTGCGGAGAAACTTCAAATTTGCGTAGGAGTCCGGCTGTGGGTGGAATTTAGGGGTTGTTTTTTGACTGTAGGCGGGGCGTGGGAGTCGAAGGGGCGGCCGTGGGGTGGGTGTAACCGGAGGAAGTATTTCCAACCCCCTCGCATCGGAAAAACGAGTGGAAATCCCTCCCCCTGGGCGATTTTGAGTTTTTCCCAAAAAAGGCGAAAATCGGCCAAGGTACGACACGGTACGAGAGAGCCGCACAACGCCCAGAATGTGCGCGTACCTTGAGCCGGCACCGTAAGGTCGGCAGTGATTCCGCGCTCCTGTCTTTTTATCTTTTTTCTTTTTTGTCCCTTCCGTCTTTTTTCCCCCCGATTTCGGTTCCATGTGACAGTGAAAGAGAGATATGAGCTGGTAAGTCCAATATTTTAAATCATCCCCTCACACTGGACTTTGTAAACCAAAACTTATTTAATCATTTAAGAATTGTATGTTGCATAAGTTATTAAATTTCAGAGAAAATAAGGTAACCAAAACTTGGAACACAATATGCAACAATATTTTTTCATTTGCAAGCAACAAGCAAAAGTTACATTATTTACAATGATATACATATATACATGCACATAGACAATATTGTATGCACATTTACATGTCTGGCATGATTGATTTAAACGGCCACCAACCAATGAAAGTTGCCGTAATTAGCTATTATGTCTTGAAGTCAACAGAGTACCTAGAGTTGCCGAAGTTACAAAATCTGGTCGTGAGGACACCTGAGCTTCACTCTTTTATGAGGGTTGAGGAAGGGTTGAGCTGGACAGGTTGTGAATTAACGGGTTGTTATGAGAGAATAGTTTGAAGCGAAATTTATTGTAGCGGAACTGGGCCAGGTATGGACATAGGGTATGTTGAGATCAGAATGGATAGTACGATTGGTGACCCTGGAATCAAGTGGTGATTTGGGAGATGTTCAAGAGTTACTAGCTAATATTACTACTACACAAGTTTTTACTCATCTGGATTTTCAGCATTTAGCAAAGGTTTATGATGTGGCTCATCCAAGAGCAACAAGGGGGAAATCTTGAATGTGATTTTATTGGCAATTAGTGCCTATTGCTGCGATTAGCTTATCTCGATGATGTGATAAATTGTAAATAAATGGAGCATCGACTATTGTGCGAAGGATTTTGGATTGTAAGGATTGGATTTTGTTAAAATTGGAATGCTTGGCTGTGGTATAGTTCAAGTCTGTAAGTCCAAATTGGGGGCGATTAGGATAGTAATATTTTTTTGTTGTGTATGGCCAGTTTAGATCTGTCAGGTAGTCTCCTTCAGCATTTTATCTGTGCTATCTATATCTAAGGTTACAAACAATTTGTCTTAGTCTTGTGCATGGATTCCATGTAAGTCTTTTGTCCAAGATATCGTATACTATTCGCTGTATAAATATACAAATGGGAGAGTGAAAACTATATATTTAGATTTTTTATTGTTCACCTTGATTCTCCACTGTCAAAGCAGGGTTCAATCATATGAAGATGGGATTGGAAGTTGTGGTTAAAGTAATAGGATCAATATTTGAGAAGAGGATTGCCAACTCTTTGGCATATTAGAAGTTAAGGTGCCGGAATGTAATGGGAGATCGGCTGTAAAGAAGAAGTAAAGTAAGGAAGCAAGTGTGCATCCCTGGGAGACACCAGCTAAAATAGGAAAGATAGAAAAGGAAGTATTGGTTTGTTAAGATCGATTTGAGGATAATATAGTATGTAAATGAAAGTATGTCCTTTAGCTTCCACCATGAGCCCTTATGCCATACACGATCAAACGCCTGGGATATATCAAAGAAAACACCAGGGCAGTATTTTTTAAGCTTGTACTTAAGAATTTCAGGGAACAGTCTCAAAAACTCATCCATACACAATTTGATGGATTGTATAAACACCAGAGTATCATAAAAACTGGCAAAATATTGTTAATATTCTTAAATAAAGCTCCATGGAAAATATGCTGGACACATTACTGAATATAATACTATAATTATTAGCACATAAATTGCAAAATTTGAACTACTAAGACATTTTTCCAATTCAAAAAATACACTAATTTCCAACTGATCAGAAAAGAGGAACAAAACATGGCTTAATATTAAATCTTTATGTTTTATTTTTCATTACTTTTACGTATTATTGCAGGTTTGCTCGAGTACTTGCACACCATCCATATGTGGTGCTTATAGCAGTAGCAGTGTTTTCTAGCACTTGCGTCATCATTCCACTTACCACTCTAAAGCTTCCAAACTTCAAAGATCCACAACTTGTTAGTTATGATTCACTCAGTATTATTTGTTAAAATTAATTTGTTATTATTATTATTATTATTGATTTATTTTTTTAATAAGGGATTTGAAGCCAGAGGCACTGTGATAGGGCAAAGGTTGACGGCATGGGACAATTTACAAGAAGCAATAAGGCCGTCAGGGTTGCTTACAATAAAACCTAACATCCCAGATTCAATACCAAGAAAAGTAACTTTTGAGAATTATTATTTATTTATTGTTAGTTTTTACTTGTTATTAACCAAATATGTTGTTGTTTTTTGTTATAGAATAAAGGAGCAGAAGTACCTCAAATAAAAACCTCGAATATAAGTTTACTGAATGACCTGGTTGATAAACATCCAAATATATCAATTGTGAGTTTAGCTATAAGATCAAACTAGTCAAAGAAAATTTGTAAATTTTTTATTTATTTCTCTGTCTAAAAAGGAAATTGAACCAGAAATTCATCGTAATTTGACTGAAGATTCAGACGAAGAGAGGGAAGCATGGTTCGACATAATGAACCCTACATCACACCATCATCATAACCATTTAGGGCCTGATTCATTTTTCTGCACAGAGCCAAGTAATTAAAACATTATGCCATTAGAATTTGGTCCGTATCCTCGTCAATAACATTTAGTGTATTTTTACATTTTTGCACGATATGCTTTTGTCCATCCTGTTCATTCATATTACCATTGTTATAATTTGTATGTCATTTCAGATACAGAAAACGGGAGGATGGTTTTCAGCTCAGTGAGCGGTACTGACCTTTTTCAACTTGGCCCGCTTTTAGACATGTGCAAGTTCAGTGAAATTTTAACTTCAGGCCCTGAATATAACCAAATTTGTGATCAGGTGTCGACACGGACAAGGAAATGTTGTCCACTCTGGTCTCTACCTAATTACGTGGCTGTTATTAATAATAAGACGTCTTGTTTTAATATTACTGTCAGTTTTTTGTTTGTTTTTACCATCAATGAGGGTGGATATTTTATTGTTTGTGCTTTCAGGAAGAAGATGTGTTCTACACAAAAGATTTAATAAAAAGGTGCCAAAAGTATTTTATAAGTTTGGATTATATTGTACCCAACTATAGTAATAAGGAGATGCCAAGTGAATGCACAAAATTCAATCATATTTTCAGTTTAATCCATTATATTCTTGATTATGAATATTCTGTGAGTCATTGATCAAATTTTATTCTTTCAATATTTTATTTATATGAATGATTTTTTTTTAAGAGTAAATCAGAAATCTTGAAAGATGTGATGGTCTTTCTTCCAATTGCAAGGAGCACCGTTATTCTTGATTACTACCACTCAATAGAATCCTTGGGATATTACAAAAACATAAGAATTTCTGCAATTGATTTTGGTATGCATTAAATAATTTTTTATTCTAAGGTCATATTAATATATCATACATGCATGTATGTGTTCTGTATTAGGTTGATTTTAATTTGTTTTATTTTTAGGCTTAAAAAATACTTTGTTTGATGAATGCTTAGTCAAAGACATGAGACTGGTAGCCTGTGGAGCCACCTTTGTCCTTCTCTCAATGTGGCTCTACACCGGCTCATTCTTTATTACAATAATGACGCTTATAGCGATAGCCTTTTCTCTTGGAATTTCCTACTTTGTATATATGCTCATATTTGAATTCAAGTTTTTCCCTTTTATGAATCTCCTTGCTTCTGTTGTTGCTATTGGTAAGTTTTTAAATTAATTAATTTTTTCAATAATTTTAATAATTTTCAATAATTTTAAACTGTTGTTTTGTAAAGGAATTGGAGGGGACACAAGTTTAATGGTATTTAAGTTGTGGTCTTGTGCCAGAGAAAGCCAGTCGAACATTTCTAAGTTGGTTCAGAGTGTCCATGGACACTCAACAGTATGTATGTTGGTCACATCTCTGACAACAGCTATAGCTTTTTATTCATCGTACATTAGCAATATCACTGCAATTTGCTGTTTTAGGTATATTTATCCTTTTGGAATATTATTATTATTTTTTATTTGATTTTATTTTTTTATTTTTTTTTTTTTATTTTTTTATTTTATTTTTTTTTTTTTTGTCAGGCTGTTTTAATAGGACATTTTTTAGTGTTTTTGCAGGGACTGCAGTCGTTGCTAATTTTTTTGTTATGCTCGCCTGGATACCTTCAAGCCTTGTGGTGGCTGAGAGGCTCACAGTCCCGCCGGTTTGCCCACCGAGTATGAGAAAGATTTTTGATGGCTGGAGTAAAATCCTGCATGGTCTTCTAGTCGAGTTGGTGCTCAAGCTGCGCTGGCTCTGGATCATGTTACTCGGCAGTGTTGCTGTCTTGTCGATCCCAGTCGTCTTTTATTACCCGAAACTGCGTCTTCCCGACTCGCCAGACCTACAGCTCTTTTCCTCTGACCACTTGTTCGAGCAATACGACATGGTCTACAAGGAACGTTTCTGGTTTGACAGAATCCAAAAAGTAAAGTTGTCTTTCAAAATATTTAGGCAAGTTGCTGTTACATTTTGCTTTTGTGTGCTAGTTTGACAATCTAAGGAACAGCAGGGTGCAAATGCCAGTCAGGTTTATTTGGGGTGTTCTTCCAGTTGACAACGGTAATTATATGGATCCGGCATCAAAAGGAAAATTAGTTTTTGATTCATCCTTTGATCTATCCTCGCCTGATTCACAAACTTGGCTTCTATCATTTTGTACAAAACTAAGGTAATAATATATTTAAATTAAATAAATTCCATTCTTTCTTAATTATTTGTATGATGGCTTTATTTAGAGCACAACCATTCTATCAGCAGACAATGGGTCCATTGTTGCCTAACTGTTTTTTGGAAGTATTTGTTAAATGGATGGACAGGAAGTGTATAGATGCTGCTGATGGCCTTACAAGAGAACCTTGCTGTGAAAGTGCAAGGTGATTTCTATTATTATTTTGTTTTTAATTAATTAATTTTTAATGTAATTTTTATATAGCCATGTAGTACTACAAAAAAGTTTTCTTTGCTCAATAGGTTTCCTTATTCAAAAAAAGTGTTTTCACTCTGCTTAGCGAAAGCATGGATTTCTTTGTATAACACTCCCGTGGAATTGAGCATGCTGGGTGTCGCTGGACCAAAATTTGCCATGAAGACCAAAACAGGGATCCCAAAAGTCAAGGCATTAGTCGTTGAGTATGACGCAAACTTCACATTGTCAACATCTTTCATTGACATGAACCATTTTTATCAACAGGTATGACTGTAAAACAAACATCCCTGGTGAAAGTTTTGTGTTACACTTTTGTTTTTGTCAAGGTTGAGACCTGGAGTCGAAACGAGCTGGCATCAGCACCCGCTGGGATGCGCAATGGTTGGTTTATCAGCTACCTGGGCCTTTATGATCTTCAGCAATCGCTTGCGAAGGATACAATTTTGGCAGTGCTTATTTCAATGGGGGCTTCATTTTTTGTGGTCACTCTGTCAACATTGAACTTCATCCTTAGCATTGTCGCTGTACTAACTATAACATCCATCATCCTCGTAACCATAGCTATTCTTGTTTTGATCGGCTGGAAGCTCAACATTCTAGAAGCAGTAGCAGTCTCCCTTGCAATTGGCCTTGCTGTCGATTTCACCATGCATTATATCGTTAATTACAGGTAATTTTATATCTATTTATATATATTTTATAATTAATAATAATAGTTGCTCTTGATAAATCCATAATTTATTTATTGTTTTAAACATCCCATACAAATATTTTTTTTATTAACATGTTCAGTGCAGCCTGATATTTCAATTTTCCCCCTCCAGAAAATTTTTCCATTCTTAGAAACGTTGTGCATGCAGGTCACCAAAAGTACTGAATATGTTAAATAAACACTAAAGTCCAATAATATTCTAGATAATTTTTATTCCCTTCAATTTTGTCTTAACTCAGAGGAATAAAATATTTTAATTATTTTCATAGCAGCATTGAGATAAACTATTTAATAATTGCTGAATCAGCATTAGGTCATTTATTGGTTCTGCCTTCACTCTCGGGTTTGTTGAACTACTCAAATGCATTACGGCATCTAAAGTGAGGAACTGCGAGAAACAGTTCGTAACTGAAGATAGTGCAATGCTGAAACACATTTAAGTAATTAAACAAACCCGCGAGTAAGATGGGCCAAGTTAATGAACCAATGCTTATTCAGTATGAGTTCACCGACTAGCAGGCCCACATCAATTTTAGTTTGTTTTAAAGAATTAAACAAATGTTTTTCTTAGGATGGCTCCTGAAAGTGATAACAAAGAAAATTCAGTCATTTATTCCTTGTCAATGATGGGAGGTCCTACTTTAATGGCAGCGCTGACAACAATAATTGCTGGTGCTTTCATGCTCCCGTCTTCAGTGCTTGCGTATACACAAATTGGTAAGTGTATACATATAAACGTTTCTCTTTTTGAAAAAGATTTTTTCTTATAAGGTTTTTTTTAAGTGGAAATTTTTGAGACTAAATTATCTTTTTTCAATTTTTTGGTTTTTGTTAAAACAAAAAAGTAATCAAAAATTTTCGTTCTAAAAAAACCTTATAAGAAAAAATTCATCCAAAAAAGGATATACCTTGGTTAACATTCAGGAAAGAAACATATGAACACTCACAATAAAGAAGACATCTTGCTGGAATTGCAAAATGGTCCCATATCTTTTAAAAGAAACTATATAAGGAAAAATTAAATTATATATAAGTTATGAGTGAGATTGGACAAAAAACTTTTTAAAACAAAAAGAATCTTTATTGCTAAATAACACAAAATGGTTATAGAGAATAACTTTCCTATTCACAGTCTAGATTATTCTATTACTGTTAAATATTCGGATCTTAACTGCCTGTAACTAACTAGGAATAAGAAGCTTATCTAAAGGGAACAATTGAAAGAAGGGGCAATTGTTGAGTCCACACATTCCTAAGCAGATAAGTATTGTTTAAAAGAAGTCTCGTTATTAAAATGGAGACGTAACTCTTCCACCTCTAGATGAAACATTTGGAGAATGTTGGTTTTCGGAGGCGGCAGCTGCTGCAAGTTGCTGTCGTGTGAAGATATACTGGGTGATTCCATGCCCAGATAGTAGTAGGATGAGTCCATACAGGAGGATCGTCCATATACTTATCGATGTAGTGATGATCGGTTTTGCAATAGCTGGAGACAAATGTTGACTTTCTAGTCGGTTCAATTTGACATGCTTTACATTGACCGTAAATCGTGGCTGTTGTTCCTCTTTCAAACTAAGTTTAACTTCGTTGAGGAACTTTGGATATCCAGAATTATGTGAAGAATGAAGACGCTGTTTATTTCAAAATGTTACATTACTTGATGTAGTATTTAAGAATATTCCATGTAGACTTCTAGATATTGTGTCCCCATGTTTCATTACTGTGATTATTTCTTCTTTGGGAAAGCTGGCTAAATATTGATTTAGTTCAGCTATCCAGGTTAATAGTTGTCATCAAATACTAGTGTATTTGCAGGATGTTGTGTTTACTGTTAATACGATTTCTTTCTTGCAGTTGTCCTCTTTGTGATTAATCGATTGTGTTGAGCATGCATATTGATTGAAATTTTTTACAATTATTGTCTAAAGGTTCAATATTTAGTTTATTTGAATTCGCTCTTGGTTTCAGTAAATATTTTACATTTGGAATAATTGTTATAAAATTAGAGTTATGTGTTGTTTGTACTGGAATTAGTTTATATAAATCACACATTTGTTTTCTTACCAAGGGTATTTGTAAAAGATAAATAATTTGATTGTTTACACATTGTACAATAATTAAATTTTCGAAATCAAAAATGTTCCTTAAACGTACTTCAAGTGGTAATTGATCCTCATAATAAGTGGAAATTCTAGTAATTTCCTTAAACAATTCATGAGGAGATGTAATACTAGGGTGTAAAGTCTGGAGTTTACAAAATGTTAATGAGTTTTCGATATCCTGTACTATATTTAATAGTATTTCATAAGTGATATGTAATAAATTTGTTGTATCTCTTAATTTCTCTAATTCACCATAATTGTTTAATTTTTTATTTACTGCTAAAATTTTTGATATTAGTTCGGCTGTATTTTCTTCACCTACTGTTAATGATTTATTACATTCCTCAATGAGTTCATTGATTATTGAATATTGCAAATTTATTTGTTTTTCAAAATTAATTTGACTACCTTTTAGATTTTCAATATCTTTATTAAATTGAGCTCCATCGTAAGAATCTAGATTACCTGTAACAAATTTTATAATGGATCCTAATCTATTAATTAAACCTCTTTTAGTTCTAATATTGTTAGTATTTTTTACAAAAACTATTTCTAACTTTTCTAATATTATTCCTCTAGTATTATTTATTAATGCTAAATAAGTTACAATGTCTCTTAATTTTCTACCGTTATCAGTTACATATTCTATATTATTTTTATAGCTAATATTCTTATTATTAATACAGTTATATATTTCATAATAAATGTTATCCAAGTTGTGTAATTGTTGGAACAATAGGTCAAATTTAATATAATGAATGAAAGTATGTTTTGACGTTTCCAACCTGGCTGGACCAAGGGTATTATCCCAGGGTTATGCGAGATATCTATTATATCGGCTCCTGATGCATTGATTCCAAAGAGAAGGAGGAAGGGCCTGCAACGTTATCGTTTCGCATTAGTTTTTTTGGTCTTTTAATATTTCACAAGTGTATTTTTCCTACCGTGTTATAATGAGTTGGGACTATTTCTGCCGTTTTTAAATTTTTATCAACGGATTTTATTTTTTCCTTCTATACTTATTTTTTGTTTTTGTTTGTATCTGCTTACTTTTAACAAAAACGTCTTCAGGGATTTCTGGCAGAAGTTCTCTATTTTTATTTAAATTTTCAATTAAAGAATTATTTATTTTACTACGTTCACTAATTTTAGTTTTTCTTTGTGATGAATGACATAATCATTTATTAACTGTGCCTCTATGTCTATTTCTATCATTGGGTCATTTTCAATGTGCCCGTTTAATATTTCAAATCGGGTTAATTTTGTAGCAGAATGGATACTGTTATTGTAAGCAATGACTGCGTATTTTATTTTTGATCTGATTGAATCTTTTTTGTAAATTTCCTGATTGTTTAATAATCTAATATGTTCTTTAAGAGTGGAGTGAAATCTTTCTACCGGTCCATTAGAGTCTGGATGCTGTGAAGAAATAAAGTGAATTTTCATCTTGTGCAACTTCATTTGATCTTTTATCAAACTGGAATTAAATTCAGGGCCGTTATCTGTAATAATCTGCTGAGGAAGACCATGATGAGCAAAGTAATTCATTAAGGCATTAACAATTTCTATGCTATTAGAGGAGTTTAATGGGTATACTTGTGCATACTTTGAGAACGTGTCAATTATTGTAAGGAATTTGGAATTTTCCAGAGTTAGCTTATCAATGTGAATAATGGAGAAAGGTTTTGTAGATGTTGGAGTGATATTGTACTGGGTCTTAAGAGGGACCCTATCGTACTTTGATAATTGGCAAATCTCGCAACGATTAATAAATTCCTGCACAGATTTTTTCTGGTTAACCCAAAAATATTTATTTTTATTTTTTCAAATGTTTCCTGGATTCCTCTGTGATTTGTTTTGCCCTCGTGATAGTTCTTAATTGTTTCTCTTCCTCTATCTTAACATCAAGTAGTTTCTCCGTAAATTTAGTAAATTTTATATCACACGATTTAAAATTTGTTTGCATTATTTTTGTAAATTTTTCATAAATATCATTTTCAAAGTATATTCCATATTTTATGTCTGGATTAATATATTATTTAATCAAAGATATTACTTCATTTTCAAAATTTTCCTCTGAGAATTTTACAATTATTTGTGTTTTACTGCTGAATAGATTTATAATTCTTGTCTTCTTTGGGTTACATTTGACAAGAGATATTTGAATTTGATTCACACAATGATTGACCGGACCTTCGGTAATTGGGATTGATAATCCTGTATTTCCTTCCGAATTTGAGTGTCTCGTGTTGTTGTGAATATTCGTGATTCTATTTTCATTTAAATTATCTTCATCTATGCTCACGAATGTGGAATCATTATCTATGGTGTCAGACCAATTTAAGATTTCTCTTTCAGGAGAATCTAAAATTGAATTCGCAAGGTTTTCCTCCCTTAGCTCTGGAAATTCTTCATAGAATTCATCTAACAGGGTATCTATTTCTTCATCATCAACCTTGGAATTATTGGGATATTTACCTTTTACTCTAGCCATATTTATTTGCACTCTGGACAAGGCATCCGCGTTTTGGTTCAATTGACCTTTTTTATAAATGATCTCATAATCGTATTCCTCCAATTTTAGACGCCATCTTGTCAGTTTCGAATTTGGCTTTTTAAGGGAAAATGGCCATTGCAAAGGTCTGTGATCACTAAATATTTTAAATTTTCTGCTATACAAGTAAGGCCGGAAATATTTAGTACTCCAGACTTCTATGGTGGAATACTTTGATTTGGTATCATTTAAAGTTCTACTAGCATAAGCAATTGGTAAATCCGCTCCATTAAAATTTTGGCTAAGGATGGCACCAATTGCTTGCTACATTGCTTACATCTGTTGTTAGGTTAAATTGTTTTTCAAAATCTGGATACTTTAGTATTGGATCATTAGTTAATATGTTTTTTCAAGTTTCAAAACTTTCAACGTATTCTGGGTTTTTTTATGTTGATTTTACTATCCTTTTTTAAAAATTTTGTCAGGTTTTGTTAACTGCGCAAAATTTTTGATGAACTTTCTATAGTATCCTAATAGTCTGAGGAAGCTTTTTATTTCTTTTTGCGTTCTGGGTAAGGGGTAATTTTTTATGGCATATATTTTATCTGGATTTGGTTTCACTCCATTCGGTGTCACCAAATGCCCTAAATGTGCTACCTCTTTATGAAGAAATTATGTTTTATCAGGTTGTATTTTGAAGTTATATTTTTCAACCTATCAGAAACTAATTTTAACCTTGAACTATGCTCCTCTAAACTTGTACTGAATATTATGATGTCATCTAAATAACATAAACATATTTCATTATTTATCCCCCTCAGAATATTGGTGTCGATCAGGATTCGTGCATTTGTTGCAGGATCTACAAAATATGGTAACTCGTTCCCCATTGATTGTAAATTCATTATCTGAAGTTGCCTTTTATTTTGGTAACTCCTAAAAAATTACCCTCTTCAGATGTGGTTAGGTTATAGGATTCATCTACAGAATTTTCGGGTGGTTGTTTGTTCCCTAGCATCCATCGTGGTTTTTGAAAAGAGTTTCTTGTTGAGATGCTCATGGGTGTTTCTTGGTTGCTTTGTGAAAATGGAGTGAAATTTTGTTTAATTTGTGATGGTTTGTTGAATTGCATGGATCTTTGTATAAATTCATGTTTGAAATTTTGTTTTTGATTTGTGTTTTGTCTATGTTGTGGGATCGGTTGTTGGTCTATTCTCTGCATATACTGGAAGTCGTTTAACATTAACTTTTCAATGTCTCACAAGATTTTAGGATTCCTAGTGGCTAGGTTATTTCTTAAAGGGTCTCTAAGACTACTTATAAAATTGATGGCCACTACTTGCTCCTGAAACCTTATCAAATATAATTTTTCGTTGTCTGTACCGTCTTTCAGCTGTATTTTAGCTTGGAATAAAACAAACCTTTCCTTAATTTCATTTAATGTTTGCAAAGGGGATTTTACATTTAATTTCAACAGGTCAACCAAGATACTAGCTGGACCCTGCCTGTCTCCAAATCCATTCAATAAATGTGATTGTAATGTTGACCAATCTTGGACATTTAAATTTCTTAAATGTTCGTTGGCCTTATTTACTAGTTTACCTTTAATATGCATAAAGATATAGTTTTCTGAGGGTCTGATATTGGAGGTACTAATTCGGAAACGATATGTTGCGCCTCTTCAACCTTCATAATAAACTGTGTTAGAGTTTTTGGGTTGCCATCATAATTGGGGATGGCATCCAAAATAAATCCTAGTTCCACCAAGTTAGCCATGTTAGTGTTAAGAATAACAATAGTAATATTATTTAAAAAATTTAAACAATTTTACAATAACAATAAAAATAAAATTGCTAAATTAAATTGTGAAACTAAGAGTTTTATAACATGCGATACAATTTATTTACTCACAAAATTTCAATAATTTCTGAGTAATCACTGATGTTCTTGAGTTGGATGTTCCCGATGAACATGGTTTAGAATTTTCTAACTGTTAATACAGTAAAGTTCGTATTCATCAAACCCGAAAAGTGTCCTACAAATTATGTGCGAGATTTAGTCGAAAGACTTTTTAAAAAAAGAATCTTTATTGCTAAATAACACAAAATGGTTACAGAGAATAACTTTCCTATTCACGGTCTAGATTATTCTATTACAATTAAATATTCGGATCTTAACTGTCCGTTAACTGTCCTGTAACTAACTAGGAATAAGAAGCTTATCTAAAGGGAACAGTTGAAAGAAGGGGCAATTGTAGTGACTGTTAGTTAATGATTATTTGGAGATTGTGAGATGTGGTCTGGTGTAACGTGGGTTTTAGAAAAACATTTTCTTTATCGTGACAACATTTCAATCTTTATTGAGATCTTCAGGGTGTGGGATTTATAAACATTGTTTAAATTTTACAAATACATGTAGGATGTATTTGCAAAATTTAAACAATGTTTATAAATCCCAGGCCCTGAAGATTATCTCAATAAAGATCGAAATGTTGGCACGATAAAGAAAATGTTTTTCTAAAACGTATGTCACACCAGACCGCCTCTGACGATCTCCAAATAATCATTAAAAATCTAAATTGGGGGCATCAGTGTTCAAAAGGTTAAAGCATTGATACGGTGACTCATCGCTGTATGGTGAAGGCCCCGAATTCAGGGCTGCTGGACTCACCTCCCCCCCAAAAAAAATGTTTTTTGTAGAATTTAAAAAATTTAAGATAGCTTAAATCTGAAACACTTAAATTATGGATTTGTTACAGGAATTTTCTTGGTCGTTGTGATGTGCGTGAGCTGGATATACGCAACGCTGTTTTTATTGTCAATCCTTACTCTTGCTGGACCAGAGGCACCACGTCGTGTAAACCAAAGGGAACAGCATGAGCTCGGAGCTCTGAGCCGAGTATGGAGAAGGGCTGAGCACTCGCCCTCAGCCGCTAGTGCTACAACTATCATTCACGATGAAGAATGCGAGATCTCTGTCATCCAACCGAACCCTCCATAAGGAGCTGACAAAACTGAATTGGTTAGATTTCAATTTTTTGATGGTGAAACATCTAAAAAGATATTGATGACAACTGTAATAATTTTCCCAATTGCAGAATTGGGGACAACAATGTTTGCAATTTTTCTCTTTAGGTTCTCTGGAAGCGGCCAGACAAAATATTTTTTATTTGTTTATATACTATTTTTAAAAATGGTAAAAAATGAGTAGTTCTCAAAGTCCAGCAAGTCAACTTTGGAAGAAAACAGCTATTTGAAAGTTTAGAATATAGATATTGATAAGAATGGTTTTTAATAGGTTATTGTTTAAAAGTCAAGAAATAAGATGTTACCAGCCCCATTTAGTATTCGCATTACATTGTTTTATTGGAAAATGGGGAAATTTAATTAGGTGTGTTATTCGTAAACAGTATTTGGTATGCGCTTATAATTCTGCTCAATATGATTTTGTATTTATACTTTGTTGTTGCTCAAAAATGTTAAACAAGTTAAATGTATTAAAACTATAAATATGATATTGCTCATCTTTTTCATATTTCTGTGCCCTATTGCAAAAGTTTTTTTTTTAATTTTATGTTTTTGTGCCAAAGTTGATATCAACATGCTTACCAAATACAGAGTTTACACGTATTCCACTTTGTATTATACAGTTATTGATAAGAAAATGGCTGAGGTTGTTTGATAGCTGTGAGAAATTTTTCGTAAATGCATTGGATCTTTAATTGTTAGAATCAAACTTCTAAAAGGTCAATTGTGTTAATAATTGCATTTTCTATGTGATTTTGAATGACGGTGTATACTTAAACCGTTGGTAGTTAAGTAAAAGGTATTCCTAAATAGCTATTAAAACTGGCTAGATTTTCACATCATGTTGTTCTGGTATGAGTGTACATCTTTCTCTAAATCTTTCTGATAACAATCATGACTTTTTTTATGTTCTTTCATTTTCTATGAATTCATACAAATTTTAAACTATTAGTTTTTTTCCAACTTTTTTCTAGGCAGGTTAGTGAGTTGTTCTAAGTAAACTAAGTATTTACTGTTACATTTAATTCCATATTGGCTGTGAATTAGTTAACTGAACAGTTTTAGTTTCACTCTACTTTTTTTCTTTTTAATTGGGTTTATTACCATCTGATTTTTCTTCATTTATGTCAATTGATTTTATACCCTGTGTAATTTTGACTTGGAGTAATGAGTATAAAATAGCTTTTTATTATTTCCATTGTTTGTTACTAGTTTTAAAAAGAAAGTCCTTGAGTAAATAGTTGACAGTTTTTTAAAACTGCCACTTGTCCACTGCAACTTTGAATACTGTTCTAAATTATTTTATTGAATAGCAAATGATTTGATATTTGATCATTTGTTCATACTGTACAATATTTTGACTCCTTAGCTAAAAAAACCGATGGTAGTTGGATAAAAAGCCCCATATGAGAGAAAATTTTAAATTACGATTATGTTTATCTAAGTGATATAAATTTATGACACAAAGTTGCATCCTCTGCAACGCTAGGTAAATGAAGTAGCAAAATCTGTGGAACATTTGTTCAATTTGGATGTGTAGTTGAATAAAATTAATTTCAACTTTCTACAATATTTTATTTTCCGTAATCTTACAAAGTGGGTAAATAATTGATTGAAATAACAAAACTCAAACATTGAAATGCAAATTACAGGATTTTGACAGAATAAAAAACTATTGAAATCGAAACGATCTTAACAAGTGACACTTTTGACCTTTCTGAGGGGGCCCTGGCGATTCAAACGGAATTGTGTAGCAGGTGAAGTGGAGATTGTCTAAAAATTATAAGTGGGAGGATGTAGACCATGCATCCACCACACCCAGATGGACAGTTAGTATAATGCACATGTTGTGTCTTATAGACAGTTAAATTCACTAATTTCGTGGTCCGCTTGACCAATAATATTACAATTAATTAAGGTTTTTAGTTGAGATAAAAAAGTCAATGGCACGAGCAGGATTCGAACTTCACTTATAGAGAGTGTTAAGCCAATCTCAAATACTTTCTCTACCGCAAAATAACAAATCGTGTGTATTTTCCCCTTTAACAAGAACACAAAAACTAGTTTATCATTTTGAATTATATTAGTTGAGACAGAGATTACATTTCATTTTTTAATTTTCAGACCATTTTCTAATCATGAGATAATCTGAAAGAAAATTCACGGATGGTTTAAAATATTGATTTTTTTTTCTTTACCAAATTTAAACATCCAGTTTTGCACCTGGCTAAAACATTGGGTGGGTTTAACTACTTTCTTCGTAAAATTTACCACTGCAAATTATTGTTAGTCTTCCTAATTATTATTTTTTATTGTGATTCTTAGGAAATAACCATCTGTTTTGTTCATGAAAAGATTTTTGTTCATACAAAAGTTTATGTAAGTATACAATTCTAAGTAAATATAATTTATTGCCTTCTTTAAAACCATTGTTTTGATCAGACTTGTCATTAATACTACCAGTTTCTTAAGGACAGACAAATTAACAAACTCATTAAACAAAAATATAAATATTATAAAATCAATTGTGATATGTGTAAATGTTAACACACACACACAGTTGTGAGAGGGATTGACCTTTACGATTCCTCTTTGATATGAAGAAAGGCTGCTTAGTGTTACAACTTGTACTGTTACATTAAATTGCGATTCTACAAGTTTTAAAACTTGATTTTGTTCCTAATAATGTTGAAAGGGAAATACATCTGTGAAAGTCTAGAAATCTGAATAGTTTATTCCTAAAAATAATTTTTCTGGTTAACACAATTTTAATTTCTTCTACTTTATGAGCTTATGCCATATAAACAAAAAAATACACTGAAATATTCAATTAAGAAAATAATTATGTTACCATTGACAATAATTACAATGATTAATAATTTAATATAAGCGTTTCCAGTATGATTTACTCGTTTATACATGGTTCAACTTGAGCACTCAACATGAACATTCCAATAGTTAATAGTAAATAATGTGTATTATTAAGCCTTAAGGAAAAAAATAGCATTTATAAACGTTAGTTATAAGGATATACAAAATAGATTGAAACTGAGACTTTTGACAGTACTTTTATGGAATTTGGCCTAACAAATTTTAGTAAGATTTGGAACGACAAAATAAAATTATGCTAGCACTTTCAAGTATTGTGACTGTTTGAAATGTAATAGCTAAAAAGAGACTTTTTGTTCTGTAGAATTCACTAGTTTGTATGTAGTTGTTTATAGAGAAATTTATTTTCTTATAAGTACAAGAATGTTAATATTATAAAAGGCAACCTATTATGTATATTATCATACTGTATTTGAAAAAAAGAAATCAATAATTTGAGACAGGGTAGATAACCAATGTTTACAACATTTAACAAGAATTGCGCCCTGTTACAGTTATATGACCCTTTCAAATTGTCCAATAGCAACTAAATGCACAATTGTCTGTGATGTAAATTTAATTTTTTTAGAAGTGAACTCTAGTACGTTTAATTATAAAATAAGAAAATTGTAGTCTGTGTTTGAATTTGAATATGGATTAGTAATACACCATTTGCAAAATGGAGCGTCAGCACTGGGAATTTATGTTTTGATTTGTAGTAGAAAACAGGGCATCGATCCATTTTGTAAATTGGGTATTTTATATATATTTAAGAAATTATAGTGTAGAATAAATAAATATATGTATGTAAGTAATGTTTCATTTCTTCTACATATTGTACTGTTTTTCCATTTGATATTAAATTTTTTCATAAATCCCTTTTTTACTACATCTATACACGTCAAGCTCAAAATTAGAAAATAATAGTGAAATATATAAATATTTTTGGCATGAGTATTACATAAAACAATTAACTGAAATTTGTGATAAGCTGGTTGTCTTGCTGGGGAAATGTGGCGTTTCGGGGCATTGTCTACTGGCTTTTCACCAGGAACATTGCAAGGGCGTTCATTTTTTTTTTTTTTTTTTTCCCCTCCAGAGGTCATATAAACCCTCAGGGTGCTGATGTTTTTGAAAAAAAAAAAAAACCATTTGTAAGCATGTCGGGTTCGAATGCAGGGCCACTGGATTTGAACCCGGGACCTTTACCTTACAGTGATGAGCGCCGTGTCAAAGACTAAACCTTGCGGCCACCGACGCCCCCCATGGGCGTTCATTGATGCAGTATCTGGGTTTTCATTTCAGGGCGCCCATCGGTAATTCATGGGGAGGTAGGGAGAGCATGAAAATCTTTGTATTTGTATTGTTTAATAGTAAATTTGACCAGTTCAATGTTTGCTTATGGTTCGACCTGTTTATCACTGCTGAAATTCAGCCAACTACAGGAAAATGTTGGTATGGAAACTTGGCCAACTAAACAACCGTTTAGGGATGGTCAGGGAGCCAAAGTGCCAGCAGTCCCAAGTGATCAAGGCTCTGCAAATCCCTGGGTCCGTGTGAAAGAGTTGTGCTTGGGATTGCGTTGGCCCCAGTATCGCTTTTCCCAAGCATATCAACTTTGGGATCACTCTGGCTTGAAGCAAAGCCCCCAGACAAGTTAGCCAGTGAGATTTCTTTGAGACCGATTTTTTTGTTTTATTATTATTATTATTATTTAGGCTAATTTATCTCATATGGGGGGGGAGGACCAGGTTGGTCGGTCATGGATTTGGACCAAACTTTTTTGGTGATTCTACATTCCAAAATATTGGAACACACATATGCCACTTCTTGTGAATAGGCCCTGGTTTAACAAAAAACAATTGAAATTTGCTTTTTTTAAAATATTTGTATTTCATCTTTCTACTTGCTCAAATTAACTATGTGAATATATCATTTTATAGAATTTTTTGTGTAGATTGCAATAAAAATGTAGTAAAAGCAAGCTTTCAAAGTTTATCAATAACCGAAAAATTTCTAAAAACAAATATTTTGTTTGAAAACTAGGTCTTAGAAGACAAATGATTAAAATGGCTACAATTCAAAAACGTGAAATACACCATTTGAAAGAAGAGGAACGTAGCTTTTTAACAACACATGTAACCATTAAAATATGTAAAATATATTTAGAAGAAAATACAAAAAATAACAAAATTGTTTGTCAGAAATTGACGTTTCTTTAAATGGAAATAATAGTCTGAGTTCAATATGTAGTTATTTTGTGATCAGTCTTCTCAAATTCTAACGTTGATTGAAAAAGGATTGGGGATGAGGCCCAGGCAGATAAACGTAGAACACTATTATTTGTCGAGCTTTCGGTCAAATTTATTGCCAAGGCTACCACTACTTTTGACATTGGTAGTTGTACTTGTCTCAAAGTAACAACTCTCACCCTAATAATATTAGCACCATATTTAAAGGGACTCATAAACATTTTAATTAAATGTTAATGAGTCCCTTTAATTAAATATTGTATTGTTATGTTCCATGTTCCCAGAATATTGCATAAGTTGTAATACTTGCAGTTGCTCGTTTTTTTCTTGTAGTAAAATATTTTAATAAAAATGGTTATAATGGAGTGAGTATAATTTAAAAATCAACTATTGGGAAATATTTTGTCACTTGTAAGAAGGTACTCTAATGTTGCAAACCAACAAAATTTAGCCATATTTTATATAAAATCTAGCTCTAAAGATAGTTATTAACAGATACAATACATACCTGACAATTTCTATTTAATGCACAATATGGTTTCAAAATTATTGGCAAAATAGTTGTATATTTTTGAATCTTCTGTTCAGATTTAATTGAGTGCATCTCGATTTCAACTATGACAGATAATGGACTGTCGGTGACAGCAGAAAAATCTACTCACTAACGGTGTTAACTAAATATGGCTTGTTAGTCGTTCTTCAATGAAACTGAAACAAATTTCTTTACCTGAACCTTTATTTTAAGAGACTGTTAAAATTGAAAACATTCTAAAGTAAACTTTTTTAAATTTAGTTTATTTAAAATAGTTTACAAAATATAACTAAATACACTAAAATCAAACATTTTTTCTTTGTTTCTTTGATTTAAATCTATCCAGTACACCGTGAGATTTTTCAACTTCTTTTTTACTCAAATCTACACCAGCTTCTTTCAGTATTTCTTCTCTAGCAGCTTTGAGTTCCTTATTAAATCCCTGTGAAAAAAATTTGTATCACTAAATTTACCAACTGCACTTACAAAATAAATATTTGCAAAATGTCACTCACCCTCCTTTGATTTTCTCTGACTATCTTCACAACTTTAGCCGCTTTGGCTGTGTTTCTTCTCCTCTTCTTGCGTGGCACAAAATCTATCTTCTGTGGCTTCATGTTCTACAAGGAAAATATATTAAAAACTAATATAAATCAATTTAATATGTTAAAACTTACGAGAATTTGGATTTTAGCATTGATCCTCTCTTTAAGTGTGGGTATGTTGACTTCAGCGATAGAAGAAGGATCAAGGGAGATCAGTTCAGGTTGGATTTTCTCCAACAACGACTTGACCTCGGCCTCTCGTCTCTGGGACTTGGCCTGTAAGGGATTAAGCTCCAAGGCATCAAAGTTAGGCTCTCCCGAACCTAAAATTGCCATTTTTTAAATAATTTTGCATGTAAATATTAAGCTCTTTTTAAAAAACAGAATATTCGACAGACCTGGAACCAGCATGCTTGTGAATCCGCTCTTTGCTCCGATTCCTAATACATCCTCAAAGGGGCAAAATTTTACATGGTTCACTGGCGAATCCAGCTGATGCAGCAAATAAGGTTCAGAGACATCGGCGAGATGGCAATTTTTATAAATCTGAAATGACAAAAGACCTTTAATGATTGTCTACTTTTTATTGACGTAAATTTAATCTGGAACATTTTCCACTTCAGATGGGGAAAGTTGCATCACAAAAAAATGAGTACTTTTGAGAGGCTACTGCATGTACATTTTAAAAGCGACTGTCTAAAATAGCTCATAGTCCATATTCCCCTCATCTGTGCAAGTGCAATTACCTTAATTATTATTTACATTTACATGACATTTACTCTTATGTGAGAGTGTATCTGAAACAGTCGATGGATTTGGACAAAATAAACTTTATTTAGCAACTTAGCATATTAACTTACTTTTAATAGTGGAAACATTTGAACTATAAATTATTTTTTAACGATGTCAAAAAGTGAAAATGCCAAGACAAAAAAAAATTAAATTAAATCTAGTGTGCAACCAACCAAAGGCACTATTGAATGCAGAAAGATCCTGACTATATCGATTAAGAAAGAAAGCCAAATGTAACCACCTCGAAGCATGACAAAATTTATTATGCTGATAAAATTTATCTATTTATCCTAATTTATCCCCTCTACATTGGCGCAGTCTCAAGATATCACTAATGTGACTCTAACAAATGTAGATGATTCAGTGGAGTCAGAAAATATGAATATTAAATATGCACACAGTATAAGTTCTTGCCAATGACACAAGATTGTATGCCACTAAGAATAAATGTTTGTAAAAGCCTTCCTGGAAATTTAATTTGGTATAGCTTGTGTCTGCAGCAGAATTCAATTTCAACGAGATCTTCATTTAGCAAAAAATTAACATATGCAGTATTCATCCATATGTTTAGTGTTCTAATTGACCAAATTACTTATTTCAATTAATTATTCTTTTTATGTAAGGTCTTAATTGAGATGAAAAAGTTAGTGTCATGAGTGGGATTTGAACCCATGACCTTTGGCTCAATATGCTGCTGCTCTAACCACTTGAGCTATGCAGTATTTTTTTCCCCTGCGGCAGTGAAGGCAACGGCATTCAAATTGTGTGGTACATGCCATAAAAGATTCAGGCAAGATACCGTCAATGTGAAATTTTGCTTGACTTGAAAATGACAAGCCCCCAATTTTTTAAAAATTATTTTATTAAACTGACGTTTAAATGTGTAATAATAAGAGAATTTACCTCGACCATGTTACCAATACAGAGCGATAAACACCCTCTCTGACTAAAACATGTCTCTTTAGGCGATCCTCTCAATTTATAATTTTTCAGAGGACCACTGAGAGCTCTCACATCCCACACTTTCATCTCTCTGTTTGCCGATGTAGTCGCCATATATCTATAAAAAATGAATAATAACATAATTTATTCTAAATAATGATCAACTTTGTGCAATATAAAAAAATTGTAAAAAATTAATACATACTTTCCACTCTGATCAATGGATATGGTCTGAACACCTGTACTGTGACATAACATTTGCGCCAGTGGCTTATTATTCATAGGACTCCACATAGAAACCACACCTACACGTGTAAAAAAAATAAATAATAATAATAATAATTGAATTTTGTTTTTAAAAGAAGATAAAAGAGTTTACATCTTTTATACCATTGGAATGGCCGACACATAGCACAGCGTTATACGGGTTTTGCGTCATCACTGAAAGCCTTCCTTTAAACGTATTCCAAGTGTTGACCATTTTTCCAATTGACACGTCCAACCAGCACAAAAAACCGTCTTCGTTCTTTAATTTAAATTTTATCAGATATATTAATTTACCAAATAAATTCATTTAAACTTACACATGTTGCAAGAAGGAAATGATATGGTAAAAATTCCATCTTAAGAACTCTATACAGTTGTTTTAAGCAGTGAAGCTCAATTCCTTGATTGTCATAAATGTAAACCCAGTTTTTTTGAGCGACCGCAAACATCATCTCGTTGTGAAGCCATCTAAACAATCGTTTTGAATCAAAGAGATTGAGTATAAAACAACTTAACTTACTGAATCCTTTCTTTAAAAAGATTGTTCCTACTCACAGTAAGTTGTTTTCCAATGATCCGGATTTCGAGCCCTTAGCTCATCATCAGGTTGTAGAAATCCTTCAACCTGATGATGAGCTAAGGGCTCGAAATCCAGATCGTTGGAAAACAACTTACTGTGAGTAGGAACTATAATTTTTAAAAAACGATTGAACACCGCACTCACTCCATCATTTCTATTAACTTACTGAATGTCGAAAACTTCTTCCATGACGTTTAATTCACAATGGAGACGCTTGGTAACCCAGTCGAAAGCGGCTACATGGCCTTTTCTACCTCCGATCAGCAAATGCCGGCCATTCCTTGTGTAATCTATTCTAAAAAATGATACAAGTTTAATTGCGAAAATCCTAGAGCAAGTAAAGACCGTTTTTGTACCTATACGGTCCGAAAGGAATGTCAAGTTCAAAGAACTTTGTGGCACTCAATATGTCGGTATTTTTTGCTATTTGATGTTGTGATACTGTTTTTGTCGTTTCGCCTTCATCATATTCTATAAATCTAAAATCAAAATTACATTATACATTTACAAAATAAAATAAAGATTTATAATGGCATATTAAAACCTATAGACTATAGTACAAAACTTTGGGGGTGTGCTAAAAGAAGCAATGCAAACATAATACAATGGTTCCAACTGAACTAGTTCCAGTTCTACGAAATATTAAGTTTTATTTCAAATTGCTACTGCCAGACTGGGGCACCATTACTCTTTTTGCTCTTGTTAACCCTTTTTGACTTTTCTGTTTTCTCTGCTGATTAATAATGTTCTTAAAAATACATTTCACTTTAGTTAATTAAATCACGCTAATAATCCAAACCGAATCGAAACCTCAACATTGGTCCTCCGGGCCGGATGGTACCTGCAAGCACAATTGAATCCGGAAGTCAGTTAAGTGGTTTATCCATTTTCTCCTCTATCCAGTAAACCCGAACCTCTATTTGACTACTGTGTACAGTTCTTCAATATGCAAAGTAATTATTCACAAATCGTGAGATGCGGTCTGGTGTGATGTAGGTTTCAGAAAAACATTTTCTTTATTGTGCCAATGTTTCGCTCTTTATTGAGATCATCTTCAGGGCCTGGTATTTACAAACATTGTTTAAATTTAACAAATACATGTAGGATGTGGAAAAAAGTGAATTTATACGGAAAAATATATTTTTTATATTCAATCAAAGTATTTCTACTCACTCAAAGTGTTTGTCTTTTGTGTAATTGTGCCATTCTTGCGTGTCGTGTTGAGAGTGCCAGTGAGATATTGCTGTTTTGTGTTTATATATGTTGGATTTTGAAGGGGGTGGGGAAGGAAGTCAGTATAGTAAAGACATTTTTGTATAAGGCGTCGGCGTCTTTAAGGTGAAAAGAGCCGATGAAGGGAAAAAAAAATGTTGGTAATGATTCGGCCATATTATCCTTTCAGGATTATATAGAAAGGGATAAATAGGAAAAGGAAAGCTAAATTGTTGAAAGATTAGACTATGTGAAAAATGTTTGATGTGTGGAATGTGATGAGATGATATATGTATGTTATCTATATTGAATTTTATTAATAATATACGTAGCTGCGACTGAGTTTACATGTATCTGTTCTGTAATTGATGCTGTGTGTATCTCTAATATGCAAAAGTTTATTAAGGTATTTCATGTTTGATTAATTAGGATATTCAGTTAAATACTTTAATAATTTGTAATTCGTTTACTCGTTAACTGTTAAATTTAATATCATTCTTAAAATACTGTCCACTTTAGTTTAGTTAATTAAACCCCTCAAATAATCTGAACCGAATAGAATCCTCAACACGCTCCTTGGTACGTTTGCATTACACACACAGAGATCTGAACATCTATGCTTACAAGCATGAAGGTATGCTTATAAGCACTACCTTCATCTTCAAAACCACCCAAACACCGAGGCCAGCCGCCTTCTACAAAGTCAGCACATTGCAACATGAATGAACAGAAATAAGCCATTTGAATTAGTTCTGTAGAAAGTTATAGGGGAACTCGATAAACTGTGTCTCATTTGACCTGTTTTAATAAGTAAATGTATTAATTAAAATTAAAAATTAAATTAAATAAAAAAAACAGCATACAAGGCCAAAAGTGCAGATTACGAATGCACTTGCATTCTGAAAGTTCTCAGACATGAAATGAAATTTTACCCGGCGTCTTCAGTGAGGAGAATCTCAGTCCTGGCCGCTTGTTTCTCAGCCCATTCGATCGTCTTCTCCTTCCGTAACATTTTCGTCCTCAGAGATTTGTTTTCGACCTCGTTCAATCTCTTCATCCCGGTGCCCCTGGAGTGCTTGGCCAGCACCTTTGGAGGGATTGGGATGCGCTCCTTGTCCCATTTATTTTTCTTTCGAGCCTCCTTCCTCGTCAACTCCCTCGACATAGTTTCTTACAGAATTTACCACGTGTAAACAATTAATCTCAAATCACAAAGGGAAATTACTGGAAAGTTTCATACTGCACGGACAAGGCTTTACAACTGACATGTGAGTACCACGAGTTTTTGTGAGCTGTGAGCTGTTCACTGTTGAATGTGGAAAGTGGAATGTTGATACGGGCGAAATGATGTTTACTATCGATACTTACGATCCCGGATTTTGCAGCCTCAACTTTTGTATGCCCCGGTATAACTTTTTACTAAACCATACATATATTTAGTAGTCATAACTGACCTATTCATTATTTCAATTAATTATACTTTTATGTAAGGTTGTGGTTGAGATAAAAAATACGTCACGATAGCTCAAGTGGTTAGAGCAGCGGCGTATTGAACCGAAGGTCTTGGTTCGAATTCCGCTCGTAACAATAGATTTTCATCTCTACCAAGATTTTAGATAAAAAGTATAATCAATTTACTTTTTTAGTTTATGAATCTTGCTTTGGATTAAAAAATTAGTACTAAAAGAAATATATAATATTAAAGAGTAATATTAAAAGATACTGAAAGAAAGAAAAGAGGGATGAAATAAATATGACAGACTTACTTTGAAAGACGGAAAAGATATTATTAAATCAATTTGAAAGAGCATGAAAGCTCTCTCTCTCTCTCTCTCTCTCTCTCTCTCTCTCTCTCTCTCTCTCTCTCTCTCTCTCTCACTCACTCTCTCTCTCCCTCTCCCTCCTCTCCGAAAGAGAAAATAGAGTTATGGAATAAATATGAAAAACTATTTTTGAAAGAGAGGAAAATAATTATGAAATGAAAATGAAAGACCATGAAAAACCCCTTTGTAAGAGAGAAAAAGTTGTAAAATAAATATGAAAGACTTTTTGAAAGAGAAAAGTTATGAAATCAATATGAAAAAGCATGGGAAAAAAACCTCTGAAAAAAGGGAAACAGTTATGAAATACTCTCTTTGAAAGAAAGAATTTATGAAGTTAATATAAAAGAGCATGAAAAAATCTGAGAGACGAGTTATAAAATGAATATGAGAGCAAGAAAAAAAATGAATTAATTAAAAAAGAATTGAATCAGAGAAAAAGTTATGAAATAAATATGACTGACTCTCTTTGACATAGAGAAAAGAGTTATGAAATTTAATATGAAAAAACTTTAAAAAAAGATTGAAAGAGAGAGGAGAAATTAATATTAAATAGCATGAAAAAATCTAAAAGTAAATATGAATGTCAGATTACAAAGATGTCACAATTCTTCAAATCTAATTTATTTGCATAAGGACATAAATTTTTAGCTTGATAACAGAACAACTTATTTGATTTATAAAAACTTCGTAAGCTTTTCCAACTTTTTTTTTGGAGATACATTTTAAGGCTTTTCCCACCTCCTCTTCAGTGTATTTTCCTAAAATTTGTATACATCAACAATAATAAAATAGGTTTTTAAACATTAGTAGTATTTTAGTGTCAACAGACGACCTTTTTTCTAATATTTAAAAATTTATAGTATTATTGCTAATTTATACAAATTTTAGAAAAATGTGCCAAGCGGGAGACCAAGAGAGCCTCAAAACGCATCTACCTAAAACATAAAAACCTGGAAATGCTTATAACCCAGATGAGGAAAAAAAAGATAAATAAATAATGGAAATAAGCAAGAGAGGCGGGTGCAACTTACTGTTCTTCAAAATTGTATGGCTGTAAATTTTCTGCCAACTGAGGTGTCAGAATTCGCGACAATACTCAAGTTCAAAATAAATTATGTGAATATTTATGTGTATGGATAATGAAGAAAAACAGTTATTTGTATAAATTTATTATCACAACAAATTTTATTCATTTGTGAAAAATACACTTTTAATGACAAAGTATCGGTATACATTTTCAGGACAAACAATTACAAGCTGATAATGTAATTTATTTTTTTATTTTTTCAAAAACTTTTTATAACCAAGCTGAAGTTCATGAACTTTAATCATTCTTTTTTTAATAGTAGAGTAATAAGTCGAAAAACAAAACAAAAAACTGTCAACCAAGAATGTTTATCATTTACTTTATTAAAAGTTAAAATATTTGTCACAATTGATGGTACGATTGTTCAACATTTTGTTACACCCACAAGATATTAATTCCTATATTTTTCAGTCCTTTCATTTTATTTTTCCTTCAAAAAGAAACATTTCGAATTGAAGGTCTCTAATGTATTCACAGCATCATTTATGTTGAATTAAACTTATCTTTTTCTTTAAAAAAAAAAATTAGATTTTATATTACAAGAATATTAAAAGAATTGTCTGATATTTCAAACAACTCAAGTACACTTTTTTAATATAAAAAATCTTAATGATAGAAGAAGCCATAGATTAGGCTCCTGAAGAAAAAAAAAAAAAAATTAAAAAATAATTTGGTTTTTTACTTTTGTCTTAGGGTTTTTGAAACAGGTCATCATGCCCGTATGATCCGTTTCTAGGCAAACTTTTGAGGTTAAACGGTTGGGCAGAATTGACTGAACTGGGGTTGCAGATAGTCGAAAGCATGACCTGTTGCATGAACAGGCTTCTTGCCGAGAGATTTTCATCTATCTTTTCCAGTTCAACTTTTTTCCCCGATGTGTTTTTGGATTGTTTGATCAATACAAATTTCGATGCATCCCCGGAGGCGTTCTGGGCAGGAGATTTGCGTGGTGGGACGACGGGGACGATAAAGTCTTCGAGGCGTTGGTCTCCTCTCCCGAGCTGTTGTCGGAGCTGGGATCTCTCAGTCTGGCCGGGGCCTACGTGAGAGCGGAACTGTTGACTCCTCCTGGAACGGGCAAGTTGGGAAAGTATCTCTGAGAGAGGATCAAAGTTGTGACGAGAAGTGGCAGAAGAGGCGGATCTAGTGGGACGTCTGCCTCTTGATGACTGGTTGCGAAAATCATCGACGAATACCGTGTCTCCGTGCTCCCTGGTGAGGTGGCCCGCATAATCGTCTGTCACTGCATGAGGGTCACCAAATGGCATTGCGACGCATATCGGGCACACAACTTCTATCGACGCATCGTCATGGTCCACTACGGCGTGTTCCACCAGGAGCGTCTCTGTGAATCCCAACTTACCGCAAATTGAACAAGTGAAAGACTGTGGCCTGGGCATCGGTTCGCCACCATAATACAGATCATAATCAGCCTGGGTGACTATGCACTGGAACGGATGGTCCGCAGGGTGGTTTGTGACCGTCGTGCCCATGTCGTAACACGTCAAGCACAAATCGTAATCCGAACATCTCAAACACTTGAAACGCTTTTCCTTGAAGTTATTTTTAGAACAAAAGTCACAGGAGACCCCTTCATGACGTGACATATTTTGAAGAAGGCGAAGAATTTATTTATAAAGCTACGCCTAATTTGTGTTCAATCAACTCACTCTCCGTCCGAACCTCAGACATCGAATCACACACCGGTACTGAAAAACAACGAATGTTTATTTATCACAGGAAAACAACAACGAACAACCCTCTCTCAACAACTTCTCAGTACATACAACCCTATGTTTGGCACGTGTCCATTCTTGTTAAAACGACTAAAAAGGTTAACCTTCTACTTCGCACTTCGCAGACTGCTGTGGATGATCGAACAACTATCGTACTATCGTATGCTTTCCCAGACATTACACTTATCTGACCGTTATCATTTTATGCTTTAACCAAAAAAACGAAAAAAACCTTTACATTTGTACAACCGTACTGTGTACGCACGTATTCTCAACAAAGTGACAATATCTGTTATATTATTATATCAACACAGATATTTAAATAGACTCACGGTCAATTATTTTTATAACAAATTATTTTCTTATAATAATTAATTAATGTAGAAAAAAATGGATCAATAAAATTAATCGATATTTTCTTTTTTAATCGTGCACTAACGAAAATGACATTTATTATTATTTAAAGCCGAATTTAAAGGAACAATTAGTTTTTGTGCCTTTATTAAGCCTCTTGTTGTTAATTAAAAATGTATATTTTTGAAAATAATATAATGTGAAAGTACTGGAAAAATTTAGCATGTACAAGCGTGTGGAATCCAGTGAAAGCCGTGTTAATTTTTTTCACCGGTCAAAAGTTGCAAATGTTAATTTATTTTGACTTATTTCAAGAAGTAAAACACGTGTCGAAATAAAATTGATTAAATTTTCTCTTATGAAAAGTTTGTGCTGAACTGTGTCCAAATTTATTTGTAGTGGATTTTCTCAAACGGTTTTTATGAAAAGTAATAAATATTTTAATAATGAGTAATTATGTTTTTTTATGTTGATTAGAAGTAGTTAATTTTGTGAATTGGTTGGTTTTTTTGAATCTCCCTCCTCAGATCGGTGTCGTCGCATTTTGGGCGGAGTGGGTCGCGCCGGTCGCCGGTGTGTGTTGTTTAGGCCGTCGAACGTGCTAGAACGTTGTCCCTTCTCGTTGTTTTTTTTCGTTGTCGAGTAAAAAGATTTACAAAGAGGCCGAGGATCGGCTTTATGCGAGTCTTTTGGGAAGCGCGCCGAACTTCGTCGGAACCGTAAATCGCAGTTGACGACAAAAATAATAAAAAATGGTCGATTACAGCAAATGGAAGAACATTGAAGTACGTACTTTTTACTTTTTGTTCGACTTACAATCTAACACTTTTGAATGTTTTTCATTATTTTTGAATTTGCCAGATTTCCGACGACGAAGACGAGACCCATCCCAACATCGACACGCCGTCGCTCTTCAGATGGAAACATCAGGCGAGGATTCAGCGAATGGAAGAAGCCAAAAAGGAGAGAGAAGAGTTGGAAAAAAATAAAGAATTGTACGTTGTCATCTCAAATTTTCAAGCTCTATAGGTTTTCAAAATTTCCAATTAAAATACCAATCACGCATCACAATTGCATCAAAAATAGATGTCCATCCCTAAAGCCAGGATTCCACTGCGCGCAACTGTTTAGTCAAACTTGTCTCGCGGCCAGGACTGTGAAACCGTTGGCATGAGGATGTTTCGGGGTGGGCCAACCGGTTGTCGGTTTTTTAGTGTGCACCAAAATGTTTCACGTTGTTTGTTTTGCTCTGGGTAAACACTTTGCTCAAGTATGAGAATGAATCAGGAGTGCATTCAACTTATCCAAATGTATCAGAGCTACCGATTTTTGTAAATGCCATTGATAAAACTCATTAGGAAAAGAGCAAGAGAGAGGATGCAAGGAAGGAAATTAGCATCAAAATGGTACAAACTGTCGGTGCTCTTAAAGCAAAGATGAAAACTAATGGGGTATTAAGGAGTGAAAAATCAAGGGTAAAGTTTCTAACAACCATTGATGGGTTCTACTGCTATATCCCTGTTATAAATGGCATGATTGTCTCACGCAAACTGATGGCTCACCTTGTTTCGCCACTACACTGTGAAATGTTTTGCCCCATGGAAATGACTAACCTGAGATGGTGTTTTGAAACAGTTGGGCAAGTGACCTAACTAATGTCAATTTGGTTGTTTGGGTGGTTTCGGCAGTACTCAAATATTTTTTAAAAATCAACTTTAATTGTTAGGCATTATGGATAAACCCAATATGTATTTAGTAGTCATAATTGACCGTATGAATTATTTAAATTAATTATACTTTTTATCTAAGGTGTGGTTGAAAAAGCTTGTGTCACTAGAATAAGTATGTACATTGTATATAGGAGAGGACCAAGGATAAATAAATTGTATCTAAGTCCAGAAAGAGTAGGGTATATGATTAAGAACTATCTTACACCTTGGTTCTAAATAAATTAAAGCATATTTTACAAATAAACACAGCAGGTCCCTGATTTTTATTTAATATATTTTCCAAGAAACACGATCTATTTCTTTTGTTTATTCTGTATCTAAATTCAGGAAGAGTAGGGTATATGCTTAAGAACTATCTTACGCCTTCGTTCTCTCTAGTGATACAAAGATAACATATGTACATTACTTCCTGTCTCCAAGGTTGGAAATTCAAGTTAAATAGTTTAGAATGTACTTTAGACATCTTATTTATATCTGTAAAATAGCTCTGTAATTATTCATTTGTTTGTAGAAAGGGTGAAATTTAGAGGAATCTATTTGTTTCCTTAAATTCAAGTATACTCAATTTTTTAAGGTCTGAAACAGCGGATTGAAAATATTAATTCTGGGGCTGGGGTTATTTTAATTTTTTGATGGTGACTATCCTGATTTTGTGGACTCCATAATAAAATGATGGGTAGGCAATAAATTTTCTTTCCCATATTCGGCTATTGTGGAAAAGACAAATTATTTCTCAATTTATTTTTTATTGATTATTTAGAGATAGTGAGATGCGGTCTGGTGTGATTTAGGTTTAGAAAAACATTTTCTTTATCATGCCAATGTTTCAATCTTTATTGAGACCATCTTCATAGAATCCCATGTTGTTCTTCTTTCTTCTTGTGTAGAAATTAACAGTCACTAAATACTACACATTTCGACACAAGAAGACTGAAGAACAACATGGGGTTCTATGAACAGATATAAATTATACATGGGCAACAAGCAAAGAGGATTCTGAAGGATATCACTACCAATGAAAAGAAACTAGCATCTGCAATCAACCAGAGAACTTTCTTTTTGTTGAAATGCAGGCAAAACAAGGCACTGAATAAGATTGAAACATTGGCGTTCTAATCATCACACCAGACCGGAACTCACAATCTCTAAATAATCATTAACTAATGGTCACTAAATACTACATATATTCTTAAATATTAATAACCATTCAGAAACCCATTTCCTGTCTTTATCATCTCCTTTGTAATTAAGTAGGTAAGACGATTGTTTCCCGATACTGTTTTTGCAATAAATAACATGTGTTTTAAGTGTGTACAAAAACAAGGGTTCTATACCTTTTTCTAGATATAGAGTATAATTTGGCATAATTACTTGGCAATCTTAGTAGTCTCTTTATTGAGAACCACTGGATTCACATCCTCAAACGACTTACTGCCCAACACCTGATCTGCGTAACAAGTGTGCTTCTTGAAACACCCTCAAAGATTGTATCTTTTTATATCTCAAAGTTTATATCTTTTTGTGATAATATTTATATAACTATCTTTGCTACTTTAGCTTTTTCCGTAAAATGATGCTTATAATTTAATACGGGAGTTATAGATATCCCTAAGTACTATCTTACTTACCACTCTATTTCTTCTATTTTTAAAAACCATTTTTCTTTACAAGCCTGCCTCCATTCTTTTTTTATTGAGTAAGCAACGAGGACAATATCATCAGCATATAGGGCTTTTATTACTGCCTCCTCTGCATGTCAATCCCCCCTCCCAAGTAACACCTCATTTAGGCAGCAAGAAAATAAAAGTGAACTCAATAACAACCCTGTTTCAGACCAGTACTTGTTACAAACAAAAACAACCCTGTTTCAGACCAGTACTTGTTACAAACCAATTAGATAATTTTTCAACATCCCAAACAGTTCAATAGGTGTTGTTACACGTAGGTTTTAAAATAAATAAATTATCATATAATTTTGCATATCCAAATTAGAGTATAAAAAATAATTAAAATGCTCTGTTCGGTTATAAAATATTAAAATAAAGACATAAACTTGGGTAAAATCGTAATCGAGATAGCTTTGGAAATTTTTAACCCTCAGAGTGTTTTTGTGTGTTGGTGTTTTTCAAAAAAAGCTCTTTTGTATGTCAGGTTTAAATGCAGGGTCACTAGATTTGAACCCTGGATTTTTACTTTTCAGAGATGAGCGCCATGTCAAAGTCTTAACCATTGCGTCCACTGACACCCCTTCTTTTAGTTTAAAATAAAAACTGACAAATGTTATATGATCTTGTGAAAAATTATACAACACTTTCTAAATGTTATTTACGTTAGAAGTGGGAGGAATATATATATATATGTTATATACGAGTATAAACATTGTGTTAAATAAATAATGTGATAACAATGCTAGGATGCAGGTGTTGCTCCTAGAATTGTCATCAGCACTCTCTCCCACTCTAGAAATTTCATANTAATTTATCTTTTAATACGTATAAACAAGAAATACATACAAATAGAGATCACATTCATAAACAGTGTTTTTAATTGAGCTCGCAGAAAAAATTATGATACAAAAATTTTTTCTGTGAGCTCTATTTGAATTTGATCTCAAAGCTCTATTTTGTGAATGTGATCTCTATTTGTATGTATTTCTTGTTTATACGTATTAAAAGATAAATTAATAATCCCAATGGTACATCACAACAAAAACTGACTGTTTGTTTATTATTTTACTTTTTATAATTGTCAAATTGTATAAGCAATTATTTTATTAATATAATTTTATTAAAATCATCATTTTGAACAGTGTGAAGCAAAGAAAAATAATTTGTACCATTGCAGGAATCAAAAGCATTTAAAAGAAGTGAGGGAAAAGTTAGCTAAAGGTCCTGATGAAGGATTAGATATCTCAGTTTTAAAAGCCTCACTGGAAGAATTGGAAAAGACTAAAGAAAAATTAAAAAAAGCAGAGGAAGATCTAAATGCAAAAGAAAGAGTAAGTTCTTTTAGCAAATAAATTCTTATTCATACATGTGCGATTAGTGGTATATTTAACAATAAATCTTTAAGATAACACCATGGAATGTAGATACTATTAGTCAGCCTGGATTCACAAAAACTTTAATAAATAAACCTCCACCGAGGAAAAACGAAGAGTTATCAGAGGAAGAAAGAGAGAAACGTATGCAAGCCTTTATAAAAGAAAATGAGAAACAGTTGAAAGAATACGGAATGTTAAGAAAATACGATGACAGCAAGAAGTTTTTGCAAGATCATCCACATCTTGTTTGTGAGGACACTGCAAATTATCTCGTCATCTGGTGCATAAACCTTGAAATGGAAGATGTAATTGAATTAAATTATTCTATAACACTGCTTCAAGCATATAATTAAAAACATATTGTTTTAGAAACAAATGCTGTCCCAGCATGTTGCACATCAGTGCATTTGCATGCAGTACATTCTCGAATTGGCCAAGCAGCTCGATGTCGATCCTAGAGCATGTGTGAGCTCATTTTTCACAAAAATCCAAATATGTGATGAAGACTATAAGGCAAGCTTTGAAGATGAACTGGCTTCCTTCATTGAGCGGGTCAAGAGGAGAGCGAAGGAAAAGCTTGAGAATGCAATAAAAGAGCAAGAAATGGAGGAACGACAGGCCAGGCTCGGCCCGGGTGGTCTTGATCCGGTTGAAGTTTTTGATACTTTACCTCAGGTAATTTGTGTATATTTTGTTTGATATTAAATTTAAATATTAAAACTCTTTAATGTCTAATATAAGCCTTTACATTAATTTTTTTGTGCTTTATCTTTAAATGAACAACTAATAATTATCAAAATTCATTATAGATATTTACTTTTTTAATTGAAAAAATTTGTTAAAATTGAACTAATTAAAAAAGGTTAAATTTTCAGGTTTTAAAAGATTGTTTTGAAAAACAAGATATTCCAATGTTGCAAAAGGCAATTGCCGAAATGCCCCAAGAAGACGCTGCTTACCATATGAAACGTTGCATCGATTCTGGTCTTTGGATACCAGAAAAAGACAAAAAAGAGGACAAAACTGAAGATAAGAATAACGATGACACATACGAAAAGTGTTCATCTACAACCTCCGAGAACTAAAATTTAATTTTAAGAACATGTAAATGAAATGCTGATTTTTGCAAGATGTCTCCATATTGCATATCAACTTTCTTTTTTTTTTAACTATCAGTGTTCTGTTAAGCCTTGCTTCTTCTTTTTTTTTTTTTTTTTTTTTTTTTTTATTTGCCATGTAGTTATGCTGTAACTGCAATTGTTGGTTCGGTTCCATGTTTATATCATTTTTTTTTTTTTTTTTAATCTTGGGAGAATATTCACATCTTATTATGAATTCACTTATTTTAAGTAATTTGTAATTTGTTTAAACATTGTACATTATAAAATTACCAATAAAAAAAAGCAGACTACATTATGAACTATTTTTATTTATACCATTAAAATAAAACCAAAAGTTCTGTAGATTCATTCAAAGGCTTGTAGCAGCATTTAAAGATACAATTATTCTTTAAATGACTGGCTACAGCTTAATTTAGCGTTACAGTTTAATTTATGTAAATTCCTTAAGCAGAAGGTCAAAATATGAATTTATGTACATTTTTCTCCCTCCAAATCCACCAATCATAATACACTTCCCTCCTTTTTTCTCAAAAACCCATGCCTTCCAGCCCTCTTCTCATTCAGCTCTCGGAGCAAGCACACCTTTTATTGCCCTATCTCCCTAAAGTGTTGCGCCATAGTAATTCACCTCCGTGTAAGATCGCCGCTTCTTAAAGTTTTCCTCGCCTCGTGAATCCCTATGGATCCCCCTTCAAATCGCCATACGATTGTCACCGCGTCATCCCATCTCCCGACTGCATGGTCCACAAACCTATCATCGCCAGTTTCCCTTAATATATCATCTCTTTCTTCCATCTATCATCATTATAATCCCGCGAACGAATCCCTTTCATTATCCCCGAAGACTCGATGATCTCACTGGCTACTACCTGGATTGCATCGTCTCATTCTCATCGCCACTGGATTGCATCGTCTCACTCTCATCGCCACTGGATTGCATATGCCGCTGCAAGAACCAGGTCGGTACACTGGCTTAAGCACCGCTGAACAACGCACGATATCGCATTTAGGAAGCATTCATCACTTTTCAGTCTTCATCGCCTTCAGAGGGATTTATCGCCTTCAGATCTCCAATATGATCATCGGCCATCTTGTAAGCCATAGAAAATTCATTAAACAGTGAGTCTTCAATTACTCCTTTTGTTCATTATTAGTTCCTTCATTTAACCATTCCTAAAATAGCATCCCTTTTTCCTTCTTCCATTCCCGTTGGTGCCGAAACAATCTTCTTATTAACTTCAACTCCTCTCTCCGGCGGTGTTCGTCGGCGCCATTTTGAATTTGGCTGCTGGCGAACACCTTCCTTATATTTGTTAATTTTATACATAAGTTGACATTTAAAATGTTAAAATATATTTGATTTACTATAGATGAATACAGGCACATATTCCATACTGTTCCAATACCCTGTTAGATTACAGATTGTTTTTTAGTATTTGTAATTAAAACAAAGGGGTAAAAATGACTATTTTCAAGTTATACTGAAGGCAAATCAATTATTTTAAGGTTTTAATTGTTGGAAATAAAACAAATAAATAAATAAATTGTTCCTTTATTAATAAACATGGAAATCATTCAGGCTTTGAGTTGAGCGAAACCAACTTGTTCATTCTTCACGTCGTACACCGAGTAGAATTTTCCCAAGAAAACATCTCCAAGGATCCAATCGACCATCGGGAGATCTAGTCCCATAAATCCAGAGAGGCATACTGTCTGTCCCAAAAGTGAAAACTGAAACAACATTTGTTTTATAAATATTAAAAATTATCCAATTTGTTTAAATATATATATATATAATTTTTTTTTCCCAAGGGTGAACTATGAGGTTATATGAACCCTCGGGAAGTCGGTCTTATCACAATGATATACATTATTGTACCTTAAGGACATAATCATTCCCTTCTAATACAAAATCCCTTCCATCAAGAACGAATGTTACAGGTGGGAGTTTGTCAACTGTTTCGCATTCAACCTGTTATTTAAAAACATCTATTTAATAGATATGATAAATAGATTACACTTTCAATTTTTGTTCTAAGGAGTTTTATCATACTTACGACAGCAATACCACCAAAACTGAGTAGACCAACTTTGGCATTAATAGCTTCAACTTCTTTTGTAGGGCCAATAAGCAACGAGGTACCGGTGTCTGCTACTGCCTGACATCCATTGCAGAAAGTGGTGTTACTTCCGCCAAGTGAAACTCTAATAACGTATATTAATTTTTAAGAAAATTTCAATTATCACTTTGTAAATGTTGACATACTTGTCCATATTAAATTGCCAGTAAGCCTTCTTTGACAGTTTTAAGTAATGAAGGGATTCTGTGTGGAAAAGCTCTTCGTTAACACCTCCAAGGAAAAGTTCACCACCTTTTTCAGCAGTTGGATCTCTGTCGGACAACATGAATGTAATATTACTCTAGATTTTTTGCAGTTTGACAATTCACCTGTTCAGATAGGATGAGAAAACTCCTTCTTCGAGGGAAAGTTGGTCTACCATGTTGAAAAATGGAGGAGTGACATTTTTGACCGCGAGCCTTGGAAAAGCCATACCCATGATGCCATCAAACTGGGTAAACACAAAAGTGAGCCCGGGTAAAGATACTGCTTCGGCAAAAGTTTGGTTCATGACCTTCACTCCTCCCACCTAAATTGTTTTTACATTTTAACATTCATGCTATTGCAATGAACTCTAATATAATTTTTTTTTTTTTGCACGTTGGAAAGAAATGTATTCTATGAAAGAAACAGTGTAGTAGAACTGTAGTCCTTTAAACTTACTTCCAAAACATCTGTTGAAAGAAATCCTTTCATATTGCCTGAGACATAAGCCAATTCAATATTTGTGTCATTCTTGACATACGTTGTAAATTTTGCACTGTTGTGAATCCCTTGAATAAAAGAAACAGGCATATATTAAAGTTGAGTTTTAAAGTATCCTCATTTGTTTTAATAACTTACAACAAGCAAGGTTGAAGAAGCCGCACTTATGTGATGGGACCCATAAATTAGGAGAGCCAGTGTCAAAAAGGACTGAAAGTTTGTGGCGGTGTGCCTAACGATACTTCACCGTAGTATTGGGCCTATGAAAAATTTATTTATTGCATGACATATAAATTTGTAAGCTCTCTTACATTCATGTAGTTTGAGAATGATGTGACTGCACCAGCATTCCCTGCGTATTTTTCCGCAGCCTGAAACGTATGGCCCAACCTCCAAGCTTTAATCTCATTCTGGAAAACCGAAAGCTCTCTCAGGTTCTTGTGGATTTTTTTCAAGGGTACTCTGAAACATGTAAATAAAACTTTAACTTAAATAATAAAACTATCAGCTTATGTTAAGATTCGATTAAAGTTGTAATTTCACTAATGTCGGTTGTGACAATGAAAATTTCAACAACTCACCTCACGAAGGCTTGAGAGCCCTCATTTAGGAGAAAGGCTCCGGCAAGAAACAGTACAGGGTCCTCATTATGATTCATGAACTACGGTTTAATGGATCTTTTATAACGGATTTTGAACAACTTCACTCTTGTAATCTGTTGAGATTAGATAAGTTGATATTCATCAATAGTCATAATATAATTTAAAAATACTTTTTTTACAGCATAATGGTACAACTCAATATTTCATGAATATAGGAGTGACCAAGTTGTAAAAAAAAAATCCATTTTGGGTTTTACCTATCCTGAGGTTGAGACAATTTGTAATTCATCACCTAATTATAAGCAATTAATAAGCATGTTATTTATGCTCATCTTATTTAACTCTGCCCTTTTCAGCCTTCAGCTAAAAGCTGAAGAGAGCTTTTTTTTACAAAAAGTTACTTTGTAGTTGTTTGTACTGAATACTATAAATGTATATATAATATATATAAATTTTCTAAATGTTTTTTTAGATAAGATTTTGCTAAATTTTTGTATCATAATTTTTTCTGCCTTTTCTGACTGAAGAAAAATTAAGTACTGATACTGATTGTAATATTTCTGCACCCTAAATGTAAATGTTATGAAAAAATTTTTTCTTTCAAATCATTCCTATAATGGATTTTCACCTTCCTTATATTTGTTAATTTTATACATAAGTTGACATTTAAAATGTTAAAAAATATTTGATTTACTACAGATGATTACAGGCATACATTCCATACTGTTCCAATACCCTGTTAGATTACAGATTATTTTTTATTTGTATTTGTAATTAAAACAAAGGGGTAAAAATGACTATTTTCAAGTTATACTGAAGGCAAATCAATTATTTTAAGGTTTTAATTGTTGGAAATAAAACAAATAAATAAATAAATTGTTCCTTTATTAATAAACATGGAAATCATTCAGGCTTTGAGTTGAGCGAAACCAACTTGTTCATTCTTCACGTCGTACACCGAGTAGAATTTTCCCAAGAAAACATCTCCAAGGATCCAATCGACCATCGGGAGATCTAGTCCCATAAATCCAGAGAGGCATACTGTCTGTCCCAAAAGTGAAAACTGAAACAACATTTGTTTTATAAATATTAAAAATTATCCAATTTGTTTAAATATATATATATATAATTTTTTTTTCCCAAGGGTGAACTATGAGGTTATATGAACCCTCGGGAAGTCGGTCTTATCACAATGATATACATTATTGTACCTTAAGGACATAATCATTCCCTTCTAATACAAAATCCATTCCATCAAGAACAAATGTTACAGGTGGGAGTTTGTCAACTGTTTCGCATTCAACCTGTTATTTAGAAACATCTATTTAATAGATATGATAAATAGATTACACTTTCAATTTTTGTTCTAAGGTGTTTTATCATACTTACAACAATACTGCCAAAACTGAGTAGTCCAACTTTGGCATTAATAGCTTCAACTTCTTTTGTAGGGCCAATAAGCAACGAGATACCGGTGTCTGCTACTGCCTGGCATCCATTGCAGAAAGTGGTGTTACTTCCACCAAGTGAAACTCTAATAACGTATATTTATTTTTAAGAAAATTTCAATTATCAGTTTGTATATGTTGACATACTTGTCCATATTAAATTGCCAGTAAGCCTTCTTTGACAGTTTTAAGTAATGAAGGGATTCTGTGTGGAAAAGCTCTTCGTTAACACCTCCAAGGAAAAGTTCACCACCTTTTTCAGCAGTTGGATCTCTGTCGGACAACATGAATGTAATATTACTCTAGATTTTTTGCAGTTTGACAATTCACCTGTTCAGATAGAATGAGAAAACTCCTTCTTCGAGGGAAAGTTGGTCTACCATGTTGAAAAATGGAGGAGTGACATTTTTGACAGCGAGCCTTGGAAAAGCCATACCCATGATACCATCAAACTGGGCAAACACAAAAGTGAGCCCGGGTAAAGAGACTGCTTCGGCAAAAGTTTGGTTCATGACCTTCACTCCTCCCACCTAAATCGTTTTTACATTTTAACATTCATGCTATTGCAATTGTTTTGCACGTTGGAAAGACATGCATTCTATGGAAGAAACAGTGTAGTAGAACTGTAGCCCTTTAAACTTACTTCCAAAACATCTGTTGAAAGAAATCCTTTCATACTACCGGAGACATAAGCCAATTCAATATTTGTGTCATTCTTGACATACGTTGTAGATTTTGCACTGTTGTAGTTGTTGTGAACCCCTTGAATAAAACGAAACAGGCATATATTAAAGTTGAGTTTTAAAGTATCCACTTTTGTTTTAATAACTTACAACAAGCAAGGTTGAAGAAGCCGCACTTATGTGATGGGACCCATAAATTAGAAGAGCCAGTGTCAAAAATGACTTTGAAAGTTTGTGGCGGTGTGCCTAATGATACTTCACCGTAGTATTGGGCCTATGAAAAATTTATTTATTTCATGACATATAAATTTGTAAGCTCTCTTACATTCATGTAGTTTGAGAGTGATGTGACTGCACCAGCATTCGCTGCGTATTTTCCCGCAGCTTGAAACGTATGGCCCAACCTCCAAGCTTTAATCTCATTCTGGAAATCCGAAAGCTCTCTCAGGTTCTTGTGGATTTTTTTCAAGGGTACTCTGAAACGTAAATAAAACTTTAACTTAACTAGTAAAACTATCAGCTTATGTTAAGATTCGATTAAAGTTGTAATTTCATTAATGTCAGTTGTGACAATGAAAATTTCAACAACTCACCTCACAAAGGCTTGAGAGCCCTCATATAGGAGAAAGGCTCCAACAAGAAACAGGCACAGGGTCCTCATTATGATTCATGAACCACGGTTTAATGGATCTTTTATAACGGATTTTGAACGACTTCACTCTTGTAATCTGATGAGATTAGATAAGTTGATATTAACTGTCATCAATAGTCAGAAATTAATTAATACTTTTTTTACAGCATAATGATGCAACTCAATATTTCATGAATATAGAGTGGCCAAGTTTTAAATAGAAATCCATTTTGGGTTTTCCCTATCCTGATGTTGAAACAATTTGTAATTCATTATCTAATTATAAGCAATTTATAAGCATGTTATTTATGCTCATCTTATTTAACTCTGTCCTATTCAGTCTTCAGATAAAAGCTGAAGAGAGGTTTTTTTTTTACAAAAGGTACTTTGTAGTTTGTACTGAATACTTGCTGTAAAAATTGTTAAAGCTAATTAAGAATTGATCCAAATGCCTGTTTTTAACTGCTACAGTGTAAAAAAGCATTCATCAAAAGCACATAAATTTAAATTAATTTATGTTGTTTTGCGTTTTCTAGCCATTTATTAAAACTTGATAAGGTTAATTAAAATGTAAATACTTGGTGAACTCAGTGTTTAACATTTAATTTAAATGTTAACATTTAAAACATTTTAAAACTCAGAGTTCATAAAAGATGTTATTTTAATAAACCTCATCAGTCTACAATAAACGGGTGGAAAACTACAAAAATATATTAACCACAACACACGTACAACATATATTATGTAATACTGATAGACAAAATTAACGCACCACCCTTAAAGTTTAATGTATTTAGGTTTATTAATATTTTGCATACTAAAAATAGATTTGGATGTAAAAACAAGACATTTAAAAAGAATATGTTTATTAACTAATACTAAAAAAATATTTAGTAAAGAAAATTCAAAAACAAATAAAAAAGTTAAAAAAAAATTTTTTTGTCCCCTTTAATACCTTGTTACAACCTCTGGTACAAATAACGTTCATTAAATGCTTTTGCATTCCTTGGAAAATATTTCTGGTAAAATTCTGAGGGATTATTTCCATTCATCAAGAACAGCCATTTCCAAATCTTCTAGGGTATTAGGATTGAGTTTCACCGTACTACTCATCGCTTAAGTTGGTCCCAAATGTGTTTGTTTGGGTTCAAATCTGAATTTCGAGCTGGCCACACCAAGCACTCAATTCTAACCTCATTCAGGTAGTCTTCCACAGTACGTGCTTTATTTGGGCCTGGCATTACCCTGCTTTACCAAGAATCTCTCACCTATCAAATAGCACTACAAATTCTTTGATTATGCTTTGCAACCTCTGTGAAGTTAGAGATCTTCCTCACACAACAAACAATTCAGTGCAGGTGTCCAAGGAAATACCACCCTAGAACATCAATCACCCACCATGGAATGCCACCTGAGGAATCATATAACCTTTCTCCTGAGTGTCTCCATATGAAATTTGAAATGGCCCATCTGAAATTTGAGGCCAACAATCAGCTCATTGTACAGAGAACTCAACCCCAATCTTCCAATGTCCACTTTACATATTTACATGCAAATTGAAGCTTGGCCGTTTTTTTAGCTCTGGTAAGAAGTCTACGAGCCGGATGCCCGGACTTGAGGTTATTTTCATTGAGCCGTCTTACACCCCTGGAGTAAATTGAAACATTTCGGACTTGTCTTATCCCATTTCCCATTATGCTACAGTTTTGTAGAGTCTGATGACACATGAATCTATTGACTCTCTTGTTTGTAGACCTCGGTTGATCCTGTCTGGCCTTCTAGTGTGTAGCCCTGTTTCTATGAAGTGCCAAAGAACCCTTTCTAACATAGAGTGATTCAGTCCCCTGGCAACTTCGCATTAACTGTACACTTCCTCTTTGTTTTTGTTTTTTTTAGGTCTTGCTACAAGGGAGGAAAATCCACAATAAAAACCTACTAAGGAGCCGCTGGCAAAGCTAAGGAGGTTGATTAACAACCTGAAGCTGGCCAGTGAGTTATATAAAAAAAAGAACACAATAGATCTTCTTAGGTCGAGGTGTAGAATGCCTTGTGGCCACCTCTTTTATCTTTATCCTCTATGAGGCCCATCCTCAAAAGAATAAGCTTTTCAAACACTATCCTGTAAGAGCTTGGGTTTTCAATAAGTGGTTGAAGAGGTGAAGAGTATAGAAGACAAAAAGTGTAGAGATTCCTGTAGTGTCATGTTTGTTAAGCATCTACGTCGAGAATAGTTTGTCACAGCATTTTCACGACATATACACTTAACTAACATAACACTTCACTTTATGCTTTGGAAATAACCATAAAGGTCGAAACATCGGCAATAAAAATGAAAAAGGAAATACATCTAATCTTACTGCTCCTCACTACTTCAATCACTTATAAATTGAATGATGCATTGCTTATGTGGCTACATATGTAGATCACTAGTAATTATCATGGATTATTATTATGGTTTAATTATTCTCTTTGTTTTCAGTAATTTGATAAAATGCAATCCTTCGAGTTGCACAGGTGTTCAAAAAATTTCAAATTCCGGCGGTCGATGTCTTCTTGAGTTGTGTGGTCGATTTCAACTTTGTTTTGATAAAACACTTTGACTGATAACAGTGACTAGATTTTCCTTTTTAAAATTTGAAAACCATTTTTAAATTTATGTTTCGTCCGTACGCATGTTGAATTATCGCAGAACAAATTGTATTTGTTCAAAGAATCAGTTTTTAGTGTTATGTTTTAATAATAAATACAAATAAAATATGGATAACTCTGAAAGGTAAGTGATACATATCTTATGATTTCTATCTAATACTAAACTTTAATCCAACACAGAAACTATTTTTAGTCAAAATAACACACCTTAAAATATAATAAAACGTATATTTTATAATTATCTTTTTAATTGAAATGTTATCTTGTCTTTGTTTACATTTTCTATGTTCACTTATTATACAAGTACAATAATATTGGACGAATGCTAAAGAAAAAACTAACAATTGAGATTATTCTGGGTACAAAAGTGAAGGTAAAAAAAAAAAATAATAATAATAACACGATAGAAATTTCTTGTAGATATGGCATCAGAAAGTGTTATTTACAATATTTGTACTGTTTTATTATTAAAATTTTTATAACATCGGGTTGTGCGGAAAATAATGCAGGTTTATGGTTAAAAACAGTTAAATAAATTATTTTAAACATGTTTTGTTAATTAAAATACCACTTTCCACTCTGAATAGAATATTGAGTCTTTGTTATTAAAAAATTGCATAAACGCATTTTCAATGACTTTTGATCAATAAATTTTTTATGTTGTAAAACGTCATCCAAGTGTCAGAAAAAAGGTAGTAGGTAGGCGAGAGGTCTGGAGAATAGCGAAGGTGAGGCGGAACCTCATAACCAAAATCCAACAGTTTTCATGTTGTTACACGAAAGATATGGGGCCGAGCGTTGTAACAGAATCGGCTTTTTCTGATTGACCAAAGATGGCATTAATAATGCCATTTTTTGGTGCAATTTTAATTTGAGAGCAATGCATTTTGGCATTGAATGTTTTGCCAGGCTTTAAAAAGCTATAGTAAATCAGCCCAAATGAAGCCCACCAAAGTCACCATCACCTTTTTCAATGAATTAGAAATTTTGAAAATGTAGTGCTCTTCTCCTTTGTCGAGCCAGCTACCACTACCAATTCTATCTAGAAAAAGTTTGTTTCTGTTTCGGTAAAGTGTTGCATAAACTTATTAACAATTTTTTTGGTGGGTATTTAATGCAAGAGGAGCTTTTTCACTTTTCCAATTGCCTTAGGGTGGTCAGCGATGGTGTCTCTGCAAGTTCTCGAACAGTTGTTCTGAGATTTTCTTCCACCAAATCTCGCAGAACATTATCATCTAAGAAAGAAATCCTTCCACCACCTTCTTTGTCTCCCTCTCGAAATTTTTTAAACCATGGTGCTCTCACTCACACTACCATCGCCCTGGAGTTCATTAATGTTTCTGGTCATTTGGGCACCATTCTGACAGGGTTTAAACTCGTAAAATGAAATTGCGTGTTATTCATACAATTTACAATTCTTAGTAAGGTTTGAATTCCCAAGTAATGAACTGCTACTGAGGTAAACAAACATTTTTGTTTAGAAGATTATTAAAAAGGTCGGCATTCGTACAAAAGAATAATGCATCAAACGTAAACAGTTTATTCTATAGAGGGGTAATTGAAAGAAAACATGAAAATCTGCATTATTTTCTAGACAACCCAATACAATATTGGTGGTGATATCTAGGAATATACGTGAACCAAAAGCTAATGTGGGAAACACTTATTTAAAACATTGTCACACTTGGCAACAAAGCCGGTAAAATCATCCACATTAAACGACTCATTTACATAATGATCATAGGGCCTATGGTTGCGCTGTATCTGATTCAAAAATTAAAAAGGTACAAACATTCAGAACCGTATCCCCTGTTAATAACAAATGCTATAGCATGCTCGGAACCAAACTATCCACAAAGAGTTGGACATCCTTAACGTTAATACGGTGATCAGCCTACAGTTGACACCACAGATCCATCATGCCACATCCCAATTAACTGATGTAAGAAATTGCCCAGAGCCAACCAACTCCAAGATCACAAAGATGACTTAAATGGAAGAGACACTTCAACCTTGTACCATCCTAAACTCATAGCTATTAATGTTAAATAATTAATTAACATAAGCTATTGTTACCAAATTTATTATTAATTTGTTTAAGTGAGGAATGAGGGCATGTAATGTTCATTAGCTCAATAAAGTTTAAAAAGATGAAGAAAAAAAAATAGTTGAAGGTTGAGATGGCAGTATAACTCTATCAATCAGTTTTATGATTAGATTTGCTTAAATTTAATACAACCAAATTATCCAATTATTGCATAAACTTCATTTATTGTTGCGTGTATGTTGTATGTAAATGCAAAGTAGATTAAAGTAAGTTTGTTGAGGATAACCCTGAATGTATATTCCTTTGAGTTTGAACAGGATCAGTCAAGAGTGAGATGGAGAAGAAATCCATTTCTCTTCATATCCTGACGTTTTAATTCTATAATGACTTGAATTTATTATTATTTTTATGTAGTGTGGCTGAGATAAAAAATTGGTGTCACGAGCAGAATATGATCCCACGACATGTGGATCAGTATCGGTCCTCTACCATTTGAACTATCATGATTTCAGCTGGCAAGGCACCACCAACTCTTCATCTTTATCTCAACTTTACATTCTCCCTCTTTTTGCCAATATTCAAATATCGTGTAATCATTTGTAGAGTTTTAATAATTTTCCAGCAATCTTGCTATGTCATCGGATACTGTTTTTTTATTTAGTCAATTTATGTTTGATTAAGTTCTAAGTGCTTTGACACTCCTACTTTATCTAAATATACATGTCAAGATAAGAAAATTGTATCATGAGATCCTCTTGAATTTTAAGAATGCCAGGATGAAAAACAATTTGGCATGTCTTGTCAAGCTTATCAAAATAATGTGTGGAGGTTAGTGACCATTAATTAATGATTATTTAAGATCATGAGATGCGGTCTGGTATGGCGTAGGTTTAGAAAAACAACAAAAAACGTTTAGAAAAAAAGTTTCGATCTTTATTGAGAGAACAAACATAGAAAATAAACTCTTTGAGCCCTGAAGATGATGTCAATAAAGATCGAAATGTTGGCACAATAAAATGTTTTTCTAAACCTGCATCACACCAGACCGCATCTCACGATCTCAAATAATTATCAAATTATTTTTACTAATTTCCATTGTAAGCTGTAAAACAAGGAATTAATCAAAATGACTTATGTTGAGTGGTTTAGAGACAGGATTTACTATGATTTTTCTTACAATGATTTTTTTTTTGTAGTGGTTTTTACGTAAAACCTAGCCTTCATTATGCAAGTTGTTTATGAAATAGTAATAAAAAAATTATGCTATGCATATATGATTTTCATTTTTTTCCAGCACAGAGCATAATTTTAATCCTTCGTTGAACGAGTATCCACCCTCAGAACTTGAAAAAATGAAAGGAGATGCCATTGGTAGCACACTTTACAGTGAATGCTGGGTTTTAAGGATGCTCATCAAAATCACAGAAGTAATATGGCTTTTAACTGAAAACAACGAATAGTATATTTGAATAAACGTATTATGGCATAGTGATTTTTTGTTGTACTACAATATTACAATATTGACATTTTAACGCAAAGTTGAGAATTATGTTTTCACACAAAGCTTAATTATTAATTTTTTAGTTTACAGAAGAACAATGGTGTGATGAATTTGAATCTGACCTCTGTGCATTATGGGACATGACATTGGAGAAGGATGTCATCGATCTCCTTATGAAGCATGAAGTGCTTTCTATAATCACTAATGCTCTCTGCGGCGAGAGAAATGAAAGATTCACTGTAAATTGAATTAATTTTTATTAATGTAAATTGTTAATGTTATTTTTGATTGAAGGAAATATTACTTGGGATTGTCGCCAATATGTGCTGTGATAAGAACGTGCGACAAGTCTTGTCTGAGAAAGTGGAGACAGTAGCCATTTTGACAGCACTTTTAGACGAGTCGGACCCACCGATTCTCATCCAGCTCATTCGGGTCATGCACGCCGTGGCTTGGGACATTGTGCAGGAAAGTGATTTTTCACCCAAATGGCTTGAAGATGCTATTACAAACTCCCTCCTCGCGCCGTATTTCTCATTCATTTTGAAAAGCTCGACCAATGGTACTTGCATTTTCTCTCTGGCCCTGGGGTTTGTGTTAATTGATTCAAAATTGTAGAAGACCTATTGACTTGTGTTTTGGAATTTCTCAACACGATCTGCACAATTGAAATTAGTGATAAAGATTTCAGCCAGTACTTCGCCACATCAGGTAATTTATAAACTGTACCTTTTACTGAAAAAATTTAATTAGTTTAATTTAAAAACAATATAGAAATGATCTCTGGTATGATTGATGCTTGGCAACAGCTCTTAGGATGCTGGACCTACGAGGAGGGATTTCCGAATAAACAGCTTGAAAAAACAGCGGCACACTGGTGTGGGATACTCTTGTCTTTTTCAGGTCACGAGAGTGGTAAAGCAATTTTGAGTAGGTTTTTACCTTTAGTTTATAAAATATAATTTACTTTGTCTTATTAACAAATTTTAATATACAAGGTGAATATAGTGACCAAATAGGATGTGTTTGTTTTAAAATAATGAATAGACCTCATGAGAATTTAGACGGCATCTCGATAATATCTGTCAATTTATTGGATAGTTTGCTTCCATCATACTTTAATGGCAATTTACTAAAAATACTTTTACTTGTATTAAATCTACTTTACCAAAGTCAAGGTAAGAAATTTGTGCAGGTGTAAGTTTGTTTGATTGATCTGGGTAACTGTCATAGGTGAAGTCTCCGAGTTGAATGGTGAAAACTTAGAACCAATTTTACAAGATACAATCGAAAATTATTGTGCCAATGTCAGCATATCAGTCGACAGGGAGATTTTGAACTCCCTTTTGTCTGAATGTAGCGAAAACCATGTTCTTCTCTTTTGGAAAGCAGTCAGTGAAAGAAAAATTGATGATATGGGAGAACGTGCTATTTAGTCTGAAGTGCCTATGAGGTATATGAATTATTTTTGTTTATTTTTAAATTATTGTAAATTTTGTTAAATAAAGAATTACTGAAAAATGATATTTTTCCCATATAGTTTAAACCTCATTAGAGAATTCACTTCTGTTGCTGAGCAAGAGCCAGTTTATTGTAATGTATTATAGAAACGATTAATCAAAAAAAATTTAGGCAGTACATAGCTAATTTTGGCCGGTCATTGTCATTTGTAAGACAAATAAAAAATAATATTAATAAAAATCAAGGATAATAATAGGTGTGTCGCTCTATGTACTCGAGATGAGATTCAAGCACTCACGATTAAATAAACAAATCTCACAATTGGTGTACGACTTACACCGCGACTCTTTTTCAATTGCTCGCAATTTGTGATTATGTGCAGTGATTAGTGACCGTTTGTCGATGATTATTCAAAAATACTTTGATTGAATATAAAAAAAAAAAAGTTTTTTTGCATTTTATAAATTCCTTTTTTTTCACATCCTACATGTATTTGTTAAATTTAAAACAATGTTTGTAAGTCCCTGGCCCTGAAGATGATCTTAATAAAGATCGAAATGTTGGCACGATAAAGAAAATGTTTTTCTGAAACCTACATCACACCAGACCGCATCTCACGATTTCTGAATAATCATTTGTGATTATTATAATTTACATGTCACCGTTTCACCGAAAATTTGCTTAGTATTTTTGATCCTTGGTCTCTTTGATCCCTTAAAAATTAGCTGTGCATTCTCATCTTAATCCAAACTCTGATACTCCAAACGGGAAAAACATTAAAAAAAGTGAGAATTTTAAAGGAAACAAATGAAACATTATATTGCGAGAAGGAGGAGGAGGAAGGAGAGAGAGTGAGTGAGAGAGAAGGCATAAGAAAGGAGAGTCATATGAAAGACCAAGTTCAGCTTAGACAAATATTTGAGAATTTTGTTTGTTCAGTGAATCCCTCACCTCCCTTCACGACTAAAAAAGGACTATTAGTAATCAGTTTACATTTTTCTTGTGTTAAATACAAGTACTATTATAATATAAATGTAATAAAAATGAATGAAAAAATGGAAGAAGCAATCAAGAAAATGTTGAATAAATAAACATAAAAAACATTACAGTTTTATTGATCAGATTTCTATATGAATAATGAATTTCCACATAAATTATTTAAGTTTTCAAGGGTAAAGTGACGGAACGCTATAAACTTCTTCATGCAAGCAGTGGATATGAAAATTTTATTTTATTCAAATTAAACTTAATTTTCACAGTATTTATAATTTTTGGAAAAAAGTATGCAAAAAACCACAAAGTTGTAAATTAATTCTTAATGGATTATATTATACAGTAAATAAGGTAAAGCTTTGGTATTGAATATATTTAACTATATACATAAATTGTTTATGCTAATATACATATACGTTTGATTGTTAATGGGAAGGGGTTATGAAAAATATTGCTATGGAGCTAGATCAATTAGATGTTTCACCCTTCTGTGCTTCCAGTTTACTCCTTTATAATTACCTATTGCTCTATGTATGGTGTTAGAGCTTATTGAAACCTCAGCAAATAATTTAAGCCCCTTACAGGATTACTTCTTTGTGTCATGGAATTCCAGTAGAGACAAGCTAGCAAGCCTTACAAATTCATTTTTGGATGACCTTGACTTTTTAAAGTTAGTAGCTCAAGAGTGACACCAGGATGGGCGTGTGTAGAGGAGCATGGCCATGGGGCTTTATAGAGGGAGATTTTATTATTTACACTTAACAAGGTCCCTTTCCTGAGGGTATAGGAATCCTTAGCTTCAACATAGGCATTTGTGGTTTTGCACTCACATAGAATAGACCCTCCGGATACAAATGCACCCATCTGCCATTTGTATGCTTTTACAGCAATTATTTACAAAAAAAAGCAGGTAAAAATTAATTCTATATTATTTTTTAAATATATAAGTTTTGTGATTTATCATGTTGTAAATTAGGAAAATATTAGCATACAGAAACAAAACTGTCAAACATGCAAACATTTTCGCTTTTAAAGTTAAGTTTGGCTTTGTAAAATATTTGAATATATGTATTCTGGAAAACGTTTTTTGATTTTTGTTAATTTTCTAACGGATTTTGTTTAATTATTACAATAATAATATATATATTTTTTAATTGTTTTACATTTAAGCCTAAGAAGAGTTTAAAGAAGGCTTGGTGAAAAATTTACATACTTATTTTGGGAAACTTTTTAAAATTTATTTTGTGTTGACAAGGCAATCATTTGAAAAGAAAATATAACAGTAATATTTGGATTGTAAAAAGCCATACATCCTATGCCGATACACATAGTAGCATAACAACATGCAGGCTATAGGGGCGTCAGTAGCTGCAATGGTTTAGGCGTTGACATGGTGCTCATCACTGTAAGGTAAAGATCACAGGTTCAAATGCAGGGCCACTGGATTCGAACCCGATATACTTACCAATGGTTTTTTTTTTTCAAAAACACTGGCACCCTGAGGGTTTGTACGACTTCTTATTATATAAAATTTATTTTGTCTTCTCTTCACTTTTTACCTTTTGGGCGCTATTAATATAATTTTTTTTTAAAGTTTATAATATAATTAATCATGAGTATAAGTTGTAAAAAGCAAAAAACTATCACTAAAGACTGAAATAAATAGTACAAGTGGGTAATAAAATTCAAGTTGTGCAGGATTGCATAACCAGACTGTTCTGATGCTGCTGAGAACGCTTCAGCACTAGTTCTTTTTATTGAAAAATGCTTTTAAAAATAATAATAATAATAATAATACATTTGTACCAAGGTAAATGGAAACCATAGCAAAAAAACAGTTCCCGCCCCAGAAAAAGCTATCTCTTGCAATTCATGCCAAGAAACGTGGTTGTAGAAATCCGTCAACCTGATGATGAGCTAAGGGCTCAAAATCCGGAACGTTGCAAAACAACTTACTGTGAGTAGGAACTATCTTAAAAAAAGATTTATTCTTAATTTCTATGAATGTTAGATTTCTTTTTTAGTGTAAGGTTTAATTGCTTTACTATAGCGCTTAGTCTCAAAGACGATACAATTAATGCAATGTGGTCAGCTTAAAGGAAATATAACAAATTCAGTAAATGAAATGGATAAATAAATTGACACTTAAATGGTTTGTAAGTACTGTTTATTTTGGAACATTTCATTTACAATATTAACAATTTTCAACTTATTAATACTTCGAATTGTAAAAGGAGGTTATTTTTTTCTTGTTAGTTTCAATTCTTACAATGGTGTAAGCTTGGTGGCGGATTACTCATATTTCTTAATAACACCATACTTACTTGCGAAGTAATATCGTTTTTTATAAGTATTATTTAGATTTTTATATGAAGCCTAGATTCCTTTGCAATAAACACCATTAACAAAACAATATTAAAACTCATTAAAAGAAACAAGTAAATATTGTAAAGATGGCAAAAGGAACAAATAGGTAATCAACTCTCTTTAATAGAATTTAGGTCAGTTACTGCATTAACTATTTGGATGGCTGATCCATCAACACTGTTCATGATTCGATTTCCAACACAAGATGAAACAGTTCATGAAAAGTTGAGAAGTAAAGCCCTCACAAAATAAAATATATGGGACACAAAAAAATCGATCCCTGATGGATTTTGTCCTTCAAGCTTTGGCATTTATAAGACTCAAAATAGTTGTCAGGTCAGTACTTTTTTTCATGTTATTCATTTTATAACGAATATGGAGCCTTTAGGAAATTCTGTCTTATTTATGTACTCAATAAAATTGTCAACCAGAACTTCTCACTGTGAGAACTCATGTGTCGCACTGTTTTGTATTCCTGAGCTGTTTCTGTTGCTCAAGGAGCCTTTCTAACGGTGAGGGGCCTGGCCCCGACCACAAAGACTGTAAATAAAAAACAATTATAATTGTCAACAATCAAAATTAAATAATACAACACAATACCTGATGGCTCATCCTGATGTTGCTCGAAGGATATAATGTACTACTTGAGAGATTGTTTGTTTGAAGATCTGTCCCACTGAATAAAGAGTAAGTCCCTTCCTACAAAAATTTTTGCATGTTTAATTTCATATATTTACATTATTGTGTACCGAAAATGTGTAACACTAACTTGCTCTGTTGACTGCAATCCCCATGAAGATAATTTATCCCTTGAACAACTATAAACAACAAACAATAAAATATAACACAATTTTGTTATTATTTATAATCACAATACCCCTGAGGCCACCATTCTGGATTTCTGTTCTCTTGCCAGTCTGCCTTTATATTTCGATTTGATAATTCTTGATCCTTGAAAAAATAACATTCTGTTACATAAACTGGAGACATCGACTTGTGAATAAATGTATGTTATACACACCCAAAATTATTTCTTTAAAGTAAATAATAAATTATCACTACTTCATTATTCACCTGTGACTGTGATTTTTTCAATAGCGACTGCAAAGCAACATTTTTTCTTGTTCTTTCTTTCCACCCGTCATGTCCATTTCCTACATAAAGGTTATAAATTAAATATTTATAAATATAAATCACAAAATGTTGCAACTATAGTGAATATTGTATTGTATATATTGTTAGTTTAGAATCTCACGGCTCCGGAGGTTAGCAGACCGGAGTTAGACCTCAGTCTTGACTGTACTTTCCTCTCACGCTACACATTTGCGCTTATAAATATATTCCCTCACATAAAAACTACGTATAAAGTTAAGAATAAATTACAGTTTTTGTAGGAAGGCAATATTTACCAAAAGAAATTTGGAGAGCTTTAGGGTTGGCCACAAGGTCAGAAGCGTTCAGCAACCCATGGTGAAACTGTGATGCTTCAAACTGTCCTGACTCACTGAAAAAAATTTGAATAAATTGATAACTAAGTGATGACCTCTGAACCAAATTGACTACAAACGTGACTATTTACTACATTTACAAACATAATCATATATTTACAATAATCATTCATTTTTATTGGGTGTGTACATATGTTTTTCTTTTTTTATGTATTGTCTTGTACAATATTATATTATATTATTACATTATTAATTATATTATATTGTATTATTATTTATATACAATTTTACAATGCATTTTCTTTAAATTTTGACTTTATCCTAGTAAAGGCAATTCATTATTATATATATAATTTATTGTATCTGCAAGCCCTGTTAGCTCTATGGTGGGAAAAGCCCTATTGAAAGAGATCATTAAGAAAGGGGTAGTTGATTCCAAAAGTCAGTCTAGAATAAACTGCAATGCGTACGACATGGAATCATATAAACTATTAATTCATTGAAGCATTGCTCGCTATACAAGTTTGATCTTGAGTATAGAGCAAAGGATGCCTGACAAAATTTACATGGAATTTATCGAGATAATGTGGTAACTGAACAGTAGTTTCATGTTTTCATAATAGAGAAAGATAAATCAAAGATCAGCTTAATTGTAGAATGCCTAATGAGCTTAAAAGTGAAAAATTATTAATGCCATTGCAGTATGACTGATGAGATCAAATTAACAGTAGCAAAGCTACAAGACAGATTTCAATACATCGCACAAAAATAGAAAGAATCCAATCTGGGTTATATTGTGAAACTTCTCATGAATTGTCTCTCAGAAACAATGAAGACCGCTTAGTTTGCACCTGAATAGGAATAAACTGGAAGGGTTTATATCCTATTTAGTCAACACCAAAGAACTTTTGCAAAAAGAATGAAACACTGAAGTCAATACCAGGATCACCCCTTGTCATATTGTCTGTTTGATGGGATATTCGAGGAATAAGTTATTGGGATCTGTCACCACACAACCAAATTCTTATGGCAGACCAGAATTCTTATTGGATCAGAAAAAGTCTGATATATACATATACAAGCCTTGTTGAATATGAATATGGTCATGAGGACGGTAAACAAGTAATAACATGATGGACGTGGGAGTGGTAGAGGGCTGGCGCTAGAATTCAAACTTCATTAGCCATTGTGTATGTCTCTCCACCTTGTAGTTAAGTACTACAAAAACCATATTTGTCAGTACTAATATTGTTGTGCATTTTTAAAAAATTTACTTGGCAGTACTATAACTGTTACAGCCACAATGGCCTTATTTCACTCCCAGGACCACAAATCAGTATGGAGTTAAAGGAACTATTCCTTAATTATGCAAATCTTATTAACAATATACAGAATTACAACCGTGCAATGGCATTCGCCTCTTTTTCTGCCATGGGGAAATATATTTTAGGAGTTGGACATTACTCCATTTAAATACAAGGACAGATTTACCAATTCATATCGGATTTGTTGCCATGTTGCCAACAAGACCGCGAAGTTTTCACGGTCCTTGGTGGCATTGTGGCTAAAAGCCCTGCTAAAGCAATGCAAGGCTAAAGTTTTACTTAAACTTGCGTTGTTTTTTTAAATTTTTTTTTTGTAAATAATGTAACAATGGATGTATGTAGATTTAACAATTCTACAACAGAAGAAATAGTTTGAGTTTTCTATTAGATAGTCCCAGAAGAACTGCCAGGTCATCAACTCATTGTTGTGCACTATCGTCAAAGAGTTCCGAAATTTTCTGTTTTAAGCTATCATTGTGATCCCATGTTGTACCCAATGATCTATCCCTATGGTTAGCCAGGATGAGACTCCAAAATGACCCATAACGGCATGAAAACAAAACTGTCAAAACGACTAACAATGTTATAGTTTGCTTGCTATCGACTTGCTATTCACAATCTGACTTCCCACATTCATAAATCATATCGTTCCATGATTATGACTATAGAATAAGCCACAGTTTAAAATAGATTTCTTCTCATCTGTCATTAGAATTTTACAAAAAGGGGATATTTCTGCAACCATAATGTTAGTAGTAAACAAAATATTATTTAAAAAAATTTTTTTTTTCCAAAAGGTAGATTGGGGATGAAATATTGTTTATTGTATAATGCAATATATTTAGAGTCTAAAGTTTTGTTTTCTTTTTTAAAAATATATCAAAAAATAGCCTCTGTTTTTCCAAAAACCTGTCTAAAACCAAGTTTGGTAGAGTACTGCAATCATAGAGATATTTTTTTATGTCATGAATTTCATTAACCAATTTTTCTCACTATCTTTCTTTAGACCAGCCAGTATTTTATGAACCAAGTGGTTGTTAGGGGAGCCACACACATTATTAAAAGATTTTATACTGTTAATGATGTGACTAGGAAATACTTTATTCGTCCGACATTTTAACAAAAACCATCTCCGAGACTTTAACATTACTAACTTCCTGTTAATGGAAGCCAATAGTTTCATTTTTGATGCAATTGTTTCTCCAAACTCCACACAAATGTTATTGTAAAATTCATAGTTTCCTTAACATTAAAAGAATTAAAAACTAAAAATATTGGTAACTAAACATTGGTAAACTAAACAGGTCAACTAGAATAAAACCATGTGACTAGGATAAAACTAAAGTACAATTTGTAGTTTAAAAAAAAATAACAATATCTACATATAACATCGATGAAGCACCCCGCTGTTGATTAATATTTTCTTTGGTGACCTTTTGGAAAGAAAAAAAATATATTTAAACTGAGAAGGCTGATCATCACCAAAGAAAATATTATTTAAAAAAAAGGTAATTGTATTCTGGATTAAAAATAAAATAATTTATATTTTGATAGCTTGAATTTTTTTCTGAAAACTGAAAAAATTTATACACACCCAACATTATTGTTAAGCAAGAAATGTTGAAAGTGAAAGGTTAGATAGATAGATTAGATCGAACAATACATATAAACAAACATAAGAAAAATATTAAAATATTGGATAACATCACAGCAAACAATACCAATTTTAAAAAAATCAGATAATTAGTTTTCTAAATAAAAAATGAGCGAATATCAATAATTAGCTGATGAAATTATTGTTTAAGTAATTTTCAATAAAAAGTTATCAACGTATTTTTTTTTAAAATCTACCTAAACCTTTCTTTCTCACCCACTCAACATCAATCCTCATTTCTTTCATATATTCAAATTGTTCACTTACTTGATAAATATAGGCTTGCAATCACATTTTATCGCAAGCCACTCTCCATACTTTAAAAGCCTATGAGCTCTTAGCCGCTTTACAATGTCTTCATTGAGCTTTTCTCCCCCGAAGCTACAATCAAAGAATAAATTTACTGAGTATCACTATTTAATAAAATAATCAAACACATTTACTTTATGCCTGTCAGCATTGATTCTAGGGGCAAAAATCCCTGCAGATCGTAGTCTTCTGGTAAAGCGGCATTAATATCTAAAAGCAAAAAATGTCTTAATGTTGTTAATTGTAAAATAACTTTTTGTTCACAACTTACAATTTATTATAGTTGAATGAGTAACGGGTAAAAGGTTGAGTAGAGCACATAATCCTCGCCACAAATGTTGACGGTTCATTCTGCTTACCACGCTTGGATCACATTTCATCCAAGAAAGAAATATCTTGACTGAAGTTAAAAAATGTTACTTATTTTATTCTCGATTATTAATAAATAAATAATACATACCAGCAGGAAGTCCAAAGTATTCCTGAACAGAGTCGCTCGATGCTGCAGTGTAAAGAGGTACAAGCAAAGCATTTAAAAACCCAACCATATAATCGGACAAAACTCTGTGTACATCTAAAGGTTTTCCATCCATCTGGTTGTACATAAAAATTGTGATGACTGCCATCTAAAAACCACAACATTAGTAATTAATTAAGAACAAAAGTAAATAGTTCAATTAATTTATATCTGAAGTGTCTTACTTGAATCAATTTCCAACTGCTGAATTCCTGAGTAGCTATGAGCGGTGTTAAGGATTGAGTGAGGCTGTGGAGGATTTGGTTTGCCAAGGTGATGTCTTGGGATAGATACAGCAAGGCGTGGAGCTGAAGAAAAGAGGCTTCATATTCTGTCACAGTCAACTTTGCCCCTTCTGCTGGTAACCTAAGTTTTTTTTTTTATTATTTCCTGAATACAAATATAACGCCTTGTATAACTTACTCAATAGAAGCACATTTGTGGAAAGTGTTTGCAAGGTTAGTAATAGCCGCAGGAAATTTATGTGTGACAGCAATGCTACGGGTATAATAAAAAACAGTGCTTAGCATGTCACCTCTTGAAGCCTCTAAGAGAGCGAGTTGGTTGTAAGGATGACCACTGTTCGCTCCAAGAGAAACCGCATGCCTAAATATAACAAAACAATGAAATAAATAGATCTACATATATTCCATGAATGGTATACCTATAAAAAGATTCAGCCTGAATCATTTGGTTTCTATAGCGGGCGATGTCACCCAAATGTACAAGACAGTGCTGGCATATATAATAGCATGATGCCCGGTTAGGCTTGTTCGTGGCCAAATTATCATTTACATGACGCTTAAGACCAAAAAGGCTGTCATGCCTGTAAATAGAAATCAAAATTGAAGCAATGGTTTACGCTGGGTTTAAAATTTGTTTCAACATACCTCAAGAAAGCAAGATCTAAGCCAAACACTGAGCATATCTCTTGGAGTAGAGACAAATAAAACCCACTCGCACAGTCGAGGAACCATGACAGACGATTTTGAAAAATGACACCATTGTTCTATAACAAAGGTTCTTAATGTAAAGAATATAGAGAGAATTAAAGTAAAGAATATAGAGGTAGGGTTGTATGACCCCCGCCTCAAGAAATATCGAGTATTCTGGGGTGATTGTGTGATGTCTGGAGAGTAAAAGTAAGTTATTAGCAAGAATGGAGTAAGTGCTGTGGTTTGTAGTTTCTGGGTGGGGTGCCTTCTCAAATAGAAATCCTAGAGTAGTCCTGCTGGGAACACCTTGCTGTGCCCGCTCGGGTTCCGGCTTGGGAGGGTTCCCATTGGCTGCAGTACTTCTGTGGCTCATCTATATACTTATGCCGTTGTTTCTATTTAATAGTTGACAACCTGAGTCTGAGAAGCTAGCATTTAATGATATAAACGTAACATACTTATAAAAGCAGTCAGTAACCAGATTAAGAAGATGAACTGCCAGCAGGTTAAAAAAATATGTATGAAAGACTAGAAAAAAAAGTGAAAACAAGCAAAGGGATGACAGGTGTTTGTCAGCCCATAACCTCCCAAATTATTATTATCAAATAAAGTTCTAAAACACAAAATCGCGCAACTCATGTCTATGTCAAAGTTCTGTGATGTCTTATTTGATCGGGAACAAATCAATTGTTCTGCAACCTGTAGACAAAAAACGTGTTTATGGTCTCCCAGCTTGGATGGAAAACTTGATACATGTTGCACAACATTTGCCTCAGGGAGGATGGAATGGTTGCTCTGAATCTTGTTTGTTTGCTTGGACATTTTCTTTCCAACCATAAGTGTCAAATTATAAAATTTATGGTGGTTAGCCGGGTGAAATTTCTGCAACCTGAACTATCTTCTAATTTTAATTTTTTCCAGAAGAGTCTATCCAAATGTAGGACTGTCTGCTAAAACTTCCTTGTCCACCAATTTTTACGATTTGGCCAAAAATTAAAACTTCACAAGCAGCAAAGCCTCAGGTCACTATCTCATTCGTCATGTTATCGCAGAAACTAGTTTAACTGAGCTGTGCAGAAGTGGACACGTGACAAAGGTTCCAGATCTTGGATTTGTTCCGCAACAGTCTACAGACAAAATTGGCGATTTGTCTACCGACGTGCGATTTTTTATACGAGTGTGTACTAGCCTTTAGGATTGTGTGGGCTTTAAACCTAAATCAGCTAGCATGTGTAGTTAATATCTAACATCTGGCCTAAATAAGGTTTGTAGAGAAAGTATGCGACATTCACAGGAAAAGGATTTGAATGGTAGAAAGGTAAAACCACCTAATAAGACTTACAACTGGTGATGTATCAGTAATTGTGATTTGAAATGCTGCTATATGACTCTCTGATTATATTAGATTGTTTAAATAATGTTTTTGTAAAGACCAGTTGAACCTTAACAGCTGTTCAAACTTTTTTGAATTCATCAATCTGTTTCATTGATGGAAGTACGATGTACAAGAGAGGTACGCTTCAAATACACAATTATAAAACAAAAACTGTGTACCTTCTTATCTTTGGCATTGTTTTGAAGAGTGACAATGTAGTTTTTGAAGCAGTAGTTCCACAAGTCCTGTTCGACTTTTCTATCAAGGGCATATTCAAGATCCAGAATGAGCACGTCATGGTAAATTTTCTGTAAATGCAATTGATAAAATTAAAAAGCCGAGAATAGATCTAGGTGAATTTTTATAAACCTGGAGTTGTTGCTGTGCAGGCCAGGCGTCCACGGTGATCTCAGTCTTCAGATTCGTCCTGTCTTTTAAGTCCTCGGCCTTCCTGAAGATGTAAAAAAAGAAATATCTGAGCAACATAGGGCAAAATTGATTTTAATAAAAACTTACTTCAACACTTCTACAGCAACTCGAGAGACCATATTGTTTGAAACTACCTGACTCAAACAGTGAGAGTGTACGCCTAGTACTTGCAGTTCATTGTTTGGAGAGAGTAAAGTTGGGATATTGGAAAAATCCTGAAATTGGAAAAAGAAATTTAAATTGGAAACTCCAAAATCTCATTGTAAATAGAGACGATCCGACTTCCGACACTACCGATATTACTAATATCGAATCGTTTCTTGAGATATTTGCAATGTCAATCGGAAAATTCGATACTATCGAAGTAAAAATATCAACTGGAGAAAACTGACATTGTATGTCACCATGTTAGAATTTATTCAAAATTAAACAACCCAAATATACTTTACTAAAAAACACAATTCCGGTTCAGCAACATAAACATCTAATTCACTATTTTCGTGGTCCGCTTGACCAATTAATACAAGACAATTAATTAAGGTTTTTCATCTCAACTAAAAACCTTAATTAATAAACATCTAAAATCAAAATTGTCTGAAAAAATTGTTTTTTCAGATCACATACAGTCTTAACTGAGTTATAACTCTAGATTGGGTTGAGAGTGAATGTATTTATTAGCGTGAATATGTAAAGAGCCAATGGCTTTATCAAAATTGGCCCATCGACCCTTAATTAAGTTATTTATATAATAGGTGTAAAGCGTGATGAATGAATATCGAGTAATCCACCACCCATTGAGCGATTTCCAGAATTTGTATAAAAACAATAAAGGGGATTGTAATAAATAAAAAAACTAACTGATTATGATAATAAAACTCTTATGCACTTTCAATACAAGTCTAACTGCTAGATTTGTTTGAAAATATACAAANTGAATTCTCGTGAAGAATGCCATGATGTACCAGTGAGATATTGATAAGAGATGCATCGAATTTAAATTAACAAATATTTGGAGATCGTGAGATGCTGTCTTATGTGATACAGATTTAGAAAAACATTTTTTTTTCATGCCATTTCAATCTTTATTGAGATCATCTTCAGGGCCTGGGATTTATAAACATTGTTTAAATCCCAGGCCCTGTAGATTGTCTTAATAAAGATCGAAACGTTGGCACGATAAAGAAAATGTTTTTCTAAAACCTACGTCACACAAGACCACATCTCATGATCTCCAAATAATCATTAACTCATCACACATTTAAAACAACAATTAATTAATCATTGAATAAGCACATTGGTGAAAAATAATTGATCTATTATTGTTTTTATCATTTTTGATATTTTAATTGTTGTTTTTATATGTTAATTATTTATTATCAAGGATTTATAAACACCGACATGTGTACCTGATAAAGAAATTGTACACTGACTCAGCCCTGAAGATGTTTACAAATTAAACGAAAGCTTGGCATGAAGTTGGGATTTCGATGCTTCTATGACCTAATACCAAATTATCACACATAGAAATATAACAATAGGTCATTTTAAGAAGATGTGTACATACACGTTTAATAAAAAAAAACATAGATTTTATTTAACAACACATGTATAAAACAAAAAGAAATAAAAAAGTTCAGGATTTTTATATAAAATAATTTGATGAGCCATGATATAAAAATATTAAATTACAATATATTTGTCTAAAAACATTCTTGCTATGTTAAAAGATTCAGACTGACTATAAATAAGGTGTAAATTGAAAGCCGCTTCTCGTGAGAGATCAAAAACTTCAGGTTTCTGTGAAGGCAGTATTAAATCCCTGTATTCAAACACTTTTTTGTAATGGAATATTGCAGAAGTATAAAGTCCTAAATGATGGAATCCTCTGGCAAGGTTGTAATGGACTTCCTGCAAACCTTGTGGACTTCTTTTGTCTTTGTACTGCGCGAGGAGACCCAAGGCTTGAAGAACAAGGTGGTGCTTTTTCGATGTGAACTTCTGAGCTGCCATCTGTAGATATGTCAAGCCCAGGAGGAGTGCACTGAGCGGTGTGGGGTTTTTTGAATAGGAAGTGCTGTATTCGTGCATAGCATACTTGTACGTTCCCGAAACGAGGCAGTTATTCCCATGCAAAATCCCTAGTGCAGGATGTTCACAATCTCTAGACAACTGCCGCATTATGAATCTGTTGTGCCTTGCATCATCCGATTTAGTAATTATCAAGTTGAACAAATGCCAGAGTTTTACCGATAAACATTTTTTAGCTACCAATGTCCTTATAATGTTGTAACCATTATGAGAATCTCTATTTAAATATGCAGCAATCACACTCAGAACGTCAATGTCAAATTTGTATACATGAAATATTGTGGAAAGTTGCACTGTGAAGGTCAACCGCTGGAGAGTTATGTACATTTTGTGCTCAATGCAAAGGGAGCAAATGTATTTAAACAGTTCCCATTCCTCTTCAATAGTAGGGCCTTTCTTGTCCGTTCTGAACGTTGGAATGTCTGAATCGGCTTCGGACTCTTTTTTCGATTTACGCACTTGCTTTACAGCCACCCTCTTTCTATCATAACGCTGGAGTGTAGATATAGTCGAAAGCTCATCTTTATTTCTTATTTGTGTGCAGTGTCTTGAAAACAACACTTGGCTGACCATGATAAGTTCTTGAGCCCTAGATGGATCCCTTCTCAACAATGTGCACTTTTCATACAAAAGGCCAACATCCAAATAATCGTATTCTTCGTTTTGCGTCAATGCGTTAATCGCTTCATCCGGCCTTCCAAGTTCGACTAATAAAGACGCTAGAGTCATTCTCACTTCCACGTGCTGTGGGACATTTTCCAAAACTTTATAATAAGCAGTTGTAGCTTCTTGGAATTTTTTGAGATTTTTCAAATTTTCTGCATACTTCAGCCATACACCAGGGAGGCAGTACTCTTCACTCTGAATCAAAGTGTGTAACAATTTATGTGCATTTTCGTATAATTTATTTTCAACGAAAGCATCGACGATGTCTAAATACAAATCGCCTGCTGTTGACGGCTCAAGATTCATAATCGGTTCCATCAGTGTATCAATCAAATGAGTTGCTTTCATATGTATCATCACGATTATCATTTTTGTCATTATGTCAATTGGAGTTTCACTAGGAATCTCAAAGTTGATGATTTTAATGTCATCGCCATCGAATTCTGTTTTGACGACTAGATTACAAAATGCCAACATAATGTCTAAACAAGATTTGTAGTTTTTCATCTGCAGCAATAGTTCTAGCTGCAAGTTGATTATTTCAAGGTTTATCAGTTGAGGACATTTTTGTATAGCAATTTCAAGAACGTAACTCGCTTTCTGCAAGTCATTTTCTTTATGACAAAGCTGTGCAATAGTTTTCGCCAGGGAGATTATGAGTTCGCCCTGTTCGGGTTTTAAGGAGCAAAGCAGTCGTATGTACCCCCTTATTGCAGTCTTTTTATCACCTAAAGATTCAAGCAAAGTAGCTCTTCTTTGATGAAGTTCCATGTCTTGAATATCAAGATTTATAGCTTTCGTGTAACAAGTTATTGCTTGTTTTATCAAATTTTGTTTTTCAGACAGTTCTGCCAAATGGACCCACTGGTAGGCGTCTGTTGACGACAAATGAGCAGCGACGAGTGACATCTGAAGGAATTTTTCTTCGTCACCCATTTCATCATATATTCCGGCAAGTGTCAAAAACGGTTCAGCTGCAGTCGGCACTTGACGGATAATTTCGAGGCAGATTTTAACAGCAGTCTCTTTGTCTCCTCTTGCCACTCTGAGATTCGCCTCGCCCATTAGGCCTTTTAGGGCTGGCGGAAGCTTCCGCATCCCCTTCTTCGCTTTGTTTACACTTTCGTTTTTCTTGATGGATTCGACCAAAGGTTTGATATCGTACATTTCCGTGTCTTCCGGCAGCGTGGGGCCGGCAACGTTCTCGATGTAGTCGTTGAAGTTCATCTCGCCCTCCAAAAACTTGCTGACGAGTGCCTGGTCTTCCTCATTAGCACTGAATATATCTTCGTCCATAGCGATATTTTCGCTGCTTGTCGAAGGAGCCGAAATGTCCAATATAATCTTAGAATTATCAGAACTTTCCATTTTATATGCTTTTTCCCTTGTTACAGCCCACTGTTATTGTCACAATAAAACAAAAACACTAACTTACCAAAAGTTTGGAAGGTTTCACAATTAATCGATATATAAAATCGATCACAACCTAATTCAAAGGTACACTTACAAATTAATTTATTATCAAGTACACAGGCAAATAATACCTACTAAATGTAAATATACGTCAAATATAAATAATGGCAAACAAATATTAGAGAAAGGTTGCTTGATGTGTCCCACCTAATTGAAGGGTGGCTTCTCCTTGACTCTATATAGAGAGCGTGTAGGACTGTGATATTAGAATCGTGCTTGAGAACGTAGTGTCTGCCATCTGGGTCCTCCCATGTTTTTGGAGCAAACGGTTGTTATATTGTACACTGAGAAGTAAAAAAGTGGAGACCCTTAATATTTTTCATTATCTTAGACAATCCACCATTGATTATATTAAAACAATATTTGATCCCTTTTAAAGGATTAGAGGTAAATAAAACACAGTTAAATTTTCTCACCTGTATTTACAACCTTATTTTGTAAAATTTTTTAATCTCTTCTTTGGTGGTTTTTCTGTAAAGCTTCTTTCTAACGTTCCGGTGGTTTGGTTTTCAACTAGCTTTACATTGTTGAAAGAAGGAAAAGTAAAGCGTATGTGTCCAAGGCGAAGAAGATAATTTTATTTTGGGATTAAAAGCCCCTTGAATAACAAAACTAGAGTAATAACTAAATAGAGCTGTATCTAGAGTGATATCCATGTCCACCATTGGTAATGATCTCACCACCAAAATGTATCCAAAGAACTCAAGGAATATTACAATAGAGTAGAATCTTTTTTTAAAAAAAAAAGAAATATTTTCATAGGAGTGCCAGTTTATACTATTACCTCCTACTTAAGAATTTAATTTTTAAAAAGAATGTATTAAACAAACAAAAGTTAATGTAAGAGAGAGGAAGAGAGAAAGAAAGAGAAAATCTAATTTGTGGGCAAGGTTTAAACTCAAGAGCTCTTCACTCTCTTATGCCTGTACACAAAGTCCAAGTCATTGTCCCCTCTTTGTCGAACTAACTGATTATTTCTTAGCTCACGCTGTTCAAAGAAATTATTTTTGGGGCGTTTTATACGATGCGCAACCCAAGTCAGGTCCTATTATGGATCCATGTAGGACACAGTAGATATTCACAACTTGGATACATGGTTGAGTTGAGAGATTCATAACTTCCTATTATATAAATATGAGTGACTTATTTTAATGAAATATAGGGGAAGGTATAGTCTATTATCCTGTTATAACTCCAGCATAGGGGTGCAAACAGATGGAAATATAAAAAATACAACTTTAGATTATAAGTTAGTAAGGGAATTGTTTAGGAACAGTAACTATTAATAGAAACTACACTTTAAATATTTAATTTTAATATTGTGGTATGTAAAAACAACAAAAAATAACTTACCCATTAAATTGACTGATGTATTAGAAAGGTCCACTCAAAACTTTGTTCTATTAACTTCTACAAAATTACTTAATAAATTTGAAACTAATGTTAAATAATACTTTCTAGTTGTTGAATTTAATATTTCTTTTAAATGTAAGTTTGTAATTAGGAAATGACATTGAGGGGAAATTATTTAAAATATTATGAAGGGAAAAGTGTAAGGATATGTTTGGAGAATGGGTTAAGTCTATAAAATTCTTCCACATGTTCAAGACTTCATAGAAAAATGCGTGACTTCACATGTGTATAAAAATTAAATCAATTGATCATCTGCTCACATATAAATTTTCATACAAATGATGAGACGATGCTTTTAATTGTAGCAACCCACTTGTAGTTGTTATAATAGTTGGTTCGTTAAATACATTGAACAACAAGATGGAGAAAATCATTTACTCATGCTGGATAAATTTTTCAGTTTGGAATGTTTAACACATTGACTGCTTCCTAAGCTTGTCCAATTTGGTTGCCCATGGTGGAACCCAATTTATAACATAAAATTGCTCTCGGGTACATAAAAATAATATAATGTATTAAGGTTGGTAAGGGTTGTTCTAGCTTAAGTTTACTGTCTAGCCCCTCTAGAATTTATCTACTTCTCCGTACTTTTTTACCCATTCTGTGTTGGAGGAATCTTTGTATTTTTTATCCCAAGAATAGGTCCAGGTATGGTCTTGCCGATCCTCCTCTGGACAGTGTGTCTGTCTTTTCATTATACAAAATTCCCTTGTGTCTTGCACCCAAGATATCATCAGTTTATTGTTTTTCCCCAGGCTTTGGAGATTTTGAACACCTTCGCTGACTAGTTGTTATATAATTTTTTACATGCTAACGTGTAGCTGCTTGGCTATCCAATCTTACGAAGATTTTTTGCCAGTTAACCTTATTTAAAACATCTAGGGCATAAGCATTGATAGCTTTTATTTCATCTTGATGGTGTACTTTCCTAATGAGTTTGATTTTGGGGTTATACAAAAAATGCCTGATACGGTTCTTTCGTTTGTTTTGAAGCCACTTTATACCATTCATTATACCTAATCTTTGCCCGAATTCTTCTTCTTTACAGTCTGTTGACATTTTACAGGATGCTGTAAAGAATGTTTCCACAATACAGTCAGTCCCCATTTCTAACAATGGATGTCTGATTTTATTGATGTATGTCTGAATCATACAAAATGGATAAATAATCAATTAAAATAATCAACACATGTATAGAAAGCAAATTACTTGGTTTTCACAGAATAAAAAAATTACTCCCAGTTGAAGAAAAAAAAAAAAAAAATTGAAAGGCTGTAGTCAGTGACACTTTTGCCCTTTCTTAGATAGCTTTAGGAATTTCGAATGGAATTGTGTAGTGAGTAAAGTGGAGGGAAAGTGTAAAAGTACAAATGGGAGGATGCAGACCGTGCGTCTTCTGCAGTCAACGTGTTAATGAGATATCTAGATAGTCTGTATGGAAGTCACTCCTAAAGTGTATGTATGATGATGCAATGATGTAGCGTTTTACATTAAATAATATATAAATAATTTGGGAGAAAATTTTATTTATAATGTTAAGTGTTTTCTGTAAGGACTTTTGTTTAAAAACAGAGAATCTCTCTTCATTGACTTTTTTACTTTTCCACATCTTTTTGTGATTTAGAACGCAAAGATGATAAACTCCATTTGCTTCGACTTGCGGATTTCGATAGTACTTTCGGTTCGTCATATTTATCTTTTAAACTCAGGAGAGGCTTTGATATAAACCTGACCGTTTGGTTTGGTGCTGTGAAATGCAGTTCAAGAATCATTATTCGGTTTTTGTGCGGATAATCCAACAAGTAGATCTTCGGGATGTAAAGTGTCCTTTGAGGGCCAATGTGCCAATATCTACCCATGTTGTGATTGTTAATAAACACAACACCCTAACATAGTAAATCATGTTACTGTTTATATAATTGTAGATACACACACTTGCAAAAATAATTCTTACCTTTCCCCAGCCAGTCATATCAAGAAATGTATCCTGTGCTGGTTCATCCTCAGGCAGATTCAGAGTCCCAGTATAGAATGCTGGGAAAGCCGGTGATGGATCTGGAAAATTTACACTCGGTGACATTATACTGCCCCGGGCGTATTTGTCCAACCTTGATATGTTGTCAAATGTCAATGGGTACCCGACGATCGACCAATTTTGTAGCAGTTTCCCATCCAATGTAGCATTTGAAATAATACCCTGAAAAGTTGAAAACTATTTCATTTTGTATACTAGTTAAAGAACTACAATGGCAAAAGTTTAGATTATAAATATATTCTTAGGGTGATACACACAGTGGTTTTAACCAAACCATTTATCAAGAGAAAAACCAAATCGGCGAGCCATCGACAGTTGTAGCAATGTGCTGACACATGCTTCAATGAACCGCTGCATGTGTGGAAAAACAAATACAATAAACACTTTGATCAAAACCACTGCTTGTGCCACTGGTTTTACTGTAAAGTGAAGTTTAGGCTACCATTTATTAGTTATTTGTTACTACTGGAAAGAGATTTGTCTCCACAAATTTGAAATTTATGAGAAATTAAAAAAAAATGTATTTATAAAGAACACATCTCTTTGCAAAACATCTAGTGGTCCAACAGTAAAATAACACTAGTTGTATTTCAAAAACTGTTAACAATTTGAGATTCATGTGTAAGGAAAAACATTTGTGTACAATGTCCATGATCATACAAAAAAGGTGTATCCTGGATTAATGTTTAGCGTACCTTAGTGCAGTCAGACAAAAGGTTGTAGTTTCTTCTTCCCATATTTTCAACTAGAATTGTTAATTTTTTCCCTTTTGTAACATCAGATGGAAGTGGAGTTTCGTTGATCACAGTATACTGCAAAACACTGACTTCTACCTAGTAATCAGAAGAATAGAATTAACTTATGACATTGATAATTGAATTTAAGACTAAAAAGAAAGTAGCTTGCCTCATTAATTAAAACTTGTGCCCTGTCCCTTACATTGACTTGGAGTACGGAGGGATCTTGTGTTTCATATGGAATTGTTGTAGTGTATGCTATAAAGCCGTACCTTTCAGCAATAGCTTCCATTGTTATCGGGAATAATGTATACACTGGGTCTCTACCGATTGGACTCTTAAGAAGTGAAATAAGAGGTTTCAGCTGCACTTCACCATAATCACCCTTGGGGGTTTCTTTCTCCTCATTTTTGTTGTTACTGGTATTTTTCTGAGGATAAAAAATAATAATAATGTTGGTATAATTTCAAAAGTGAAGGGTAAAATAACGACCTCTCCTGCTATTAAATCTTTAATTGCAAAATATTTGTCGGTGAGATCTCCCGCTTCGCTTATAGGAGCATCGTAGTCATAGCTGGTTATATCAGCTTGATAATGTTTACTGCTCCCAGAGCCTAATTAAAATTTAATTAATAATTGATTTTAGATCGGTCAATTAGACTGTCTTACCTGAGGTAAATCCAAAGTTTGTACCTCCGTGAATCATATAACAATTAAAGGAAATGTTTAGTGCTATCATATCTTTCATTGTTTTCAAAATTGGAGGTATTGAAGATCTGCTGAATTCTTCACCCCAGTACGTGAGCCAGCCTACATAAAATTCCGAATTGACTAGTGGCCCTTTCGGCTGAATTTTTCTCAAAGGTTCAAACAACTTGGCTGGACTTGTGCTAACTGTGATTTAAATGAAAAATATAAATAAAGAAATAAAATGCATTGTACATATATTTTGAATTGAGTTATGCTTATAATTGTTTACCTGGACCAAAATCTATTGTCGATAATACTCCAGGAATTTTTCCTCTATTGACAAATTGGGTGTCTGGCCCATCAGTCGTAAAAAGTACAGCAGCGTTTCCGACATAACTTCTGTACAGATCCCTAAGCCACAGCAAATAATTTAAGTCATGTACTGGATAACTGCCATATTCATTTTCAACCTGAGAAATTTTCCACATTAATCTTAAATATAATAGAAAGGTTTGATAAATTTTACCTGAACCATAATGACAGGGCCACCATTTCCATAAAGCATAGGTTGAAGTTGTCCCCAAAGCATTTTGAACCACCTCGATACAAAGAACGTATGTGCTGAAATATATTACTTAGAATTTCTAACTCTCAATTGAAACATTTTAAGAAGAAAATGTTTATGATTGTAAGGAACAAAAAATATAATGTAAAAGTTACAATAAGAATAACACTACAAGGATAATTTAAAGTGCATTATCTTTCTTGTTCTTCAAGGAATATATTGTCTGGTGACATTTTGCTGACAATTATCCATATAAACATAATTAATATTTATTTTCAAAAAGCAAATCGACAGATGACTGTAATATCTAGCTTATGCTTTTTTATTGTTTGTTTCTTTGTATTATACTAATTAAGATTACATATTATTAGATAAAGCATCCCATTATTTTTTCATGTTAAATGGGACTCTAGTATTTAGCGCAATAAGCAAAGTAGGAATAAAAAGCCTTAAAACTTTTTAACTTAAAGTGCACTTTCTAAGAATTTTACAGTTTACAAAAGCCACTTATGCTACAAATAAAATTTAAAGAAAACAATAGGACAATCATAACATTACATGGGTCAGATGTTCTGAACTGCATTTTCGGGTTGACTGTAAGCAACCATGCTGGATAACCACCCTGAAAAATAAAAGGATAAATAAATAACTTATTTAAGTAACAAAAAGTTAATCCTTCCTTCTTCAAGATTCCTGAAAATAAATACGTACAAATATATAGTATTTTATTCATTATTAATTCCATACTTTCAAACATATATGTTACATATTTAATGTTTGATAAATGATAAACTGAAATTATTTTCATTGCTAAATTTTTCCCTAAATATATAATAGTTAATATTATGTTTTTTATACTTATGAGTGTTGGTATTCATCTAAAGAACCTACCAAATCTCTTTCTGCACATATGTAAGGGCCGGGTCTGAGGATGACGAGAAGACCGAGCCTCTCGGCTATTCTGATGAACTCCACTATATCGGCTTCTGCTGTGAAATGATAAACACTAGGCGAAGGTTCGTGCAAGCTCCATTCCACATATCTATACAAATTAAACGTTATGCTTCTAATTAAGGAAATGCCTTATAGGAGCAAAATCTTACGTGCTTATTGCATTGAAACCTGCGGCTTGGACTTTTTTCAATCTATCCTCCCAGTATATCCTGGGGATTCTGAAGTAGTGTATTTCACCTGACATATAGGTGAAAGGTTTGCCATCTTTGAGGAAGACATCATTGTCGTAGTCAATGTCAAAAGTTCTGTTCCCTTTGAGTGCATCTGTTGACTAATGGTAATATTGATATTAATGGTAATGAAATAACAATAATCAGACACAGTTGCAAGGCAAATAATCATTTATTAATAAAGTGAAATTGTTCTTAAGTATATTCCTCTAAAATAAAACAGATGTATGTCATAAATGCAACTACATATATTTAATTTTCCATTAGCAATCATGCTCACATCTTACACATATTGTATTAACATATTTAATTTGCTTGGGTAAACATTTAAGCACGATAAAAATGCTATAAGAGGATCAAAGATCAAATGAATAAAAGAAAACAGATGAAATATTTTAATGCCAGAAAACAGTCCACAGACTTCCACAAAAAGACTATTTGATTGCATTTGACATAATCCTAAATAAAAAATATTATATCAAAGGACCATCAACCATCGGTTTTATATCTATAATCATATTAATCCGTCACTAGGGAACTGTTAAAGAGAAGGCAGCCACTTTTTATTATTTTTTTAACTTATGATTTTTCCTTGAAGGTGGGATAATAGGTCATCTCAAAAAAACAAAATAAAACCAGTTTTTCTTTCAATCAACAACGTTTCGGATTTATTATACTTCCTCAGGTGAGTTAATAGCAGGTCGTCAGTCATTAATATTTTGTAACAGTTTATTTCAAAAAAGAGCCAGTGTGGTGCATATTTAAGTCTTTCAGACTCCGAACAAACGTTTTAATATTTTGAACCTGACTGTTTTTTTGAGATGACCTATTATCCCACCTTCAAGAAGGAAAAATCATAAGTTAAACTGTTGAGGTCGAAATATAAGAAAACATCATTATCAAATATCATCATATCAAATACAGCCTTAAGAAGAGAATTTTTCAATGATTTGGCTTACAGTTTGCTGAAAAATCAGTTAAAGGGGAGAGTCAATAAAATAAATCTTCCGTTCCTTTCAAGATACCGTTCTAATGGTCATCAAAATGTAAAACCTACATCATACTGTTGGGCCATGTAATAAATGTGCTCAGAATGTATGGCATTTGTGTGCAAAAGCCACAATTCGAAAATATCTTTATGCAATAATGGCTGAGCTAATCAGGAAAACTTTATGGGAGAAAAAAACTGAATAAAACATTAAAGAAGACTGGAACTTTAAAAATTGTCTATCAAAGTGATATTTTTCAAATGTTTTTTTTTTTTTTTTTAATTATGTCATTTGTTTAAATAAGTATTTAACTAGTTATAATTACTAGTCTTTTACATTATAAATGTATGTGCATACATTTTTTATTACAATTGTTCCTGTAAACATATTACTATCAATAAAATGTTGCTATAAAGATAACTACCTATTTTTAAAGCCCATTTATCATTGTTGAACATAAAAAGCAAATAATCAAAATGCATTGAGTACTGCATGCACCCACTTCTGTAATTTTTATATAAACGCCTGCTGCAGAGTTATATATTATATTTATTATTATTATATTTTATATATATTATTATTTAGTAATTATTATTATTAAATAATGAACTGTATGAAAAATCCAAATGACATATGAGTAAACAACATTTAAATCTGTTTACTAAGCAACAGGGTTCTATCAATTTTCTGCTGTTGTGAGCGAAGTGTTGGGTTACAATATTCGATGAATTCAAAGCAATGGAAAATGTTGAGTAAAATACTGACACACAGGATTTCTCTAAATAAATTGAACAATAAACCAATAAATAAACTACAGTATGGAGAAATACAATTGATATCCAACTAGCCTTGAACCCTTTTTTAATTCATTATATAACAGTGAACATACTTGAAAAAATGGATTATTCCAATAAATCGTTATACGATATTAAATGTAAATATTCAATATGATATGGTATTAATATTTGATTGACACTCTTGATAAAGTGTACTAATTAATATTCTATTGGAAAATAGCATGCCAATATCTTAAGCGTATATCTTTTGCATCAACAAAATTAAACCTGTTTGTTAATATTTTTGAATAACTTAAGATTATCATCATTCTAATTCATTTGACTAAAAATTAAATCTATATCTAACACATTTACATTGTAAATCTTAAACTATTTATATGCATGAATACTTATTTATATAAGCTCAAATCTGCATATACATGTACCCACCTAAGCAAGGGTACAGAGTTAAGCTTATCGCTTCTCATAGTCCTCTGGCAATTCCAGCTTTTATAATAACAGGGGATCCAAATACTCGCTGCTGTGCTCAAGCACAATTCTCATATCAGGTGGCATTCTTGGGCACTTTCTACATGGAACCAAGGAATTGTACCCTTCAATTAGGTGGAATGCATCAAGTGACATTTCTCTGCATGCAGGCATGTAGGTTTTTGATGTCCAATTGTAAGTTTTTAACAACGCCAAGATTTTTAACTATAGGAAAAAATTAATAGGGGAACCATTGATATAAAGAGTGGGATAAGCAGTCTGTATTAATGGGTTTATTGGAAATTAATAAAGACTGGGATTTAAAATAATGTCGTTATTGCTTGACCATTGGTCAAAAGAATGAAGATCAGAATTAAGCAGATTGATAGCTTCAATGTTGCTTATAGAACATTGAACTGCCCATAAGCTTTCAGATAGTAACCCTTAAGGGTCATCAGAAAACTGATACAGGATCTCTCAGGAATGATAGGACTATATACCAATCACTTGTATCTAAGAAAATACCTACACAACATGTGTGTATTCAATGATGTCTCAATTTGAAGGTTATGCAACGAGGAGGAAGATACTGCCACCCCATAACTCTATAGGTGCCAGATATAGTAAACTCATCATTTAAGTAAGGAGATAGATTAACAAGCATTTTCTACCCTTTGCCGCTGTTCTTCAACTGAAGTTGCTGGGTTGTAATTGGTGTAGTCACTGTTTTTTAAATGGCCCCACAGAAAATAGTCAAGTGGAGTTAAATTGGGTGACCGAGGAGGCCAACAGATCGGGCCATGAGGTCCTATCCCGGAAGTGACAATTCAACTAACTTCTCACCTCCGAAGAATTGTGTGGCATCCATCAAGCTGGAGGAATCATTCTTTGCCGTTGTTGCAAGGGAAAATAGTCTGATAGTGTTAGTAAAGCCTCCCTCAAAAAATTGAGGTACACCATTTAAATTATTTTTGTAGAAATAAGGCCCAATTAATTTATTTCCAAGAAGTCCACACCGAACGTTGATATTGTGAACCACCTGATGATGACAAGAGTTTGAAATTCTCGGATTTTCCCCTGCACACGTTCGAAAATTCCAATGGCTTAGTATGCCATTAGAGGTGATCTTGGATTCCTCAGTCCATAGGATGTACGGAAGAAATTGAATGTAAAGCTGACTGTTATCAGCACAAAGATGAAATTGGGAAAAATTAAAAACTAACGGAAGATCATTTAGAACCACAATAAGTCATTTTGGTACCAGGACACAAAGGAATTTTGGGTAACGAAAAGCAGACTCATTGGCCAGAGGAGTATCTGCAAGACAATATGTAGGCGTTGAACCTATACTTGGGATGACAAAAACAAACAGAATCCTCCTTCACAAAATGGATAAAAAGAAAAAAGAGAAGTGGATAAACTCTGGGGTGCCAGACAGTAAACTCATGCTAAAACAACCTTCACCAAGGTGCAAACTCACTGCTTCAATTGGAGAGGGCCAGACTCAGAGGTCACTTGCACCTGAGAATAAATCAACTTGGGTATATTCAACAATGATCACATTTGCAAATTATACAATGAGGAGGAAGAAACAGCCATTGAATCATCTTCGAATGCGAAGCAACGGCTCAATGTAGTCTTAATCTTGGATAAGATAAAACCCAGGGAATGAAATTGTAGCAGTGACAGTCGCCTCACACTTCTGCGAATGATTAAGTCAATTGCACTGAATTAGGGAACTAGGAAGGTACAATAAGCCAGAAGGCTTCAGTGCCTGGGAAGCACAAACCACCCGTCCTAGTATCCATCATCATCATCCTATGGCCATAAGGAACACCTATAAAATTATTTTGTCAAAATTGGACCAGTCCATTTCGAGATTACCTGTTTTTACCAAATTTTTCTCTTTATAGAATTTGTATATAGATAAACAATTCGTTCAGAAAAAATATGTTGATTGCAAAATTAGTTCTTCAAGATTTTTTTTGTAAAAAATCTAGCATTGCATAGTTTTTAAACGTTGACAATTATTACTAGTGGGTAGAATTGGAGTAAAAGGTAATATAAGTATTCAAGAAGATGAGATAGATACCTCAGCTACAACGAGCAATGCTGATGTTGTGGACAGCAAGAGCAATTCAATGAGGGAGAGCATGTCGCTTGTAAGGCTTGGTGTAATTATGCTGTCTCGTCCTGGGGAGGGGCATCGGCGAGGATTACCTCTGGGACGAAAGGAAGCGACAACAGGCGGACCTCCACGGGTTCACCCGCCCGTTCGTCCATCCGCCCCGTCCTTCGTCCATCCGCCCGCCCGTTCGTCCATCCCTCCTCTAGCCGTGATAATGAACAGGTCCCTGGACCAACGTCCAATGTCAGCTTTGTCTTAATTAATTGCCGTCCACGAGAGATTTCAAAACTCCATCGGCACTCCTCTTTTCGATTAGGAGAACCCCTACGATTTTTTTTCAAATTGAAGGAAAAAGGGTTTTTGAACTTTGGCCTGGCCATTCGAGAAAATTATTTTCGGCATTTTTGTCAATCGAGTATTACATCAAAGATAAAGATCAACAAAAAATGACTGAATTTAGCCTTTTTTTTAATCCTTTTTCCATATTGCATTATGATTAAAAACTTAAAATAATGAAATAATTTTTTAAAACGTTTTACATAATATAATAAATTGTCAGCTTCCATTTTATTAAAATGAACACATTTTTCGTTAGTTTCCTTTGTTGTTCATGCTCTAATTTATGTAGGCCCATTTATTTATATTCTGCAGAACAAAGACGCACGAGGTCGTGAACCCTACCGTTACACGTTCTGCGAACCGACATCCGCCGTCGCCGTGTAAATCTGACATCGGACCGAACTTCCTTTTTGTAGTTCGTTCTATATTTATATTACTAAATGGGTTCGTTTCTTTGAAAATTTGCTCTACAGTAAATTTTGGCCGTTAATAATAAATATTTGAGCATGATAATCAACGTAGTTGTAAACTTGAACAACTATGATTGACGAAAATCCCGGAAGCTTATAAAAAAATTCGAAAAATCAGACATCTGAACGACGCCTACATCTACAAAATCAATCCCTTTGCATATGAATCATGGATCTGAGGGCTGTTGGCTGGATTACACCACAGGCCTTCAAAATTGACTAAAGTGGACCAACCATATCCTTATCACTCCAGGTACTATGGTGCTCCCAAAGGAACATAGAGATGATATGAACCTTAATAGATCATGGTAGGAGCCAGCCTCTTTACCGCCTACTCATTAAGCTTAAAGGCTTTTTACAAGATCCCAAGGTTTTTAAAAGGGCTGTCGTGTGTATTCTCCAGACCTGAGCTTTTTCCTCTTTCAGGAAATACTGGAGTAGGAATCTCAGCCTACATGCACCTTCGCACCAATGAGGACATGTTTTGTTATCTCCTTCTTCCTGCCAATATCTGAACAGGCTTGTTTCTGCCACTGCCTTAGTGCCACCCAGCTGTCCAAGCAGATGGCTATTCTTCTATTGTTCTGATACGAAGCCTGTTAAGATCATTGGCAGTGTTCAATAGCTACAGCCTCTGTTTGAAAGATAGTGGCATATTGCCCAAGGTTTATATGAATTCTAGTCCTTGGTTTATTTCTGTAAATACCAACTCCTAACCCATACTCTGTTTTAAAGCTATCTGAATACCAAATATCTTGGGCATTAACTGGGATTCCTTTCTCCCAACAACTACGTTACATCTTTACCTACTCTACATATATTATTATTATTTTATTGTTATTATCAATAATTAAGGAATTTAACAGTGACCTCATTTTAGTAATTATTGTCAGTATTTGCATGTGTGTTTTTGTGTTATTTTATCCTTTGTTATTTAAATATTTTCATTTCTGGTGTATATTCATTCACTTGTATCTACTTGTACATGTTGTAATGTATATAACCAGTAAATAAATTAAATTAAATTTGATTGTCGATGATAATTATTTTTAAACTGATTAGGGAAGGGATTTTTGAAGTACTGATCCAAGTGTTATGGCATACCTCATATATTTGTTTTTTGCTTTTTATTCCACTTAACCTATTAAGAAAAATGAAGATCCACCTTGCCAATTAAACATTCTTTTAAATCTTAATATTCTTTATTATTATAAACATAAAATTTTCCATTTTGTCATATTATAATGGCTTATTTTGCATATATTACATGGCCATTATATTTTTTTTAAACAAATATGTTGGTAGTGTTCACTTTTAATTATGGAAATTAAAAATTTCCACAAAAAATTTATTAATAATTAAATGAAAATAACATTTTCAATAAATCTTTCTTATTCCTAACATATAGTTAAGCATAAACATATATTCATTTAAGATTTTTCTATTTTAAATTTGATCTTATTAGATAAATCAAAACTGAAGTCAGTAATAATAATAAAAATAAAAATAATTGCAATATCAATTGTATTAATAGAAATTCAAATTTGTTTATAGAACCAGATTTTCTCAGAGAGCAGTATTTTCTATTAAAATTCAATTATTAACAGATGATTGAAGTGATTTTCTATTTTTTGTTGTTCTATATTGTAGTAGATTACTTTCACAAACAAAAAAGCATTGTAACTTGCACAATATATAATGTATGATATTTTCACATGTATATTTTCCATATGTTTTAAATTAATTGTTCCACTTACCATTTGTGTTGATGATTGTTATCAGATATGTGTGTAGGGCTTAAAATGTGTGAATGTTTGAATTTGTTTTAGTATTTTTTCTTCTTCAGGTGATGATGATTTTTTTACATATGATGTGATTTGTAAGGAAGCTCATAATGCAACTGTTTTATGGCTGAGCGTCTGATTTTGGAAATAGGCTTGTACTAAAAACTACATTTGATTGCATTAATGATTGGTTGTACTAAGAAAAATCAAATTTGACGTAGAAAATAATTTATTTGCATTTTGTCTGACTTCTTATTGCACCAGTTTCAAGTCTAAAATTTTTACAATCAAAATTTTCATTTCACATTGTTAACATAAAAAGAGATGAAACAATTATAAACTGTATAAACTTAACATGTAAAAGGGAATAAAAAATTGTGATATAATTATGTTCCACTTTGTAGGAAAAAGTTGTTAACAAAATTAATTTATTGAAAATGATCTGTAAACTTAAAAACAAAGGTTCATGAGAATTGACACAATTCCAATTTAACCAACTGGTCTGTCTTAAAAATTTCAATTTGTATACATAACATTTGGCAAGGTTCAATATATTTCTTACCAAACAACGAGAAAGGTTCGTGCAGGTTTAATAATTGACACAATTTTAGAAGAGATATTACATTCGGGGAATAATCTCCAACGGTATCTGAACCTTCTCCCAACACGTTACTAGCCCAGTAATGCCATTATAAAGGATGCAGGACTTAAAAAGTAAATTCAACTCATTTTTTTTTAGCTGAGGCGATTATCAAAAGCCCAATTGAAAATATGATTGTCAATTGTTAATTAAAGGTGAAAGACAAATAGACTCATTATCACCTCCTTTGTCATTCTAGTGCTGCATGAGTTCTCGCATTGTTGTGGTGAAAAATTACACCTTTTTGTTCACGATAACAGATTGTTTCTGGGCCAGGGCAAGAGATACTAGTTGCAGTTAGAGTAGATTTCTGCGTTGATGATATGGCCATGTGGCAGTTTTTAATGCACAATGCCTCTTACTCCTCCACACACAAAGCATCACCTTTTGACGGTGAATATTTGGTTTTCGTGTCAATGGGACAGGGTCATTTGGTGACAGCCAATGGTACGCCTGCCAATTTTAAATCATTGCTCTCGCTGAGAACCTGAGATACTCAAAAATATTTTTAAGAGACTTTTACATATTTAAACATATATTGCAATGTAGGTACCATGTGAGAAATATAGTGAACAGATCTATCTAATAATACATGAATGAGCTATTAATTGTTTAAATACTTCAAAGGTACATTTCTCCTACAGGTAAAGTTTCTCCAATCAGTCGCATATTTTAAATAGAACATATACGTGTTACTTTTAATGTTTTGAATGTTGTCCAAAATACATGTTATTTAGAATTTTATCTATGATTTACATCCTTTTTTTCCTCTTCTCCTCTTGTTTAGTTGTTTCTGATTTCCTTTATGTTTCATTCCTGAAGGAAAGTTATATTTGCACAATTATCATAGAAAAATAGATCAGGAATATTTATTACAACAAAAGTTGAATATAAAAGAGAACAATTCATTACATTTAAATTTATTTTGAATATGACAAATGTTCATAATCAGAGGTCACTACAGAAGTAGGATGGAACAACAATAAATAAATCAACAAAATGAATGCTAAGTTTTATATATTTCCTGAAGTTCATCCACCCGTTTAGGGCAAAGGGACAACACTTTTGCACACCCATTAGAGATTAAAACATCATCTTCAATACGTACGCCGATACCTCTGAATTCCTTTTTTGCAAGATTATTTTTCTCGTTGACATATATCCCTACAATACAAATCAAAAACTTAGATTTTTTAATAGTAATGAAACAATATGTAGTAATACAAAATTTATACAGTGCTTTGTTTTACTTGAATACCTGGTTCTACAGTTATGACCATTCCTTCTTGCAGATGGACAGTTCTGTTTATAGTACCAGTGTCGTGAACATCCATACCAAGGTAATGGCTGACATGGTGTGGGCAGAATTTAAAGGCCATCTGAAATAATGCAATTTTGAAATTGAACGTGCAAAGATAGTATAAGACCTGACCTCTTCCAGTGTCATAGAGTCAGCGGCCTTAGTAAGTACATGTGCCTCTTTAAGACGTTTCCCTAGCATGACGCACATTAACTTGAACAGCTCATCTAATGACTTCTCTTCTGAACAGAGGGAAATCAAGTTGGTCTGCACATCGAGGACTATCTCGTAAAGTGTTTGTTGAAGAGGAGTGAATTGTTTGCTGACAGGCCAAGTTCTTGTTATATCGCTGCAATAACCGTGGAGCTCACAGCCTGAAACATTCCACCGTCAGACACCATGTGATTACTTTGAACAGTTGACGCTACCAAATGAATTATATTTGTATAAAAGCAATGGTTTAATCATGATTTATACAAATGCCATCACATTTGTGAATTGAATAGGAAAATGAAATCTTATACATAATTATAATGTTGAAGGTGATAACTAATTATCTGGGAATAAACATACCAGCGTCCATTAAAATTAATTCTCCCTCCATTATTTTTTGGGTGTTGTTTATGTAGTGGATGATGTTTGCATTATTTCCAGCGGCTACCACTGGAGGGTAAGCCAAGTATTCAGCTCCATTCATTCTGCAGTGGTAATCTACCATGGCAAAAAGCTGGTGTTCAGTGTGCCCGACCTCGGTATTCCTAATTGTTTGGGTTATGGCATCTGACGTTATTTGGGCAGAGCGGAGCATCAAATCCTGCTCTGCTTTTGATTTAATCAGTCTTAACTCATGTATGAGCTTTATCGGCGATTCTAAACACTAAACAAAAAAACTTTATTCAGTTTAATAATATTCAAGGCAGTTGTTCTTTTAAATTACTTTTGATCCAGAATTAGATAGAAACGACACAACTGAGTTATGTATATTTCTGTGTGCTGGGTTTCTGAAATCGTACCAGAAAGTACAATTTTTAGCCGATTCTTTCAGTTCAGATTCAAGTGCATTGATGCTTTTGGCTTCATCGATACCGAAGAGTTGAGGAGCAACATCAACACCTCAAAAACAATCATTAATTAAATAAATTAATTTTTTTTAAGATTATAACATACCTGTTCTAGGGCCTTCCCAGAGTTCAGTGTGAGCATTTTTATCACGCATGAATAATTTCGATTTATGACTCCCATCAGGTTTGATTATCAAAAGAAGGGCACTGTCAGGCTCGAGGCAGCCTGTCAAGTACCTGAAGTCTGTATTCTGCCTGAAGACATATGGAATTTTATCGGACATATACTGCGTCATCGCCGCCGGTATCAAAACAAGATGAGTTCCATTCGGTTTCAGTCTGACTAGCGCTTCCGCAAGGCGATCCCTTCTTTCTATGAAGTCTTTTTTTGTAAATCCTGGAACGAGCTACAAAACAACTGCGATAGACATTAAAATGCGATTCGGTCCTACTTTGTAAATTGCCGAGTCGATACAAACCTCATTCGGTTTGAGCAAGTGTGGGTGCGTAAGTGGAGAAGGCTGTCCTATTACCGGTTGGGTGGTCTCATAACAGGCGGTCTGAAGGGTGATGTCATGGAAGAACCGACCCCAGTGTTTATTCCCAAATAGTAGCCTGCAACAACCTTTTAAACATACCAGGCTAGATTATATTTATTAACTAAAAAAATGAAATTAACTGATAAATTAGTTAAAATTCAAAACATTACTAACAAGTAAATTAAAAAATTTCTTTTTTAAATTTAATTTTTTTATTTTCTATGCAATACAATCTCAGAAGAAACGAACTTACGTCTGTTACTTTTCCAAGATAATCTCGTAAAAGTGTTCATTTTAAATAAAAAAAAGAAAAATCTTTACAAGAAAAAGTGTGTAGTCAGGTTACTTAACTACTACGGTTATCTTTCGATCATCATAAATAAAACAGAGCTATAATTTAAGAGTGACGTCATTGACAAGTTGCCCGGTTCACCTGAATTTTCATTTATATTAAAATTTAAAATATCAATTACTGCCGAGTAATAATATATTTTGGTGTACTGTAGAGTGGGTATTTGTTTATATTTTTTAGTTGTACAAACGCTTTTTTCAGTATAATAAACGATTTTGTAAACCAAACAAACAAAAGTTTTCCCGCTACAAATCAGTAGCACAAGGATGATTAAATAAAAATTGCCGTGATATCAATGTATTTGAAACTTGTTTAGATGCAAAATTCTTCAAAGAAGAAATGTTTTTGGCTGATTATAATATATAGTTTCAATTGCTAGAGAAATATTAAACACATCTATATCTTATCATGTTTATGAGCATTACTCTCAAATGACAATGAGTCATTGTAGGCAGTAAATAAAGTTGAATGATAAAAACAAGCTAAAAATAAAGAAATAGAATATCTGAAGTGGTCAACTAGCAATTATAGTGAGGGGGTTCTCACTTATAAATAAATCCAATATTACTGAACAAAAAGAACTAGTTAAATAGAGGGTACTCATGAGTGATATTTACACAATGAGAATGTGTGCAAGTAGTACTAAAAAAATAAAAATACTGGGATTAATGTTATTGCTCATCAAATGAATAAAACATAATAAATAATAAAGATAATGCTCCTGGGTGTTAGGGACATGAGCAAGATGTTTGAGTTGAAATTTAACTTCCCAATGAACTGAAAGAAATTTTTTAATGGCTTTATTTTTGTCAAGCTATAGCTCATTATTCAAACAATTTGTTGTTGTGTGTATTTTGGGGGAAGAGTAGCATGAAAAAGTGGCTAGAGGCAAAAATGGAAATTAACACACGACTGAGGGTGTCTAAGAGCTCAGCTATCTAGCCAGAGTATATCACGCTGAACACTCGACCTCCGAGGGTATGAGGTAAATGCATGCCAAGTATCGATAGACCAAATTGCCAATAAAGGGCAGGATAACGCTATACAGTGATTAAAATGAAAACCAAAAGTATAAGGGTACATCAAATACCAAATAATAGGACTCATTTAAAAAATCTTTATTCAATTAAGCTTACAAAAATATGTATTTAGTATATTTTTTTGCATGTTCTCCTTCCCTAAAAATATATTTTTTCTATTGGCTTCTTTTTTTTATTTTTATTTTTTTTTTTAAATTATAACATCATAAAAACTCTTAGAATGTTCTTGTAACCATTGGAGCTCAAATGCTTCCACCACTTTGCTGTCATCGAATCACTGGCTTCCACTAAGTGCTTTTATGAGAGGTGTAAAAAGATGAAAGACACAAGGTGAAAAGTCTGGATAGGGATGTTCTATTTTCCATCTTACTGCACCTGATTTTTGCTTTGTGGCGCTAGCTGTATGAGGCTTGGCGATGATTTAAGGTAGTGGATAGATTATATATATATTTTTATGGATGCATTTTAACTATGAGGTCAAATCAACACCTCGGGTACGGGTGCTTTTTTTTGGGAGGGGGGGGAAGTATGTTGGGTTTGAAGTTAGGGTCACAGAGATTTGAACCCAGGGGACCCTTACAGCAATAAGATGCCATGTCTACAATCTATCCACTTTAGCTACTGATGCCTCTTAAAATACCTTTGAAGACTATCTACTAATATTAATCTAATTTAATTGTAAAAATTATTGAATAACTTTTCAAAACAAAACTATTCTTAAAGCTAGGGCTTGTACATTTTACAGTCTCCTATATGAAGTGCGTATTTATGGAACTAAATTTTTTTTAAACCAATCAAATTGCATTAATAAAATATAATTACATAGTATATACAATAAAAATAAATGTGCATACACAACTATCTGATTGTTAAATAAAAAAATTCTATATGAATTGGCGAAACACAACACATATCATATGTTATCATCATCCCAAGAAAATATTTGGAGAAAGCTTTGTAGAACATGACCTAAAGAACTAAGAGCCTGTATTACAGCAGTTGCTGCAATAACAAAAGAGACTGATAAAGAGAGAAATTTTGTTTTTAGAGCTGTTTCCTCACTGGATATTTCCCAGCAATGTTCTTCTATTCTGTCTCTTTTGAGAACTGAATTTCTTCGTGCTTTACTCGCTTCATTTAAGCATCAGCTATGCAACAAATCCTCTTCACATTCGCTTGTTATATGGTGTCTAAGATTAATCTAAAAAAAGTAATAATAAATGATAATTAAAAGTCAAGTATATACAAGTTTTACAAAAATAGCACATATAAAAAATAACCTTTGGATGTGTGAAGGAAATAAGGCTGAATTCTGAATAAAATGTTAAAATATATATACAAAAGCAAGTTGCCGTGATCCATTCTGATCCAGTGCTTACTACATGTAGCATCCAGCCTTTATCATCCGGGTACCATTTTGTCACATCATCACCTAGATAAAATGCAAAATTAAAGTAAAAGAAATCATAATAAAAAATTTGAAAACAGAAAAAAAAACCATTGAGTTTAATTACACTCACCATCAAACTCTATACGTGACTGCACACCGGTGACTAATGAAATAACGAAAAATACAGTACAAACCATTGAAAGGCCAACACGAAAATGAGCCAAGATAATGCTATGTACTAATGAGTGCATCTGATAGGAACATAATGCCTAAAAAGATTATATTATCAAAAACAAATTATATATATATATATATATATATATATATATATATATATATATAAAAACACAGATTGGTAATGTATTAAGAATAATATATTTAGCAGTTGGTCTTCAGTTAAATGCCGATAATACGTATAGGCAGGGAATAATCAGTGATGAATAAACTACATGTGTATCACACAGATATACATAAAAAAAATAAAAATAAAAATAAACTACTACATCTATATCACACAGAATACCTCAAGATATTTCACAGTACAAACAATTTTCTATTTTTATCCAACACCAAACAGATTTAATTTATGATTGTATTTTACTTTTGATCATTATTATTTATTATATACTTTAAGCCATCACATTTGCTAACCAACTGTTTCAGGAATCTGAAGGGAACTATTTAGCAAGTTCTTGGATTTGTTGAAGAAAGGGGATTGTGGTGGATGTCTGGCTTGTAACTAACTGTAACTTTTTATTTCAATAAATAATAGAAAAAACAACAAGTGTCATATAATTCTGCCCTAGGAAGTTAAAAAAAAATTCAATCAGTGTTTTATTTTATTTTTTTTGGCTGTAGTTTTATATTTTTGTTTTTGATCATCTTGTACTGATGTTTCTGCATATGTGTATATGCCATTTTTATAAATGCTTTATAAGGATAAATTACAATTATTAAGATTTGTCTCTTGAAAATATAATATATACTTGGAGAATATTGTTTTTTTATCATGAATAATTCCTCAACTGTTCCCCACAATTGTGCTTATCAGTCAACTTTACCATGTGTAGTAGGTACTTATTAAGAGGATGACTAATCTTGAACAGTTTTCAATGAAATGTTAGCTATTTGTAAGAAGAGTGCACAACTTAAACCAGTACTTGAAGTGCTGTGATATGGATTGTAGTACCATAAACTGTAAAAATCTATTTGAAAATTGTGTAAGCTAGACAACTCAGCTTGTTCAACAAAGAAGGGCAATAAAAGATAGTTATGATTTTATGCGTCAGTCATAAATAACAGTTATATATTTTACCTGGATCCAAAAATAGAGAGTGCCGGCTCCAAAACAGAGACATGCCCCAGCAAAATGAACCGTTTTAACCGCCAATGATTGAAAGTTAGCTACAATGCTGAGACCTAGGGCAGAACAAATCCCCAGGAACAGGCCAAGCTTATTTAACACCATTATATTAGGCGATATCGAGTAGAGCTCATAGTACTGGCATATTGCACAATACCTTACATATATTAACAAAACCACTACAGAGAATTCAGGTAAAAACATAAGTTACAAAGTTATATGTTTATTATAATAATAAATAATTATGGCACTACTTACTTAGCACAGATCCGAGGTTTATCAATTGGCTAAAAACACAACTTTCTGGTGGATAAGATGCTGCATCGCTTATATAAGGGAAATTAGGTTCCACATGGCCCTGTAACACTCCTGCTAAATACCTGCAAGATCAAATGAATTACTTACATACACAAATATTTTAATAAACATAGTTTAAATATCTATTTTTTAGCTTAAAGCATTCACATTGGGTCAGTATTGGTATTATTGGAACAAGACAAATTAAGGGGTTGAAAATCATTAAGTGTTAAAGAAGGAATGAAAAGTACCTACCTGTTTAAAAATTAATGAAAAAGAGGAAAAAGCAACAAAGAAAATGTTAAATAAATTTAAAAAATAAATAACTGATTGTTTACCGAAAAATTGACAGTAATCATCCATTATAATTTCTAATAGATTTTGTATATGAACTAATAATAAAGTGTGTTAAAATTGTCTTTTTGTACATAAATGTATTTTTTTAAACAACTTTTGTAATCCAAAACCGCCTGCATCAATAAGTTTGCATTTCTGAGAGAGCTGTGTATTCTAAATTGTTAGAATGATATTGAAAAGGTACAATCCTGTCCATCTCATACAGTTAATAAGTAAATTCCTTTTTAATTATGATTCGATGCTTGACTAAACTTCAGACCTTTATAAGTACCAAAATAGTCTTTGCTGAACAACAGGAATTGCAACTATTCTAGAAATCTCTCTTCTGAAATGCCAAGTAATTCAATAATAGATAACATACATATATCATTACATTACATTTCACACATCAAATATTTTTCATAGTCTAATTGTCCAACAATTTAGCTTTCCTTTTCCTATTTATCCCTTTCTATATAATCCTGAAAGGATAATCTGGCCAAATCATTACCAACACATTGTTTCCCTTCGTCGGCTCTTTTCGCCTCAAAGAAGCCGACGCCTTATACAAAAATGTCTTTTCTATACCGACTTCCTTCCCCACCCCTTCAAAATCCAACATATATAAACATAAAACAGCAAAATCTCACTGGCACTCTCAACACGACACGCAAGAATGGCACAATTACACAGAAAACAAACACTTTGAGTGAGTAGAAATACTTTGATTGAATATAAAAAATATATTTTGCATTGTATAAATTCACTTTTCCACATCCTAAATGTATTTGTTAAATGTAAACAATGTTTGTAAATCCCAGGCCCTGAAGATGATCTCAATAAAGATCGAAACGTTGGCATGATAAAGAAAATGTTTTTCTGAAACCTACATCACACCAGACCGCATCTCACGATTTCTGAATAATTAAGTAATTCAATAAAGTATTTTTTTGGAGTTTGTGTAAAAATAGGCATGTAATTTCTTTCATTGTAAATAAATGTGAATGGCACATTGGGAAGAGATTTAAATAATTAAAAAAAAAGAAAAATCTACTCTTTCTAGAGCATCAAAATAGATTCCACCATTTTGAACCACAGTTTTGAATACAAATTTACCATAATTATTTCTACAAAGCCATAGAGTATTTTTTGTACAGATTGATGGCATAAGGTCACCTTTAAGAAATTTAAAAGCTGGGGTCCCCAAGGGTTTGTTCTTGGATCAACCTTATTTAACATATTTTAAATGACCTTTGCAAGCTAACTACAGCTTAACTTGTTTTCTTTGCTGATGATATGGCTTTTATAAGAACCTCATATTGGGTTGATTCTATCTGCAGAGAATTATCAGTAACTGTAGGCAGGTGTTTTAAATATTTTGAAAAGTAATTATGTAATAGTTAATTTCATAGCAAATAGCAGGGTTGTGGGTGGCTCAGTGCGCAAGGGTGAGGATTGGTTGGCAGTATCCATTCCTGAGGAATCTCGGGTCAGCACTAGGATCCCCGCCCTTGTTCACCTGCTGGTGTGCCATACGTAGTCCATCACATCCAAAATGATGATCAAGGCGAAACATGATCCTACGAGATAGAATGCCTTCAAATTTAAAAAAAGAAAAAATGGATAGTGGATGAGTACCATCTGTCTCGTGTTGAGGATACCTAGCCAACTTTCTGTGATAAGATTTTTCAGGGCGAGCCGAATAGCTATCGGTTTCTTAGCGTGCATCAGAATGTTTCACATTATTTGTTTTTCTATGTGTACACATTTGTTTTGAGTATGACAATAAACCAGGAGGAATGCATTCGACTTATCCGAATGTATCACAGCTTCTGAATTTTGTGTGATGATAAAGATAAAACTCATTGTAATAAGAATATGAGAGTGGATGTGTGTAAGAAATTGAGCATCAAAATGGGACTAACACAAAAAGTATCTCCTTAATAGCAAACTCTGATGCAGCAGTTAGTGCAGTTATAAACGGCATTTCGCGCAAACTGATGGCTCACCTTGTTTCACCTCTATGTTGCAAAATGTTTCACCTCGTTGAAATGGTTAACCCGAGATGGCGTTCCATAAATAATTCTTGCTTTTAGTTACATGATTTTTTTCACAAAATGGAAACCCAGCTTAAAGGTAGCAAGACTGAGGCAATACTATTTACTCAACGCAGACCACACATTGTCAATCAAGTCAAAATAAATAACTAAATAAGGACGGTAAATATCTTGAAATGTTTCTGAACTGCAGACTTAATTTTAGTTACCACATTGAATAAATAATGCTCCAAAGCATGGACCATCTTAAGAAGCCTTTATACAGTGTTTAATAAGTGTTCATGTATGGACAGTAAAAATAAAAAAAGTTATTTATGACCTATACATACGTCTATTACTAACTGAATTTTTCCATAGAGGTTGAAAATCTAGTTTTTTTACAAGTTTTAAATTTACTTCTTCTTCTCTTTTCAATGCTTTTTGGATTTCCCTAATTGAATAGTTTAGGAGCTACGAGATTTATGACAGAAAAACCGTAGATAGATGGAAAAAGCAATGCCTTTCGATTTTTAGTTTTTAAGCTTTTTGTTAGAGCAAACTGAGCAACATTTGTACTTACGTTCCTAGAAATGTAAATGGAAAGAGTAAAAAGAGAAGTACAGGCAAATTTTGAATGCCTGAAATGCCCATTTTGTCACTCGGCATGCATATTTTACACAGGCTTTTGATGCGTGCGGATTAAACTAAATATAAATGCCTACGGAATAATGTAAATAAAATTAAATAAATAAGCCACGTTTGAAACGAATTATCATATCAGAGGACGCAATTAAACAAAGACGACGTGAAGGTTAAAGAAAAATTCCGATAAACACAACTGATTGTGTCATTGTGAACAGTGTCGCAACCTCACTCAATTCAAACAACAACAACGTTGTTTTTTATTGTTAATTTTATTGTTAATTTAACAAAAAAATGGACGGTGACATGAGAAAATATGTAAAGACGATGACGGAGGTCAGTTCGAAAGATTTATCCGAGAAATTGTTCACCGTGTTCGGCTTCAGGACCTTCAAGAACGATTTGCAGAAAAAGGCGATCGTGGAGATCGTCAAAAGTGAGCGTTTCTCGACGTTTACATAGTTTATGATTTTTAATGACATTCTTATGATTTGTTTTCCAGGGAGGCACGATGTTTTTGTCTCGATGCCGACCGGCTCGGGGAAATCGCTTTGCTTCCAGTTACCAGCCCTCATGCATGAAAACAAAATCGCAATCGTCTTCTCACCACTTCTGGCTTTGATGAAGGTGCAGGAAAGTTTGTCGCTTCTAATATCTAGTTTTAAAACAATATCAATCTTCCAAGGAAGTAATAATAATAATAATAATAATGATTATTTAGAGATCGTGAGATGCGGTCTGGTGTGACGTAGGTTTTAGAAAAACATTTTCTTTATCGTGCCAACGCTTCGATCTTTATTGAGATCATCTTCATCAATATCTCACGATCTTCAAATAATCATTAACTAATGGTCACTAAACACCACACAAAATAATAATCATAATATTTCCTAAATATATTTTTTTTTGCTTTATTTCTTTAATATCTTGCCATTGTACAAGATGTAGCACACCACTAACTAACTACGCTATAGTTACTGCCAACTTTATATATATTTTTTAAATTACATTTCTTTATGAATTTAAAAATCAATTTGTAAATCAATACGTTTTTTGAGGCTATCAAGGTTGAAGGGATTGTCAGTGACATTACATTCAAAAACCACTGTTAAGAAAGTTTCTTTGATTTTGTGGTATTCCTCGCAATTGAATAGCAGATGCTTTAAATCTTCGAGTACATCGCAAGTGGAACAGTTGGGGGATTATCTCTGTTTTATTTTGTGAATGTAGGCACTGCTTATTCCATGATGCATTTGGATTCGTGTCATTACGGCAAAGAATTCCTTACTACCATCTACATGTAAAAATAAGAGTATTTTATTAACATTTGGGAATAAGGCCCTGTAGAAAGACCCCTTTTCAGCTGCCCCGTAATCAGATTGCCACTTTTTGATCCAGAGTTTCTTGAACAACTTTAGCGCATCGCATTTCGGTACCTTCAAATTTTGAATGCTGCTGAACTGAGTAGCATGCTTGCCCAATTATTTCCTAAATATAGGTATAAAACAAAAAAAGTTACAATAGCTCTTAGAGGGCACAGTTTAAAGGTGATTAATACACCCTTATTAATCATCTACATCTACCTCTACATTGTTAAGAATGAGTGAGAATGTTTAAAAATTGAATTGCTGTACTAGAAAGGATCTATAATGTCACACAATGTGTGTAAATTTAATGAGTGGTTGGTAATAGGAGTCGAGAAGAGAAAGTAATAGTTCACTAAGCTTGGAACAACCCAGGTAACGCATGCGGAACTCTGCAAGACTAAGACATATTTCTAAATAATGGAATACATCTTCTCTTGTGTTTAGGTTAGAGAGAGGGCACCAGGTAATCGCTCGATCGACTGGGTGTAGTTATGATATAAAAGTTCCTCTTTCAGTTGACTTTCTAATAGACCGATTACTGGGTGATTCATTATTCTTAGAAAACAGCCTTGATTGAATGTTTAGTTTCTTATAAAAGAAGAACCTGGATTACTGGTACTAGTCACAGCCTATACTCTATGATTCTTGTCGATTTTAGTTAATAATGTGGAGAGTTGCCCCTTTCAAAGATGCGAGTCTGTAAAATCTGGATTGAATTTGTACAATTGCATTGCGGCAAGACTAATCCAAGTTTTTGAACCATGAAGTTCTCCTATTGATTACTTCAATTGCTAATATTCTCGGAAGTCGAAATGATTAAGAACTTTGAGACAGTACTTGAATGAAATTTTAATGTGAAAATCTCCAGTAGGTCTACATTAGTTTTTAATAATATCATAAAATTCTGTCATGGTTATAATTTTTGAAATTTTGCAATGTCTGTCTTCGTGGATAATGCCAATATGTTCATCGCTTGCCCAATAAAGCATGCTGCCAATAAGCATCAATTAAAGAACTATGTTTTTACTTTCAGATATTTTCTATTTATTGTGCCACAGATCTCTCTTCCCTTGAGCCCTGGGATGTCTCCCTGGAAATCTTGTAAAGGAAAAAGAATTGAATTAAACAAATACTTGGTTAAGGGGGCTTAAAATTGGAATTTTTGCTCAGCGTATGCAGGGAATGAATGTTGTCACTCTCGAGTCTTAGATCTTGGAGGTGGTGGATTGCTGGAGGCCATTCTGATGATGAACTCCTCTACGGGACTTAACCTCTAAACTCTATCAAGTGATTGATTTCAGAACTGAACTATGTACTCATTTTTCTGACTCTGAGTCTCTCGTACTATTGGTCTCACCGAATACATTTTGCCTATCTGACAGTTGTCACTGGTTCAGGCCAGGAGCAGCCCATGGACAATGGAGTAGACCCTACACACTAGCTGGCTCGGCCTCGAGTGCTGTGCGACATTACCTTAATCTTTAAGCCTTCCATTTCTCCACATGAAACAAAATACTTCTGATGGTTTTTTTTTCCCCTTTTCTGCCCTTTATTAATTCGATTAGGATCACTGTTTTATCTGTAACATAATTAGGTAAACTTACAACTTAATAATGTGAAAACATCTCTCTAGGATCAAATTGATGGCCTTAGAAAGATGAAAATAAAGGCAGAGACCGTTAATTCAAAGGTGTCTGCTGCGGAGAGACAGAGGGTCATCAATGATTTGAATTGTGTCAAGTCAGACACAAAATTGTTGTATATTACACCAGAGTTTGCTGCAACCGATACTTTTAAGGTGAGCTCAAAAAGAAAAAAAAAAATGTTAGCACTTTGTACTAAAAATAAAACTTTTTCTAGTTGATTTTATCAAAATTGTACAAGTTTAAAAAATTGAGTTATGTCGTTGTCGATGAGGCGCACTGTGTGAGCCAATGGGGCCACAACTTTCGCCCTGATTATTTGAAACTGGGAAAGATTAGAGATGTGATTCCAGATGTGCCTTGGATCGCTTTAACAGCAACAGCTAGTAAACATGTAATTTACCTTCTTTTAATAATTTTCCTTTTTACAATGTTTGTTTTAATTTAAGGTTGCTGACGATATAAAGAAGCACTTGAAACTGAAAGAACCCGTACAGTCATTTAAAACCTCTTGCTTCCGGTCTAATCTTTTTTACGATGTTGTTTATGAAGATTTATTACAAGATCCGTATTCACATTTAAAAGATTTTATTGAAGATATATTTGAGAAGGAGGACAATTGCTCGAAAATTGTATTTAAGAATTTTTGTTTTATCCTATTTTTTGACGCTTATTTGACTCTCGATATCTCATAGTGTGACAAAGGCTGTGGGATAATATATTGTAGGACAAGAGAACTGACAGAGGAAGTTGCTAGAGTATTGTCTAGGAAAGGAATTCCCACTGTACCGTATCATGCCGGACTGAAAGACAAGGAAAGGATTCAGGTTCAAGATGATTGGTTCTCAGGGAAATACAGTGTCATTTCGGCGACTGTAAGCTTTGGAATGGGAGTCGATAAGAGTTCCGTCAGGTAAAATTGTAATTATCTTTATAAAATCAGTAATTTTATGTGTTGTATTCACAGATTTGTCATTCACTGGGGGATGGCTTCAAGCATTCCGGCTTATTACCAAGAAAGTGGCCGTGCTGGGCGAGATGGCAAGCCAGCGTATTGCCGCATTTATCACTCCAAGACACAGAGGAAATCTCTTGATTTTATCTTGAAGCTGGAACAGTCACAAGCAAAAAACGAATCTATGGAACAAAAGGCGAAAGCTAATTACAAAAATTTTCAAATCATGGTTGATTACTGTGAAACTGCTAGGTAAAGTACAATTAGAAGTGAATTAAGAAATGGTTATAATTTCCAAGATTAAGAGCAAATATATTAAATCAAATGTGCTTAATAATATAATTTATTTGTTATTCGTTAGCAGAATATTGTTTTTTAATTTTAATTTGGGTTAAGAAAGTTTCTAGATAATTTGTTATAACATTTTTTATTGATTGCTGTCGCCTTATATCTTGATCACATAATGTTTATAATATAACTTTTTCTCTTGGACTTTTCTGCTATGGTACTCAAATTTGTCAATAAAAAGAAACATTTTACAAGTTTAAATATTTCAATAATGCTGTGTATATGGTTAGATGCCGACATTGGAGTTTTGCAAAGTTTTTTGATGATAGTAAGCCCAACTGTCAAAAAAAGTGCGATGTTTGTAAAAACCAGAAACAAGTTGAAGCACTCATAGAAGATTTTCACAGTGTCGCTACAGGCTATCATACTTTCCAACTGACAGCATCAGCTAGAACTGCGACCAGTGATGAAATGTACGGAGATTTGATGAATAAAAATGCAGGGTAAGTGAATTTGAATTATTATTCGAATGGTAAATAATTCTCATTAAATCCATTATGTTTAATGGTCTGATAACCAAATTACTTCTTTCAATTAATTATTTTTTGTATGTAAGGTCTTGGTCGAAATGAAACAGTTTGTGGCATGAGCGGGATTCGAAGTCACTAGCTGAAGGTCGTAGGTTCGAATCCCGCTTGTGACACTAACTTTTTCATTTCAACCAAGACCTTACATACAAAGAATAATCATTAAAATTAAAGGGTCAATGAAGACAATATAATAGAGGACAAATGGGGTCGAGACGTCTATTCTGAGAAGGACACGGAACTGCTAGATACGATAAAACAACAGTTCAAGCTTAGAAAAGGAAATCAAAATGAGGTGGCAGGAAATGAAATTGTCATTAAAAATTCTATTGTAAACGCAGCGGACTGTACATCGACTAAAGTCCGTGGTTTGTCTGTTGCTGTAAGTATGCTAACTTTTGAAAATTAAGCATAAAGCTTCTATCTTAAACATATAAGGTAATTTGATTATTGACTTGAAACTAAAATTTTATATTTAAATCCTATGTTCGATATCTTTTTAACCAGTTTAAATGTTTTAAGTTAAGCTGAAGTGGGGGGGGCATCAGTGGTAACAACGGTTAAGGTGTTGACACAGTGCTCATGGCTGTGGCTGTAAGGTACAGGTCCGGGGTTAAAATCCGGCATCCCTTTATTCAAACTCGTCATACTTACCTTCCCCCCCCAATAACCTTAACACCCCGAGGTTGATATGATCTCTACTGTTGTGAAAACCTGTTTAAAAAAAGTTTAGTTATGAACTTTACAACTCTCTGAACTAATAAAAGAACCAAAGAGTGGTTAAAGAAATGACCATATTTAAGAAAATTATGTCTGTAATAAGTGTGTGGTGATTAGTGGCCTTTAGTCGATGATTATTCAGAAATCGTGAGACAGACCACATCTCACGATTTCTGAATAATCTGTAATAAATTACAATTAATTAAGGTTTTTAGTTGAGATAAAAAGTCAATGGCACGAGCGGGATTCGAACCCACGATCTTCGGCTTGATACGCCGCTGCTCTACCACTTGAGCTATCGTGACCTCGGTCCACTCGGACACCAACTTCCCATCTCAACCGCACTTTCTTTAAAGGTGCGGTTGAGATGGGAAGTTGGTGTCCGAATGGATCGAGGTCACGATAGCTCAAGTGGTAGAGCAGCGGCGTATCAAGCCGATGATCATGGTTCGAATCCCGCTCGTGCCATTGACTTTTTGTCTCAACTAAAAACCTTAATTAATTGTAATATATTAATTGGTCAAGTGGACCACGAAATTAGTGAATCTGTAATAAGTTTTCAAATTTGAAAATTTTAGGAAGATTGTAGAAAATTAAACCTGTCTAACAGTAAGTGACCAAAAGTTTATTTCAACATTTATTGCTTAGTGAAATAATATTTTTGCCAATCTAATAATAAATGTTATTATGTATTGTAGAAATTTATGTAGGTTGTTTTAGAATTTGTTTCTTTTTCAGGTACGAGAGGAATATGTTAAATTTTTCAAATCGCTTCTGGAAAAAAATCTGACTGTATCAAAGTGTAAAGATGGGACAAGTTTGCCCAAATTGAAATCAACTGATGTACAGAATATTGCTGCTAATTTAGAATATTCGGTCTTTTCAGCTTCTAAAGTGGTCGCTCTCTACAGAAGGAAAGTTGCCAATCTAGTAAGTTTAATATTGAAAAAAAATTAAAAATTAAAGAATTAATTTGTATTATCAGTTTGCAGATATTCGGAAGCAAACAGAACAGTTAAACTTATATTCAAATATACGTGATTACATTGCAAAAGACAATATGTCGAAAGGAGTTGAAAAATTGATGAAACTACTTGAGGAAGAGAGCAGTAGTTCATTTGAAAAGGCTAGTAGTGATATTGATAAATTAAACAAAGAAGTAGGTGGAACAGCTAAAAGTAATTTAGAAACAAAAGATTTTGAAGCGGAAAAAAGAAATATTAAAGAATGTTACATGAAAATTCCTAAAAACCCCACTAAATATGACAAGTCTGAAAAAGAAATTCATGATGATGTCAAAATAGACATCAGTGATAAAAATGTTGAAAGTTTAACTGTAAATAGGCAAAATGAGCAAATTGAACAGAATGGCATTGAAAAAAGTTCTAATATTACGGTACACTTGAATAATATAGATCAAAATGTTATTGCAAATATTGAAGACATCAATAAAGAATGTACTCGTGTTGATATATCAGATGTACCAATGGATATGCCAAGTTCAGAGGACAAACAAAATAATGTCACATCAGATTCATATCGTTTATCTAGTGACATTTCGCAAAAACGAATTGAAAATATAGAGAAAGTACAAAATTTGAAAAGAACGCATGACAATCTTGTTGATAATCCTACACACGAAGTTGAAGTTAAAAGGAAAAAAATCTACTCTGATAATATAGACATTCCATTTCACCACACAAGACAAAAACAGAGCAGAGATCAAGAATATGCCATTAAAAAAGAAATGTCTGGTGTTGTCATCAAATATTTGATGCCCTATTATAAAAAGAAGGAAATCTCATCCAGAGATGCCTTTAAACTTTTGGCTAGGAAAATTGTTCACAGTTTGCTCCCTCAAAAAAAGACTTACGGTATAACACAAATATATTGTTCGATTAATAGTATTTTAATTAAATAAACTTTCAGGTGATCATGAAATAAGAAGTTACATCAGTGAAATTCATAAAAAGGGAGTCTTTACAAAGAGCGCAGCTGAAATTGAAAAATGTGTACTTCATATTTGAAAAGAGATTTGTTAAGTATGTTTTACACCTACTAATAAAATTTGTTATTTATTTGTAATCATATTTTGATATTTATCATCCTTGATGGATAAACATTAAGCCCTTGTGTATTTTCCTGATGAATGCGTCAAACAAAAATCAATCTGTCTTATTCTAATGCATCGAATCTGAATTATTTGATATTTTTTAAACCTTTTTCGGATTGAGTTTTGTTTGCTATATGCGTTCCCCTGCCTATAGCCTTGCCCACTATGTTATCCCCAGCCTGATTTATTTTTCAATTAAGCATCGAATTTCAAAAAAATAAATTTTAATTGTTACTCCTTTTTTTGTTGCACCAGTTTTGTTCAAAATATGACAGTATATTCCTCAGATATTATATTTTATAAATGGAAGTAAGGAAATGTAAGGAGAAAAAAAGCAAAGTTGCATTTAATTGAAAATTTATTTTACTCAAAAAATCTTCCTTACATATTTTAAAATATAATAACCAAAAAACAAAATAAATAATTATTAATGATTTATTTAGTTCTACTTTAGACACATATGTACATACGAGTACAAAGTTGAATAAAAATATATATAAAACAAATATGTGTAAATAAGGACAACAAAAACTCTCCATTAACAACTAAATGTCTGCTACACCTGATAAAACTTTTTATTATTGGGTTGTCCGGAAAATAATGCAGGATTTTGGTATTAAACAAAAAAAAAGAAACTAGTTACTTTAAAGCAATGTTCTTTAATCAAAATAANTAATCCTGTAAACGTAAACAGAATATTTTATATAGATTTTTTTTAATGAAAACTTAAAATCCTGCATTATTTTCCGGACAACCCAATAATTAAAACTGAATTTATCAAATATTTTGCAATGATAAAAACAAGTTTTTTCCAATAATTATATTAATTAATTTTGACTTTTAACTGTTTTACGTTTTTGGACTCATTATTGAAGTTTTCAAGCTGTAATTTCAAATTAAAAAAATAAAAATCTTATGATTAATTTCAAAACATTATATATTTTCAGTGTTGAATAGCTGACATTAAAATAAAAGTTTAAAAATATACTTATAACTTAAAACTGACAAAATATAAATATAATTAAATATCAAAAATGATGTTCACTTTAATGTGAGAGATATCTGGAAATAAATAAATTACTGGGGGAAAAACACGAATGGTATATATTACAAAAAATAAGCCAAATTGCTTTTCTATTTATTTAAAAAAACAATAAAACATTTTTGATTAAAAAAATGTCATCCGTTTTGGTCAGTTGCTGGTGTTGTTTTTTTGTATGTAACGATCGACTCTTTAAGAGCAAGCATCAGTTCGTTGAGCTCGCCTTTCAGTTTTGTTTCAGCTTCCTGATCGTCGCCGACAGTGAGCAGTTTTAATACAAGTTCTGGAAATGAATTTTAGTAAAAAAAAAAAAAAAAATGATTAAATTGTGTGATCTGCGGTGAAAAGAAAACTAGTTGAATGTTGAATTTCTCACCTTGGAACTGATGAAGTCTGGTGAAAAACTCTGCCGGCAATTGGGGCTGGAGGAAGTTCAAGATAGCCGGGACAAACTTTCCTGACGCGCTCAAAAGTGATTGGGTCTGCATTTGGAACACGAGTAGAAGCCCTGAATGGAGGAGGTTGGCTGGATTGTCTGTCGTACTCACTTCAGTCAAAAGCTTTTCTCGCTTCGATTGAAGAAATTGTCTGAAATATTTCCAATTAGTAACAACACATGTAATATGCATTTAACATGATTGATTTGCATTGATCATTATAATTTAATTAAATACAATTTTTTTCACAGTAAAACATTACTTTTCTTTTTTCTTGTCGATTTTTCTGTTTAATAAACCAACAGCCATCAGTGCAGGCTCCAAAGCATTGAAAAACTCTTCAACTGATCCACTGCTTAAAGAATTGTTCAATGTTGTTAAAACTACTTTTGTGTCCCCTGGCAACTCGCTTATTATTTTCTTCCTCATCTACAATATAAAAAATAAAATAAAGTTCAATTATCTCATAAAAAAGAAGAGAAATAACAGCTACAGTTGGGGGAGGGGAAGAAAAAAAAACATGAAATAAAGTTTAATCACCTCCAGCCATCCTAATTTGCTTATTCTCAATGTTTTTCCAGGATTGCTTTTATAGGTTTTGTGTTCACAGATTGATTGTTTTTCTTAAGATTAAAAACAAGTAAACATTGATGGGCTTTCATGAAATTGTAAAGAAAAATAAAAAAGAAGAAAGAGAGAGAGAGAGAGAGAGAGAGAGAGAGAGAGAGAGAGAGAGAGAGAGAGAGAGGAGAGAGAGAGTGAGTGAAATGGGGGAGAGAGAGTGAGTGAAAAGGGGGAGAGAGAGTGAGTGAAATGGGGGGGAGAGAGAGAGAGGAGAGAGAGCGAGAGAGAGATGGATCTCCAGACCATATTTCTGAATAATTAGTAATTTATAGGATGTTTTGTGAAGCAGAACTAATACCTTGTAACTTTTATAAAATATATTTGGTTTTGTAGCAAATCTTTTTCAAGAAATACACATCAAATATAATGAACCCTAATGATTCTAATGTTGTAAATAGGTACTGATAACGTACTTGCTGAGTTAATTCTTTTGATGTGGTTGGTAATGTCGGGTCTTCGCTCACGTACAAACAGAGCGCATTGGCTACTTCAGTCCCAGTGGTTTTAAGCAAATGTGTTGAAAGCTTAATTCTTGTATCTTCAAACGGAAAGAGCTTAAGACCCCTCTCAGAAAGCTTCATCTCCATTTGCCATGAATCGATGCGTTCCTGAAGATCGCCATGCAGCTGTTTCCTCTGGCTCACACTTGAAACAAGTGTCCTCTCGTATGCTTCTGAAGCCAGCTCCATTGCTTTTTTATTCAACTGCCTAAAATAATAAAAATGTTTTACTAAATATTTGAACACTTTTAATTCCATAGCTGAATACGGTTGAAGATGTTTGGAAATCTCTTTGACTATCCCCTCGATGTCAACCAGGTCCTGCATTTGTTGGTTTTCCATAAGCCATTCTTCAATTTCTTTCACAGTTATTAAATCTAACTTAGGGGCTCCTGGTTTTTTAACAGGTTCTGTATCACTCCCTGAATCCTCAACTGGCTCTCCTCTACCTTTCACGTATTTTTTCTTTGTGGATTTCATCTTCGTTTCTCTACCCTGTTAAAATTATTATTATTGTTTAAAGAGATGAATATTAATTATTATTTAAAAGTTGGAAGGTCCAAGCAAGGGCCTAAACCGTAATTCCGCATGCAAGGCGGGCCATTGATAACAGAATAATTGTTTTTAATTTTATTTCATATTACAAAACCTTTTGAAAACAAATAAAAATTACTTTTAGTAAGGAAAATGAAAACAAAATATATTTTAAATTGATTGTCTATAAAATATTTGTTATGTTAAATGGGAGTTTTTATCTTTTTTTTTTTTTTTTTTTTTTTTTTTTTTTTTTTTTTTTTTTTTTTTTTTTTTTTTTTTTTTTTTTGGTTTTGGCGTTATGAACTATGCATATTAGCCATGTGACAAATTCGTATATGTGTGTTCAAATTTGGGGGGTTATTGGGAAAAAAGGGCCAGGGGCAACGGTGGGAATCGAACCCACGACCGCGGCGTGAGAGTCTCTCATGCTAACCACTCGGCTACCGCGGTCCCCTGAGTTTTTATCTTTATTACACCTTTTTGCCCAATTTTGAGGTTTCTTTGCACATTAGGGGGGGGGGGGGGTTAATGCTTGAAAACCCATTCTTTAGTGATCATTCTGACCTCAAATTCAATATTTTGCCACATTCATGAAATATGTATATGTAGAAGTATATCTGCAAATTTGTACTTTGGGGTTAATTAAAATTTCACAATCTATTAGTAGCCACCACTTTGAACCATCAGTACTATGAACTTAACAGGCTTTAGTTCTTAAGTGTTCTGATTTACTCCCAAGCCGAAGGAAGACTGAGAAATGAAAAATGAGAAATAAGGAAGTGATGGAACAGCGAATTGGTGGTGTCAAACATAAAAAAATTCTTGGAAAATTTTAGGCATCAGAAGTTGTAAACTTAGACGAAGCACGTTATAAAAAAAAATTAAACTTCAACTAGTACACTAAGTACTGTAAGCCCATAAAAATGATGCATTTTCACCTTGTTTTTAAGAATTAAAAAAATGAAAAAACGCAATTTTGTGCAGTGAACCATAAAAATGTGCAATAACACTAAAACATATAATTTTATGAAAAGTTAGAATATTGTCAAAAAGATGACCTTTCCATGATTTGAATTTTTGTCTCGGTTTCATTGCAATCGGAGTGAGCAATAAAAAGGTATAATTGCAAGGAAATCCAGTCTTTAATGATCACAGACAGACTAATAATAGATTTGGACCAAATTCTCATGTCATTATCTTGAGCCAATTTAATAATGTTAAAATCATACACAAGCAAGTACAAGAACATTAAAATATCAGTTGAATTAGAAGCGTCTTATACAAGAATTATGTTGTAGTAGTAGTATGTAATATGCTGTAGTCAATGTTCTATAGTAATAGTAAGATTGTGTATTTAGTCATAAATACACATATGTGCTTATGTCTACCTAAGCTTACCTGAGTCCCTCCACCACTTTTTCCGCCTGTGGCTTTTTTTCTACGTTCTTCCCTTTTTTCAGTTTTGGTGTCGACGGTAAAGTTTGAACTTGTGTTGATTCTGTACTCGGTATGTGCCATGATATAAGCGCCAGAGCTGACTGCCTTTTCAGCCTTTTCTTTGAGAACTTCCTCTTGTAAAGGTTGACAGACCGTCTGTAGGAAAGTCTCTGTGACAATGACTGTGTCAGAGAAAATGTGTGCTACTGCCTTGGATTTGTTCTTTTTCAATATTTCTTCAAGGATCTTGCTGACGTCAGAAGGGCCCATGACAGATGGTACCAGCATCTGTTATTTAATCAAATTAATGGAGTTTAAAATAATAGAAATGTACAATTAATTATTGGGCCATAATTACCATTACGTCAAGGAACGTTCCAGACAAGAGTGTATCGTTTACTGCAGCATCTACTTGACCCAGCAGCTGTGGACCGATTATGCATGTTGGCAATTCTAAAAACCCCATTCCAGGGAAATGTCGCCTTACGAATAAAACTGGGTCCGAAATTCCTAACCTCGTGAGTGCATCATATTCTAATAAAAAAGAAAAATGAATCGAAATAAACTAGCTCTATTATTAATTATGAGGTTATTCATATGTCATAAACTGTAGCCATTAATTTAAAAAAATATGTATTGAGTTACCTAAATATCCATTTTGTTTGTAAAAGTTGTCAACCCAGTCATTTTGATGTTTTGTATGTACGTGTGGAATAAAAGAAGAATTTCCCTGCCGCCCGGTGAGAACACCACAGAGATCTTTATCTTCAGACAGATAGTCAAATGTTCCTAAACCACATCCATACAATTAATAGAAAGCAAATTAATTATTAATAATTAGGAAAGATTATTAAAAAAAATTACTAAGAAATGAATATTAATGTGAGAAAAACTGATTTACATACTGTAAAAATCTCTCTCAGTTTTAAAATTAGTTAATGACAATATAATAGAGACTTGTGTTGGTTTAGTTAAAGCTCGTAGTGTCCCTCTTAACACACTTTTATTCTTGTTGACAAACTGTTCTGTATATAATATTCTCGCATCCAATTTGTCCTGTTTTGCATTGATTACATTGCCTAGATTTTCATCTATCACCTGTAATTTTCGACTATAAGAAAAACAAACTGGATTATTTTAAAGTAAAACGGCTTACGTCCTGTAGGAAATCCCCAGGAAGGTCATACAGCTTAGTCAGCTCGCCGACCGTCACCTGCCCAGTGCTTTGCAACCTGTCATTTATTTCCTGGGCTATTGTCTTTTGGTAGTCTCGAGAAATGAGCTGGCCCATTATAACAATACAGCCTGGAAGCAGCTCCTCGAGGCTGGATATTTTGGCCATAACATAATTCACATTGACGTTCAGTATTTTTGCCAGTTCAACTAGATTTATCCTGCCTAAAAACATCATATCTCTATATGAGGCTTCCAATATAGTGGAATTGTAAAAATAATACTTGTTAATTTGGAGATGATTTTAATGGTTATTTAAATTAACATGTAAGAGAAATGAATGGATAAAAATGTTGAAATTGTTGACACCTACTGCAGAACAAAAATGTTTAATGTTAAATATTTTAAAATAAAAACCTTCAAGTTAAAATAAAAAATATCTAATCTAAATCACACTGATGTAATGTAAAACCAAAATTTAAATAAGTTTCAATTTATGCAATTCAGACCTTAGGCTAAATATGCTCCAGTCAAACCACTTGAGCTATGGTGACTTCGATCCACTCGGACATCAACTCCTCATCTTGTTCACTTTTGCCATATTTCCATTATCATTCCTTTTTTATTTATATTTTCTTTTATGCTCAACAGGCATTTATTCCCCCCCTCCCACTTCTGTTTACTGTGCAACGAGAATATTTTGTAGACAATCCACCTAATCTGAACATTTTTATCAGTGGACGAGAAAACTTTTAGTTAGTTAGATTTTTTGCAGTTAAATTTAAATGATAGTACTGCTCACTCTAAATTGCCAATTTTGTTGAACTTTGTCCTTTAAATTGTGCGATTTTCACTTGATGTCTGCAAGGTACTAGACCTGGAGTTTGTTCATTTTTGAACAATTTGGTGTGCATATTATCAATGCTTTTGGTCTGTCAGGTCAGTTTTGGTTTCTTACAATCTTCAATGAAAGGTTTTATCTACTTAACTCTGATGTTGGCAAAAAGCAGAAACACATCTGACAGACCAAAACAGAAAGGATGTCAAACCTGTTTTATTGCTTGCTTATTTATTTATTTGTTTATTTTCGGATCGAAATCCACTATAAAAAGACATTTTACAATAACAAAATATAAAAATAATATACAAAATAATATATGCAAAAGTACAAATAACATATATAAAAAGAATAAGGACATATATACATGGTAATATTATAAATGGTAAATATAAATGATAAATATAAAAATACAATTAAAGAGTAAAAACTGAACAACAACAAAAATGAAAGACATAATTAAGGCAAAGGAAACAAAATAAAGCTGAAAGACAATTGAAACTACAATATTTAGGTACATATTTAATGAAAATAATGTTCATTGTAGATATATAATAAGACTAGAGTGCAAGATTTAGGTGAACCAATAAATGAAATAAATTGTAATAAATTTTTAACAGTATGAAATATAAAAACATTAACAAAATATAAACTGACGAAAATTCAACTAAAGTAGAGTTGTAGGATATGGTTTTTCAAAGATTGCACAGAACTATTGAAGAAATTAATGCTATTGCAGATGTTGTTACTCTTGATCATCATTATGTATAGAGAAGAGAACATGTAGTTAGAGCTTTGGAATTCAATATAAAATAGTTGTGGGTTTTAAGAGAGTGCGAAGGGACGTGTAGCTGTAGCTGAGAGAGGAGAGAAGGACTATCAATGAGATTGTTTAATAATTTAAATACAAAAACAATATCAAAGTAATCCCTTCTTAGTGCCAGTTCGAAAAGTTTAAATCCAGAGCGGATGCCAGGGTAGGCAGAGTTCGGAGGAAGATTGAGTTTGTAAAAAAGTTTTTTTAAAAGTTTGTTTTGTACAGATTGAAGAATTTTTTGATAAATTAGATAGAATGGGTTTCAGACAGGTGTAGCGTATTCTAGTATGGGTTGAACAAAAGCTTTATAAAGATGGACAAAACATAGAGGATTTTGAAATTCATAGGTATTCCGGATGATGAAACCTAGCATCTTGATAGATCTATTTTTTATTGAAGAAATATGTTCTTTAAATTTGAGCTTTTGATCAAAAAGTACACCATGATCCTTTACAACCTCAACTCGCGTTAAAAGAGAATCATGGAGAGTTTAGTGATAAAGAAAATGTAAGAATGTAATTGTGTAGCATTTGGAGACATTGACAGCAAGTTTATATGAGCTGTTGAGCACCAGGTTAGCACATTATTGATAGAATTTTGTAATTGACAGCAATCAGAAGGAGAAGTAATTTTGGAATAGATTTTCAGATCACCAGCAAATAACAAAAATTGAGCAGAAGGGAGAGCAAGATGGATATTATTAATAAATAAGAGAAACAAAACTGGTCCAAGATGAGACCCTTGCGGGACTCCTGAGGAAGCCGCAAAGGGACACGATTTAAATGATTTTACTTTGATTATTTGTTTTCTGTTGGAGAGAAAGCTGGATAACCAATTCAAGATAGTTCCAGTGAAACCATAATCCATTAGTTTCCTTAACATTATTGTGTGATTTACTTTATCAAAAGCTTTAGAGAAATCAGTGTACACTGAGTCTACTTGGTGTCCAAAGTTTATTGCATCTAAGATATAATTTTGAAATGTGAGCACGTTAGTAACAGTTGATCTATTGGAGCAGAAACCATGTTGCTGAGGTATAATAAAAGATTTAATGTCGTTTTTACGTTTATTACAAATAATGGAATGAAATATCTTGGAGAACATGGATTGAATAGAAATTGGTCTGTAATTGGAAACATTAGATCTATTGCTGGCTTTATGTAGAGGAATGACAAAAGTGCATTTCCAAGCATTGGGGAAGATATATGTTTTTAACGACTGGTTCAAAATATAGTGTAAAGGAGCAATGAGAGTCGCAGAACAATTTTTAACTAATTTAGGGGGTATGCAATCAGGACCAGAAGACTTTTTCACATTGAGTAATGAGATAGAGTTTAGTATTTTGTTAATTAGATATAGTAATTAGAGATAGTGTGAGAAGATGTCATAAGGAGAGAGGATGTTTCAGGTAAGGAAGTGGGGAGATCAGAACTGTGGTCATACACTTGAGAGAAATATTTAGCAAAGAGATTAGCAATGTCATGGCCATTAGAAGAAGATTCATTTCCTAAATGCATGAAAGAGGGCATGGCCTTAGAAGTGGACAGAATTCACATAATTCCAAAACTTTTTAGTATTAAACTGGATTGAGTTTTCTGTATCAGAAAGATAATTCTTATAGCAGATATTCGACAGTGTTTTACATTGGACTCTACACATCATCAAATTTGGGGAAGCACCAACAACAACAAAAGAGGTGAGGCACTCATAGAAAAATTAGATATACTTAATATAGGATCAACCCCTACCTTTGTCACCAAAGCGAGACAAGAAGTACTGGACATTACCACTTGCAGCCAAGCCCTACATAAAGTGATAAAAAACTGGAGGGTTTCAGGTGAAGAGTCTATGTCGGACCACAGAATAATAAGGTTCGACATTGAATCAGATAGGATAGACCCTACACCATTCAGAAACCCCCGGAACACAAACTGGGCAAGGTTCACTGAGATGGTAACACACAGTTTAAACCATGCAACAGTAAAAAGAGTACCAAAGACCTGCAATGAATTGGAACTTGCAGTTAGGGAACTTACAGGAATCATAATTGATGCATATGAAACAAGCTGCCCTGTAAAGGTCCCAAAAAGTAGACAAGAACCACCTTGGTGGAATGCAGAACTAGGCATATTAAGAAAAGAAACCAGGAAAGCGTTTAACAAGGCTAGACTAGGAAGTAACTGGGGAGAATATAAAAGGTTACTTACTTCATATAACCATGCCATCCACAAGGCGAAAAGAGAGAATTTTCACAAATTCTGCGAAGAAATCTCCACACAGCAGCTAGATTGCACAAGATACTAGCAAAGGACAGATCAGACATAAACACTGCCTTAAGAAATGCAGAAGGCAAATACACAGAAGACATGCAACAAAAAGCAATGCTCCTTCTAAGTACACATTTTCCAGGCAGTACCTACAACATCTCCCCAGAAAATGTGAGAGCAGACAATCCCAAGAAAGAAAATTGGAAGAAAGCAGCTGAAATAATCACAGAGAAGAAAATCCTCTGGGCGATTAACACTTTCAGCCCGTACAAAGCACCAGGAACGGATGGAATCTTTCCCATCCTGTTACAAAAAGGAATGGATATAATTACTCCAACATTGCTACGAGTATATAGAAGCAGTTTAGCACTAGGTTACATACCACAGACATGGCAGGGGTGGTTTTTATATCAAAAGTGGGGAAAAAAGACCCCACATCACCCAAATCCTACAGACCAATCAGCTTAACATCCTTTCTATTAAAGACCCTTGAAAAGCTGATAAGATAACTATATAAGAACAACAGCACTGGTAAACAAGCCTCTCCAATACTGTCATCATGCATACAGAGCAGGAAGATCAACAGAAACTGCACTGTACCAACTAACCAGTGACCTAAAGGAAACACTGGAAACAAAGGAAATAGCAATCTGCGTGTTCCTCGATATTGAGGGAGCTTTCGATAATGCATCTCATGCATCAATGGAAGCGTCCCTGGGGAAAAAAACACGTAGACCAAACCACATCTAGATGGATTGGAGAACTGCTAAGAACTAGAATAGCTGAAACAAATGTAGGAATAAACACTATAGAAGTTAGAACAAAAGGATGTCCTCAAGGAGGGATATTATCACCTCTTCTATGGAGCCTAACAGTTGATGAACTGCTCGAAACCCTGGACCGCTTAGGAATAAAATATCAGGGATATGCAGATGACATAGTTCTGACAGCCAGGGGAAAATTCGAGGAAACCCTCTGCGATATAATCCAAGAGGGACTGAAAATTACAGAAGAATGATGTAAAAGCGCAGGCTTAGGGATTAATCCAAACAAAACAACCATAGTCACTTTTACACGGAAAAGAAAGCTAGATCACATGATAGAAATCAAAAATGAAGTCAAATATCTGCGCATCACACTAGATAAAACACTAACATTTAAGAAACACATCAGCTCCATTATCACAAAGCGACACGAGCTTTGATGGTGTGCAGAAGAATAGCAGGGAGAAACTGGGGATGTAGGCCAGAAAGCCTGTTATGGATGTACACCATAAAAGTAAGACCTTTACTTACATACGGAGCTATAGCCTGGGCTGATAAAGCAGAACAAATAACCTATCGGAAAGAACTCACAAAAATACAGACTTGCATGCATCTGCATAACGGGAGCAATGAGAACATGTCCTACAATTGGCATGGAAAAGATATTAGGACTAATCCCCCTACATCACATGGTAGAAAGGACAGCACAGAAAACCATAATCAACTTTATCAGAGAGAAACCTCCGAAAGGAATAAAACTGAAATGGAGAGACAGAAACAAACTGTGGAAAAACCATCCATCACTCATGGCTCCAAGAGACGACGTGAACAGGATGTTTGAATTTAACCAAAAATTCCGAATACATCTGGGCACCAAAAAGGAATGGGAAGGAAAGGGAAATAACTCCTTTAAAAATGGCACCATCCTTTGGTACACAGATGGATCTAGAACACAAGAAGGTACGGGGGCAGGAGTATTTGGACTCGGAACCAAATACTCAGAACCCACACAGAAAACACACCAGTATCTTCCAAGCTGAGATTCATGCAATTGAAAGATGTATCCAATTCAATCTAAGTAAAGGATACAAAAACAAGAATATAGCTATCATGTCAGATAGTCAAGCAGCCATCAAAGCACTCAAGTATCATTAGTTCAAGGGTGGTGCTGAACTGCAAAACCAAACTAAATATATTAGGTATGCAGAATAAAGTCAGCCTCTGCTGGGTCCCAGGACACATGGGAGTAGAAGGCAATGAGAAAACAGACACATGATAGGAAAGGGGCTGCCACACCGCTGATAGGACCCGAACCTTCTGTGGCATAGGAATCCACACTATTAACGAATATCTCAGACAGAAGGACAAAAAGAAAATGAAGGAACAATGGAATTCACTCATTGGACATAGACAATCCAAGAATCTTCTAACCAATTTTGGCAAGAAAGAAATCACAGAATGTGTCAAAGGAAGCAGGAACAGACTGCGAATCCTAACAGGACACTGCAGATTAAATGGACACCTAAAGAAAATTGGAACAATCCAAGATGGCACATGTAGATTCTGCAAGGAAGCAGAAAAGACACCAACACACTTAATAACAAACTGCGGAGCTACATTAGCCCGCAGGAGGAAATGTTTTGGGATGTACAATGTGATCATTGTACCATATGACCATACCATGACAATAGAAGAGCTTCAACCATTAAAACCGAGCCTATTAATCAAATTTCTTGATGAAATAGGACTCACCAATGTGCTTAAGGCAGAGAACGGGGGATACAATAGCTCTCAAAGGGCGCAGTATACCATACCCTGAAATATTACATCTACATTGGACTCTAAGAGATGAACATACATTTCTATAGCTATTGAAAGAACTTGATAAAAATAATTTAAACACTCGTTTACACCTATAATACTTTTTAGTATATCTCTTTTTAGAATATCCCAATGGAAGTGGGAAAGAGAGTTTTGTATTGCATCGTAGTCACCATTGAAAAAATTGTATTCAACATTAGAGAATTTTAAGAAAGATTTACTAAGTTTATAAGATAAATAAATATTTAAGGAAGGATGAAAAATTGTTTTCATTAACAAGACTAGTCAAAGACTTATGAACTGTGGGTTGAAAACAATTGGTAAATATTAAATCTAACTTCCTATTCTTAACATTAACTACATTGTTTATCTGTTTTAAAGCTAGTATATTTACAAAGGAGTCATAGAGTAACTTGGCTGGTGAGGAGCATATCGCTTGACTAGAGGAACAATCTTCATTGTCCAACCAATCTGGTATATTCCAATCACCACAAAGAAGAATCTGGCAGTTTGAATATTGAGCACTTACATTCTCTACTTCATCGCACCGCTGTTTGTAAATATCACATGTTTGACTAGGTGGTATGTAGACTGTGGCCACCAAATACTTAGTGAAGCCGATGTCAATAAGTATGAAGAGCAGTTCCAGCTTTTGAGAGTTCAATGGTATAAGAACTGATGAATAGCAATTCTTGACAGCAATCAATAACCTCCGCCATGGTGCTTCGCGCTGGTTGAGCATTTCTATCCTGTCTATATACACAATAATTGTTCAAACCAAGTTCAGAGTCTGAGACTCCAGGTAAGAGCCATGTTTCAGTAACTATAATAATATCACAGTCCAAGCTAGTGATTACACTTCTGAAGTGGTGTAGTTTAGTGTTTAACCTCTTACATTTTGGTAAATTAAGCTGAAAGAATGATTCGATCCGTTATTTACATGCTTTTTGGGTTTTGGTTATTTACTATTTTTGGGGTGCCATTGAAATGACGAATAACCAAGTTCTATTCTTCAAAATCTATTCTTTTTTCAGTTCTTCTCAAAAGATGAGTAGTAAGACTGTTGCATTTTGGTTTTTGTCATTAGTGCTTGAAATGGAAACGAGACCGGCTTTCTTAGCAGCTCTAAAACTATGCTGCAGCAACTGAGCATCTTCTTCACTGGAGCAAATCCTTTAATAGGTCGGTTTTTGTTTAAAATTGGGTGTTTTCACAGTCTTTGCAACCGAAAAGATTTATCGAACATAGGAGAAACAGTTTTAATTAAACTCAAAACCAATTTTTCGTCCTGTTTTAACCTTTCTTGAGCATTCAAAGAAGTAGCTTCGTCAACACCGAAAACTATGATATTCTTCCTTCTTATTGAACGTTCATTTAGTTCTAAAATTACAGATTCAGTAAAATCAGGTTTATCACAAAAGTGCTACCTTTTGCAGAAGACAGCTTACTCTCCATATCATCTATCTTTTTATTTATGTTGTTAAGTGATTTTTCCAACCGAGCAAGATCAATATGATTATTTTTCAATTCACAAATAGACTGTTTTAATTCCTTTAAGGAATAATTCGAGTCTGTATCACAACGAAAACAAAAGAAAAGCAATTGTCTCTTGGTGCCCTTCATAGCCTTGACTTCATTGCAAGTCAAGATCATGCATTTAGTATGAACTGGTAAATTACATTTGAAACATTTGAATGTGTCAGTAGCACAAATGTCTTTTTAACGTTTTAAGCACAAGCTTACGTCTAAAAGCACCATTATTAACTTTTATAAAGAATAAAAGAACAGAGGCTTGTAACAAGAGGTTGTTGTACAACAAGAGTTGTAACTTGGATGCCGGTGTGTTTATGTTTTGCAGGTAGAATTGGATTCGTTGGTTTGAATGTGTTTAATGTTACAACATAAACAATGATCACGGAACATTGAAAATTTGGATCACGTCGTCAATTCTGTCGATTTTTAGCAGTTATTTTATTAACATACCTCCATGTACGTAAAGCTCATCCTGAATCTCTTTGAGCAAATATTCAGGAGTGATGTACTGCTTTCCATCATTGGTAAATATAACTTCCAGGTCATGGTTCTCGATGAGTTTTGACACGATTTCCACAAAGTTTCTCTCCGACAGCCTGGAAAACTCGGTCTTGTCACTCAATTTGGATAGATTGATATGCAAAAAAATTTTTTTTTACAAATTTACGTTTGGGAGGTTGTTGTGAGCTGAGCACGCTGAAAATCAGCGGCCAGACGTTTGACTTCTTCCCAACTGACAGCCGACATCTCTCAGACCTGAGGGGCGAGAGCTGAGACTGAGAGCCACGATAAATCTGACAACGAGCACGTTTGCAACCTCTCACAAGACGTTCTGATATTTCTTCGGGTGGTCTCGAAAACAACTTCTTCCGTTTGTGACGAACGCTTTGATGACATCAGGATATGGCGACAATTTATTTTATGTTCTTTTTTTGGTGAAAAAACTCAGGTACAAATAAGAAACCTGATAATAATATTCTGGCGATCTTAGTCTATTGTAAAATAACTTTTTGAGCTCTGTGAGGTGTTGAAAACAACAGAAAGAGATAGTTTTCTTGGAACTTTCTACCATTTAGTCTAGAGGGAGTGAGTGAATGAGTGAGAGAGAGAGAGAGAGAGAGAGAGAGAGAGAGAGAGAGAGAGAGAGAGAGAGAGAGAGAGAGAGAGAGAGAGAGTTATAGTGAGTGAGAATGAGGGAGAGCAAGAGTGATGAAAAAGAGAATGAGTAAGAGATTAAGTGATTGAGAGAGCGATATATATATATATATATATATATATATAGAGAGAGAGAGAGAGAGAGATGGAGGGAGGGAGGGAGTAAAAGAAAGATAGAGAGAAAAAGTGAATGAATTGGAGTGATTAGTGAGAGAGTAAGTGAATGAGTTATTGGTGTGTGGTGTGAGAGAGAGAAAATGAGAGAGAAAAAGTGATTATAGAATTATACTAAACATTAATTTTAATGCACAAATTATTGGCTAAGAACTTTATTATATGCTATATTCCTGTTAAAAAATAGCAATGTTTTCAATTCAGCATCTATTCTTTACTTTCAAGGAGGATAGTTGAATAACATTGACCAACAATCTTTTAATTATATTAGCAATTTATTAATTTGTCTATACTATGTTTGCATTATTTCATAAATAATATTTTAAGCTATTATATTCTTCTGTAGCTTCTACAAAATAATTACATTAACAGAAAGGAATAGAAACAAAAATTAATTATGCTTTTCATCTTATTTTTAGTGAAAAGTAAAAATTAAATTTTAATATTTATGATTTTATGTATGAGAAAACAAATTAATTTTATAATTTATTAATTTTTTATAGATACTTACTTAAAACTGGATGACAAGAAAGAGAAACGATGCAAGTGAAAAAAAGAAAAGAGACAACACTGGGTAAAGTAATTGATTGATATAGGATATAGGAAAAAATAAGCTATCAAATTGAAAATAAAATTCACATATATAATAAAAATATATCGAAATAGATGAAGACCAATGAAAAATTATTTTTATGCAGATATTTATTTTTTTAACGTTATAACTGAGAAAAAAGTTTTTTACTGTTACGTACTGCACAAGTAATTTCCAGTTTTTATTATTATTAATATTACTTTTTTAAATAAAAAAATATACCAATATCCAATTTAATGCACGAATCGAAGTAGTGTTAAGATGGGGATGAAGAAAAGGGATAAAATATGAAAAAACACCCCCTTGTACTTTGACGATTGGCAAGACTGGTGGTAGGCGACTCGGGGTGGGGGTTGCCGGCTGGTGAGGGACTGAGGGGCGAGGGTGAATAATCCACGCCGTCTTCACGCCGCTCGTAGCTCAGTACTACCATGGCCGAAGAGGCGTTCGCTCACGCGGAGGGCGGCGCGCGGGCATGGGCCGTGATGATGGGCTCTTTCCTTTGCAACGGCATCATCTTCGGCCTCATCAACACTTACAGCGTCCTGTACGTACAACTTCAGGACGAATTGATCCAAGAACACGTACCGGACGCTTCATCGAAAGCAGGTAACTTATAATATTTCATCAAATAAATATTTTCTACTTTAATGTGTTAAAAGAAATGTTAAAATTTTGGGCAAACCGTTAATAAAAATAAATAATAATAATAACCGTTAATATATATGCAAATAAAAAGATCTCAGTGAACTTCAAAGTCAGTAGATGAAATGATTTTCATCAACTATGTTAATTTTTTTTATACATACATAAAAACATTCATGTAAATGAAATTTTAAAAAAGTTTGCATTGCAATAATCCCAATGAAAATAAGTATTAATCAACACTTGTCATGACAAATTACAAGAGTTGATCATCATTTTGGAGTAGGAAAACATTATTTTTTTTACCAACAGTTGAAGATTTTGTCAATAAAAAAGGAATCAACTTCATCAACAAAGTAGTTAGTGCGTACCAACCAAACAAGAGACTTTTTTAAATAAAAACGCTGAATTTGCAGTGGTATTTAATTTGGTCACAACGGTTCTGAAGATAATGGTAGTCCATCTGTTCTCGCTCTGTTAGTCTGGGTTTTTAGTACAGACATTTGTGTTCAAGTCGTTATTATTATAAACGGCTTGACGATGAAGCTAAACGTATCCATCGCTGGTTTGCTGTTTTCTGACATGTGTGCTTGATAGACGAAAACAGTGACAACAGACGGACGAGGATGATCGTTAAATGTATTCCCGATTGATGTCTGACAGATGAACAACAATGAGAAAAATTGTCTTGTTAGCTTTCTCATTCAGCTCTGCAAATGGATGAAACTGCAATTTTATCATTTCGGCAATTCGATCATCTTCAGCTGTATGTTGATAGATGAAAACAGCGAGAACAGTCTAGGATAGCTGGAAAACATATTATCCTCATTGTTGTAGAAAAATTGTCTTGTGAGATTAATCTTTGAGGACTGTCTGGTGGTGAACCTGATCGTCTGAAGATCGTCGTCGACTGTCCTGGTCCATCTGTCCTCGCTGGTTTGCTCGTTTCGACCAATTTCAGCTGATTGTCTAATAGACCAATACAGAAAGAAGGTGAATCTAGATAATCAGGCATTAATAACGCATTAAAACCCCGATTGAGGTCTGAATAACAATGAGAAAAGTTGTCTTGTTTGATTTCTCGTTGAAGTCTGCCAATTGATGAAACAGATTTTTGATCGTTTTGTCAATTAGATCATCTTCCTTTGAAATAGGAAAACGGCGAGAATAGGCGGACCAGGATAACTGAACAACGTATAAAGAAGCTCAGTGTAGGTAATTTTAGGAAAATTGTCTAGTGAAATTAATCGTTGATGTCTGGTGAAGCTGTTGATCGTCTTCGACTGTCCTGACTGATTTCGTCATTTTCAGCTGTGTGCCTGACCAAAAAGATGAGAACAGGATGACGGGAGATAAAATCGCAATTTTCAAGACATGTTGAACTATTGAAAAAATTCTGTAACAAAGCGTCAGTTTGTTTAACAGAAACGTAACCAACAGTAAATGTAAATTTATTTAATTTATGTTTATACAACTTAAATTGCATTTCAATAATATAAGCGATCAATCAGCTTTAAAGCAGAAGATAGGAGAAAGTGATGACAAGATGGATTAGTTCGTTTCAACTTTTGCAGTAGGCTTATCTCGATCCACTCTGAGTCGTTTCCCTCAAGATATCAAGCCGTTTGGTCTTGAAAAATTAAAACAAAACTATTGGTACAAGGACGGCGATGTGTGCCAAAAGAGAGCTTATAGATTCCTAATTTAAAAAGCTTTTTTTACTATAAAGGAGAACCGGGGAGGGGTAAGAGGGTCAAATTGAGACAACTGTTTCCATGTCTTCGATTTGTGCCTTGAAAATGCCTGATCTTTAAATTAACGAACAAACTTGTAGTTATTTTTTCTCTCTCTTCGATTCATCTGATGAAGCTCTGTGAGCTTTATAGAATATCTTTAGGTTAATTTTTTGTTCTTCAGATATGTTGTCGCCCAAATGACAAAAGTCATGCCGTTTGGTTTCTGTTGTTAAAAAAGTTATTTAATTATTACTTAAAATTAGCGCACGTGCTGCTGATAAAGATTGTTTGCCCGTTAGATACACTATTATCCAAATATTTAACAAAAAGATTGTTCTCCTGCACGACAGTGGTAAGGAATTATATCATGGCAAAAAAATGTTAGCTAATACCGTACATCAGTTCGGGTTGGGAAACCAACAGATTTTTCAAATCTTAAGTTAACCTATATTTTTTGGAACTGCACGTTTTGTCTTATTCAGCTCAGTTATAGATTTCTAGAGATAAAAACTGGAAAATTTTATTTTCCAATCTTATTCGGCGTCTGTCCGTCGATCGTTTGTAGATTGAAAACAAACAATTGACTCGAATTGACCTTTTCTATCCCTTGCAACACGCCTTGACTCGATTATATTAATATTCGGTAAATTATTCGCAGCCATTCCAAAGAGACGCAATGATTCCTGTTATTCCATCACCGATATTTTTGCCTTAAATTGTGTCATTTTAAATATTTAATTTGAGCCTAATAGATATTTTTCATTAATCACGCAAAAAATATATATCCTGAAAATTATACGTTATAAAAAAGTTAAACGGATATAAACACAAAAGTTTACCTTTATTGTTACACTGAAAGTATCATAATTTTCATAGAATTCTGTAATTTTTTCATTATTATTATTATTATTTAATAATATTTTTATATAAAAAAAAAAAATCACTTCTCTAATAAGCATCCATCCTTGAAAAGTTATCATTTAGTAAAACAATCTCGATCCTAAGGCAGTTGAAACCCCATTTTATGCAAAAAGCATCGAAAATTCGGAAAAAATACCAGTCTACCAAAGAAAATTATATTAAAAAAAGATAAAAAAAATCCCTCAGTCAATCGAGTGGGGATTTTACAAGATGCTAGGGGATGCTTAGAAACTGTGTAATTATGGTAGTCTGTATTATTTAGTAATTTTATTATTACTATACTTTACTACTTAGCCTAAAATCTTGTTATTCCGTCCCAAAATTGATTAAAATGGCAAAAAGAAAACATCAACAAATAATGATAACTTTTATATTATGTATTGATGTGTATTCATATGTTTGCAATTAAAGTTCCATAAGGAAATATGAAAAACTGCTCAGGGAAAATATCTTTACATATTTAAAAAAACACATAAATATTTTTTTTAAACAACCTTTAAATGTTTCAGAATCAATGGATCCACTATTTTAGAAAATGTTTTAAGTAAATTTTTAAAATGTTTGAATTTTTCGGCGTTTGAGATAATTAAAGAATGACTTTTTGTTGTGATAAATAATTTATTTCACCGTCACCTCTTCCCCCCAAAAAAATCTTTCATCAGATCAGGTACTCGTGGCCTTTTGGCTAATATGAATTATAATAGCATGCTGTGTGCTATTATAAATGGTGAATTTTCTTGCAAATCATCATAACTAAATTTTGACTAAACCTCATAAATGTTCGACCTCGTTTAATTTGGTTTGCATTAAAAGAAGTTTATTGTAATTAATATAACGTTAAAAATTCATATAGTTTGAAATAAACAACAAAATATGAGTGTCCAGTGTTTTGTGCCTTTGGGTGTATAGATCGATCAGCTGCCCTACCTTGCACTATGGGAAGCAATTTAAATCTCTGATTTAAATGATTATATCCCTGGGTCAAAGTCAAAGCCGAACGTTTAATAAAACGTGACGTGCCGACAAGGACGGATTTTTTTGCCGGTTGGTTTACGTTTCGTACGACATCATCACCAATGCATTGGAGTGAATCAAATATTGTTATATATCGAGCATTTAAAATCTTATTGCCCAAATAAACCATCGAATGGAAATATCTTGTGGATTAATAAGAATACATTATTTCATCCTCGACGATTGAATAATGCTAACCGAGAAAATGTTTATTCAACTTAACAGATTAAATTTTTTACGTCGGCCCCTTTTATAAATTCACATTCCATCTAAAATATTGACGTGTGACAAACGAATAAAACCCAGTTCTAAATCATCCAAAAAATATGATTCACAAATAAACGTCTTGAATGACAGGGTATTTTCGAACAGTGTGACTATTTTTAACTAACTTTTACTATATCGTAGACAAAGGTAAGAAGCCAATAAACTTGATGGTTTTGCAAAATAATAAGTAAACTTCTTTCAAAGATAATTGAGCTTAGCTCGTGTTACTAGGTTTTTGAATATATGCCCTGCCAGGTTTCATTTGTCAAGTTTGAAGCAAAGGCGCCAGAATAAATACTGTACAAAATATAAAAACAATTTTTAGAAAATATTGTCTTGTTAGGCAGGAATTGCTTTGACAAGTTGATCCTTGAAAAATAAAAATAATGATGTCCCTTCGTGTTTTATAAGTCAGCAGTATAAGTTAAAGCCAGCAAACTAATTGGTTCATTTAACTTTTCCTATTTTAGAAAAGCAAGACCAATTTTAAAGGTAGCTGATCGAATGATAGCTTAGGTCGGTTTTTTAAACTGACGAATTACGATCTATTAAGTATTGAGGGAATAATTAAGCAAGAGAGAATAATAGGTGCATTGAGCAATTTTAAAATCTATTTACCTGGTTTCGTTAGAAAAACTTTTTATAATAACACCATGCCTCGTTAGTAAAGTCTTTTCAAATCGAAACCTTGCTATGTAAAACCTGTAAAAATTGACACTATTCTTTATTGAGAAAATCTTTTAAAATTGACGACGTGCTTGTTAACGAAAACCTTTTTAATGTAACATCTTGCTTCGTTATTATTATTATTTTTTAATTGAAACCTTTCTTCACACACTAAATGCTTTTTAAAGTGACATCTTGCTTCGTTATGATTTATTTTCTGCTATCAATTATCATGTACTGAAAGTATGTCGAAAGATTCTTGACAGGCGTCACAATAATGAATCGTTTCATTCTGGATTAAACTTATCAAATGAATTGTTAAAAAAATATATTTTGTTTAAAAGTCGCAAACGACATTGT